TATATATAAAAGTAAATAAGGTGAAAAATAAATGTAGAGGAAAATATACAAGGATTAATAAATGAAAAACGTCAATAATTGCTTGCAATAGAAGCTAGTTTCTTAAAACATTAAAATTTGTCTAAGTCAAGATTGAAATATTATTTACCTTTGGTTATATACTTTGAAATTTTTTTTTGGGGAAAAATTAATTTAAATAAAAGCGGAGAATAGACAATATTTTATGAATCAGTTTGTCTTACGCATTTTCTAGGATATTTTTCATGGTTGTAACAATTCTATTTCCTTTTTAGGGGGAATTAAGATACGAATCTGTTCAAAAAATGAAGTATCTTGACAATGTCGTATCAGAAGTACTCAGAATTTATTCTCCTGGTGTTAGGTAGATACATTTTTATGTTCAAATTTCCGAAATAATCGTATAACTCTAATAGTATTGCTGGAATATCAGTTAATATTTTTGATTTCTAGTTGTTAAAACAGTTAATTTACGTATGAGTTACGATAATTTATTTCCGCTTTATTTTCTCTTTCACAAGTTTCTTATTCTTATTTTATGTATTATCTGCAAAAATGGCTGAAAAAAAAAGAAAAAAAGAAAAATGACTTCCCACCTAATGAATAAGAATCATAATTAATAAGTATAAAAATAAATGATTTAAAAAAGTTTTGAATATTGAATGTTTTAGTCGAATTTAGATTGCCAGTTATTAAGAATCCATGCACATTAAAATAAAAGTTGTGTGCCCCGTATAATCTGCTATCAGGTTGTAATGAAGTTAAGCACTTAGGCACGGAGAAGGTGAGTGTCGACATTAGAACATTCTACTCTGAACCGTACAAACGGGATGTGGAAAAACGAAAATTACAGTAAAATTACGGTCAGAATGGATTTTACGATAAAATATATTTTATGGATGATGCACCCAAAGTGCCAGTACTATATCGTAATTTAACAATTCCGGAACACGCAACAATTAACTCTCAAAACAAGTTATCGGAAAGTGATGAAAATTAGGTTAACACAAGTTAGTCGGGATAAATAGCGTCAATTTTTTTCTGTCAAATAATACTATCTATAGTTAGTTTCCAACAGCAATTCAAGTAGGTTTTAATGATTTCAGAATTATTCATTGTCCGTCTTTTTCTTGTTATAATATTCTCTTATTTTTCTTTATTTACATATTAATTAGAAATCCTGAAAATATTTACCTTTCGACATAGTTTTTGAAAAGAATATAAGGAGCACTTCGTGTCCTTACATTTAGCTTTCCTTACTCTCAATTATTCTAATAAGGATATTTTGTTTTACTTTGCTTCAGATTACGATAAATTTTTTTTTCAGACTGGAAAGAACTGCAGACACCGATTATAAACTAGGTGATACTGGATTGACTATTCCGAAGGGAATGGTTGTCGGCATCCCAGTCTATGCTATGCATAAAGATCCTAAGTTTTTCCCAAATCCTGAGAAATTTGATCCGGACAGGTAAGCAATGCCTATTTTATCTATTGAATATCAATGTAATAGGCTAATGTTTGACTAGCGCTTCTCAACTGGAATATATAGTATTCAGCATTTTCTAATCTGTCTGACATTTTTAGGTTTATTGAAATCGGCTTATATGCTTTTTTGATGATTTAGAAATATTGCTAAAAATTACACAATTCAAATGAATTTCATTTATTGTATTCATTTAATGAATTTATTGCCACAAGAAGCAATGCATGATATATTTTCTAGTTTTAAAAGTATGTGAGCTGGCAACAATGAGCCTAAACATTGTCAAGCTGATAAGAAAATATAATGGACTTTTCTAATAAGTCTGGAGAGTTGCAAGATAGCAGAAGCCGTTTGTGAAGTCCCGAATGATTCAAACAGCTTGCGACATCTATATATTATCATGTGACAAGATGAGGAGTCTGTCAAATAATTTTGAAAGAATAAATATATTTTTTTTAACTTGACGAAAAGTTTAAAATTAAAAACTAATTCTGAAAATAAATCACAGACATGAATTGTTCTCTTTTCACCTTAAGAGTAATATTTAAGGCAATTTCTTTTTATTTCATTCTTTTTAGGTAAACAATAATTTTCGATAAAAGTTTACAAGCGCAAAAACGATTGGGAGCAATATAATTTTATGCCACATTTTCGAATTGTAATAGAGAGCTTTTTGGTAAAAAAAACTGACTCTCTTTCAACAATATGATGTTTCTGTGTATTATGCTGACATCTGGTGAAAGTTCTGAAAGCTTGCAAAATACCTACTATGTGGTTACAATATTAATGAAAAACTTGGTTTACAAATATCACACTTGGAAAAACAAACTCTTGGAACACTTGGAACTTGGCTGGCTTAGAGCAGCAATACTTCATATGGTAAAATAACATCTAAATAAGCTGTTATTCAACCATTTTTTCCGAGAAATATCTAATAACGTAATATTTATTTTATGTACTTAGATATTAGAGCTAATGTAAATACAAGTTTTCTTTTGGATTTTGGTTTAGAAATTTACTTCAGAAATCCGTTACATTATCATTTTAATCGTAAGTATTTCAATTACAGATTTAGTTTAGAAGAAAGAGAGAAGCAAGTTCCATATTCATATCTTCCCTTTGGTGCTGGGCCAAGGAACTGTGTTGGAATGCGTTTCGCCCTTTTGGAATTGAAAGTGTGCCTAATCTACACATTCAGTGCCTTCCAAGCTCAAAGATGTTCCAAAACACAGGTATATCTACAATGTGCTTTAAAATTGTTTGGTATAGTTCAAAAATGAATTTGAAAGATATTATTGTGTGCTAGTATGTTTTTCGAGAAAAAAAATCTTTTTCAATCTTCATTCGTAATGTTAAATAATCTATAGTGAATAAATTCTTGCAATTTTAACATTCTTTCACAGATTTTTCTTTTTGTTTCATTTCTTGTGTAAGAAAAGGATAATAATAGTCTTAAGGAATTTCTGAACAAGATCAAGACATTTCAGAGAAACAGTTAACTATTGTTGCATTCTATATAACTTAAATTGTAGTGTGATGAATGTTTTTCGCATTTATTCAGATACTAAGTTTCAAAGTTTGTTTACAGCGAAGAATTATAATTTTTTTTCAAAAGGGCAGTACATTTTTAACCGGGGTCCGTTTTAAAGTGTGTGTCAGCTTTTCGTATTAAAATAATATACTATTCGATATCAAGAAAGAAGACCAATATAGTTCTGGTCTACTAAGTAAAGTTAAAAAATGCATAAAAATAGCTAAGATTCTATACGTGAAACGGAAATTAATTAAACTTTAGCAGAAATTACAGCTTAGACGGAATTTTTGTTAATATTCAGTTTGTATTTTCGCTTAGAAAAAAAAACATGTTATAAAATCCATAAGGAAGCTTAAAAAATTAAGGCATCAGAAACTCATGATCTACATTGTAGTTAATTTGTAGATCCATAATGTCGTAAAAGATGGAAGTGACAAGAATAGCTGAGCTATCAATAGAATAAATTGTAAAAGGTAGTAATTTATATTTGATAATTGGTGTTGAACAGCAGACCTTATTCAGAGTTTACGACTATCACTATTTAATTCCGTAGTCTTGTAATTTTGAACCCAATTCAGGAGAAAATGTAGCTCCTGGATCAAGCAAAGAGACAAACTAGTCTTCGTGGGGGAAATTTTGATGGAGCTAACATGCATTTGCGACACATGGAGAGGAAATCCTCTGAAACCTCCCATAGTAAGCCAAACGACAAGGAGATTCTAACCCATAATCTCTCTACCAGCAGAAAATTTTACGGTAGCATTGTGATCGGGGAGAAACGGGAACAGAACTCTTATTACCCAGTTACCACCGAGATTCAAACATGGGACACTTCATTTAGAAGGGAACGCTCTTTCCCCTGAGTTACCGTGGGTCCAAGACAGTATCTTAAAACCAGCGTTGAGCAGCCGACCCAATATTGAGTTTATGATTATTAGTGTTTGTAGTATGGTATACTACATATGAATTAAAATCACTTGTTAATTCTAATTTCATTATCTAATCATTTATCTAATCATCATCATTCATCTAATTTAATAATCATTGGTTAATTGTTAATAATGTAATAAACAGCTTAAATAATTACGTAAGGTTATACGTAATTATTAAATAATTACGATATTGTAACTGTTAAATTTGTGATAAACTTTTAATTGCATGGTTTTTAATTTCTTCTTTTTACACTTGTAATTAATGTCATTTATTTGTCAGTATTCAGTAATTCCTTGCAATATTTTCATGTAATCTCTAATCTTTAAATTTTAAGCCTCGAGTATACTTTGTAACCTTGGGAAAGTAATCTTTCTCTGCATTTATGTTCTTCCTTTAAAAGAAGATTCCTCCTTTTGTTACTTCGCTGACAGCAAGATGTATGTCCAGTTAGCAAACCCCTTTGTTGGATTGAGAAGGAGTGACCCCAAGTCCGTTTTCCCACGTTTCGGCATGCATCAAATGCAAAGCGCTCCTTTTGATCTTATGATGGCGCCAAGAATGTTCCAGAACATTCCACAAAATTCTTTTCCAGGTGTGTCACCACTTTTGACAACCCTGCTTCATGTTTGGCACGGAACTTAACAATTAATTTCGCCAGTTGGCCAATATTTGCAGCTCTGTGATTTGCCCCTCTGATCTTTCTCCGTTCAACCAATGCGATATTCGTAAAAGTTTAAATTTTTTTTGGGGAGGTTTTTCTTGCCTATCTTCATAACGAAGAAACAGTGTTGCTTTTTCACCAGAAGGGTTGTTTGGTTTTCGGCGTGAGTCGAGACTTTTTGTTGGCATGTTTGCCAAGTTTCGTTGCAGTTCAAATATGTTAAATTTGTAAATAAATAATTGTATAGCATCCTTTACTATGGGTCTGGTGAGTTACTTTATTATGTAAGTTGTTTTCTCTTCCTTCCTTTTTTTCGGCATGTTCCTCGGTTGCACGTACCTGATCCTTTGTATCATACAATAGTAATGTACCCCACTTTCATCTTTTTCGGCCTTTACTTAATAATATTCTAAATCTTATTTAATCTTAATTTGACTTAATGTTAGTCACCCCCCTTTTTTCCCCTTTTTTATATAGCCACACCACATAATATTTGGTGCCGCGTTTGCAACAGTTGACATGTTGAAAACTCAATGATGCACCTCTTTTCATTTGATTATTGTACTTATCTGTATTTTATGTTTTACTTGTTTATTTTAAATGTTTTTCTTTGAGATGCATCATTGTTTAAAGGAAGTTTTTTTGAATAGTTTAGGCCATGTCTCAAATCTTTATGTTTTAAGTGTGCACTTTTATGAAGGTGTTTTTTTATTTCATGTTTTTCATAAATTTATTTAGGGGTAGATAGTTAAACAATTTTTATTTAAGCATTTTTTTTTGAATTATTGGTGATTGAATATTTTAATTATGCCAAGGACTAGGCAAGCAGACCCTCCGAGTGAGGATATTCCAACTTCAAGAGAATATCACTTTAATATTGACCCATTTTATGGGGATCCCAGTACTTTAAACTGGTTTTTGTCCCAAGTAAAGGAACTTAAGGCACTTAACAAATGGAATAATCAGGCAGCCCTTATTTTCCTAAAATCCAAGTTAAAGGGTTCTGCACTTACCGTTTTTGCAACTTCTCCTAGTTGCCTAAGCCTCAGTTCTTTTGAGGAAGCTGTAAAAATCCTTCAAAATTTCTTTTGTGCAACGAAAAATGAGGTCTCAGCTGAAACAATAAGAAATTTTGCCTATAGACTTGAGTCAGCAGCCCATCAGGCATATGCCTTTATTAATGATGCAGCTGCATTAAATAAAATTAAATCAATTCACTTCTTAAATGCTATATCTCCTAGCATAAAGACTCAACTATCCTTTGAGGATCCTTCAGATTTCATGACGATTGCAAAAAAAGGCAGAAATAATATCTTCCTGCTCTGCACCACATACTAATGCTGCAGTTAATTTTGTAAATAAAACCCAAAATATGGACCAATGCTCTGAAATCGAAATGCTCAAAGATCAAATAAAACAATTGACTACTATTGTTCAAGAGGCAGTCAATTTATATCCTCTATGTAAATCTCCTGACCATTGTCTTAAAAATTATCCTCAATTCATTTTATTTTATAACTGTCGTTGAGCAGCCAACCCAATTTTTAGTTTACGACTACTTATGCTGTACGCTTGTAAATTTGAACCCACTCCAGAGGACAAGGGAACTCCTGGATCAAATATTGGAAGAACTTTGTCTTCCTGGAGGACTTTTTGATGTAACTAACGTTACATGGAGAAGAAAGCCACCGTAACCTCTCACTGTTAGCCTGACAGCAAGGGGACTCCAACCCATGATCCTTCAACCACTGAGGATATTTTACGTCAGCAATGTGGTCGTTGGGAGCCGGGTGCGAAATTCGTATCGGCTAACCATCGCTGGGATTCGAACCCGGTTCACCTCATTGGAAGGAGAACTCTCTATCACTTGATAGTATCTTAGAAAAAAATGATTGAAGTTTAAAATCTTTTATATACCATTACAGTGCTCTACTTTTGTGATTGCGTTACATACTTGAAAATGTTTAACTATTGCTGTGGACCGCAAAATCAACGAATATTCAAATGCTTAAAGTTAGGATAGTTAGGTCTGTAACTTTAAGCAAAAAACGTAATTTAGGGAAGAAAAAATAAGTTAAAAATAAATGTCTTTTATTTTTAAAAATATGTCTTCTGATTGTTTAGTGCGTTTATTCAGAGAAAGTGATTATATTCGAACAATTTGAGATATTTTATCAAAACTGGTTCTAAGCACAATCTGTTACTAAATCTGTTTTCTACTTTGATGGCATGAGTGTGTCGCAAAATTAAGAAATTATTCTTCTACGTGGAAAAAATTTTTTTTTTGCTTTATTATTGAATGTAAAGTAAGTTTGGCCTGCTTTGAAAGTCTCTTTGATGATTTTGGTCAAGAAAACACGTGATCAATACTAAGCTTAAAAACAGGTTTTAAACATAAAAATGCAGTTTTTTTATAGACAACAGAACTTTTTGTTGTTTCTAACATCCTTTATGAGTTTACTAAGTATAAGCGCAGTATTTTGAACTTTCAAAGCATATCGTCCTTTCTACTATTTCAACATGAACGAGCTTATTCTAGAGTTTATTTTCAAATATATTTGTTGATTCAGTTTTTGTCTGTGCAATAACTTTCTGTTCTGTGTTCGAATGTTCGGTTGTGTGCAATATACTTTAATCAGTATTTTTGTTTCAGGTACCTATACAATTTAGGAACGCAGGTGGACTTTTGTCACCAAAACCAATTGAATTAATCATGGAACCTCGTACCAATTGCCCTCTGAAATCTTAAGATTCAACAATGCAAGTCATGGTTTTAATTGCGCGACCTTCACACGAAATTCTGCTCATTTATATCATTTATTGAAATAATATGGTTATTAATAAAATAAATATATTTTTGTTGTATTTTCGTAGTTTTTTAATTTTAAAATTCTACAAAATAATAATTGTATTATTTTAAAAAGCTTTGAAATATAATAACTCTCTTATTAAAAAACTATTTTGAGTTCGATTTGATACCTACTCTTGATTAATTTTAACCTTTCGATAATTTTAATAATGAATAATTGAATATCAATTAAGAATTGTATATTCCATCTAGTGTTAAGTTCTGGAGCACTTCAAAACTTAACAGCGTTTCAGTTGTCATTATCTGATTTTGTAATCTCTGTGTTATCAGTGACGTAATGTATCCACAGTTCCAAAGATAGAATTGATAGGAATACGAAATCAAATTTTAGACAATAACACTTCTCTGATGAAGTTCTTGTTCCTGTGCAATATTGGGGTCGACTATATTTGAGGGTGCCCCTTGATTCCCGCCAAGTTCTGATCGCGGTTGATCGCCAAGCTGGGCGATATTAAAACCCAATGATGATTCAGATTGGTTTAGATTTTAGCGTTTTTTTAAAATGTTCAACGGTGTATGTAATTTCAGAGGTCCGTTACTTCTACGTTGGATACCGGCTGTTAAGGTTACTTTTGCTACTGGTCCTAAAAATGACTACAGTAAATAAGATAAATCTTAAGTTTCTTTACTATTTGAATAACAATGGAAAAACAAGCAATGATTGACTGGTATATGAATGAAAGTTTAATTAGTAATAGATATAAATGTCCTGTTTGTGGGAGTTGTTTCTTTTCTCCCTTTCTTTCTATGCTTACTCCGTTAATTTTTGCTTCGATTCAAAATGCATTTTATTTCGTTTATTAATTTTGTTTATATTGGGTCCATTGCAATTTTATAAAGTTTTGGCAGATGTTTTGTTGAAATTTTCCAATGTTTTATTGAAATACCATTATGTTTTGGCAGCCATTTCTGTTACCACGGTGTTCCGTGCAAATAGGAATTGCGCCAAACATAAATCGCCAATTTTGCCAAGGGGCACCCTCAAGTATATTTTTACCCAATATTGTTGTTGCAAACTATTCTAAAAACTTATCAAGCTTGTAGGGTTTATAAATATTAAACATTGAGTTTGAAATTATTAAATAAAATACGAAGAATTCACTGAGACAAAACATTTATTATAAATAAAACAGGTAAGAACTAACGACAATCACAAAACACAAACGTTCCATGAAAATTATAAACAAACCAACTGATGCCACTCACAGCTATTAGAAATAAAATAAATAATCCCGCGGTGGCCAAGAGTATCATTACAAATACCTTTATATCTAATTTAAAAGTATTGTATGTACTTTTTATTCATCATCCTTTCTTATTGCGTTTTTGAATTTGATTATTATTTCAATTTTAAACTGAGAGTTGCATTTCTTTATTATAATTTAATATGTGTCCCGCAGTGGACTGATCGTTAAGACGCGGTTCCCAGCAGATCACCGAAGTCAAGCGTCACTGGCTACGGTCAGTGTGCGGGTGGGTGACCACTTGGATCAGCCTGCGTAGGGACCGAGGGTGTGCGGTATGGGTCCTCGCTAGACTGTTCTACCGTAAAGTGCTCGACTTCGCGTGCAGGTCGTCGGGCTACCGAAGCGGGGGTGCCATCCCCTCTGCAGAGGATCAAAATTGCGATGGTATGTCTTCGGATCATCCTCAGGGATGTTTCCCAGACCGTCGCCAATAGCCCATTGTGCAGCTTTAGAGCGACGTAAATGAACAACAACAATAATTTAATATGTAGACATTATTTTATAACGCAACATTTTATGATGCATATATTAGTATTGGTATCTATTAATAATTTTTTGAAAATTTTTAATCAGTAAATAAGTATTTTTAACATAAGCTGCGTGTAAAACTGTGTCCAGTCAATATTTGAATATCTGTTCACACTATTACTAAATAATTTCTTGGGTGAAAAAACATATTTCCTACTCACGAGGGACTAGTGACTAAAAATTATTTTTCACCAAGCAAATGAAAAATGATTGTAGCAATCGTTGTAGTTGGCGCGTGAAGTTAGCTGATGCAAAGCCTCCTAATGTAATAATTTTTTTAAACTATAAATTTAAAAATAAATCCCATCTTATAAGCTCCATTATGCAACAATATATGTATCCAAGAAGAGCCGGGATAGCGTGGTTGGCAGGGCGTTAGACCCATGTCCATAAGAACGTCATTTCAATCCCCATCACGGGAGCCCAAGGCAACAAAATGGTGACTGATACAAGCTAAATTTGTCGGGATAAAGAAGTCTTCCAAGTTCTAACAAATCAATACCTCTGAGGGTTCTGGATAGGAGATTTGTCGTCCTCTTGTTCGGGTCTGAATAATGATCTCCGGATGCATAGATGGTGTGCGAAGGTGTCCTCTCTGTAAAACGGGCTGAGACGTATGTGTGTGGCAGAAGTCAAATTCTTGACCGTAAATGGCAACACAGGAAAAAAAAGAAGTGCATTTTTCTGCATTTAGAAAGGCCTGCTAACATTGGCTAATGGCATAAAACTACAACAACCTATGTATCCAAAAGAAGATAAGATATGTTTCAGGTTACGTATCAATAAAAAAGTGTAAAGTGCATAAAGCATAAGTAATGACACAAAAACGGAAATACCTACCACGCTGGGAAAATTTCCGGACCAAAGTACGGCATAAAGTACCGGTACTTTTAGTGCAATATCCCAGTAAAATCCATTTCGTAAAATGTTATACCGTAATTTTTACAGTTATATATCTTTAATTGAAATGATTCAGTGATTTTAAGATAAAAACTACGGAAAATGGATTTGACGGTTAAAGTACCATTTTGAGTGCCGGTATTTTTTTACTGGAATTTGATGCGGAATATTTTACAGTGTATAGATTTGGTTTTATAAATTTGAACCTTCTTCAGAGTCGAAACATAGAAGGATAGAATAAAATAAGGGGATAAGAACCTTCCTCGACGCTAAGGAATTAAATTGAAGATTATTTTCTTAATTTCTTAGTTATTAACTTATTGACAAAACATAAAATTAAAAAAAATATTCTGTCTTTGCCATGGATTTGGATTTTCGAATGTCTTAAATTATTTGATTTTATTATTGTGTCAAATTTGAAATGAATATTATATTGAAATGAACAGTATATGTATTCGAATGAATGATATGATTTCCTATTTTCATTTAAAAAATTGAATACATTTTAATATTTTTTATTTCTTGATATTTTTTTCATTATTTCCAATGCCCACGTATGTTAACGTTTCGGCAATTCAGGCATTTTACAGGGTAGATTCGTTGGCCACTCTTTCAGGGGCACCCTATTAGTTGGGCCAGCGTTTCTCCCACAGTAAGCACCTATACTACAGAGAATGAAAGAACATTCATGCCTTGCCTGGGATTCAAATCCAGAACCATTTCAATGCCAGGCCAGTTTCCTGACCCCTACTCAATCCGGTCGGAAATTATTCAAAATTCAATTGTTTTTTTTTTAAGTATATCAAGATTGGTATCTTTAAAAAAATGTTTATCCAAAAATCCATCTTGATCATTTCTTTATTTAACTTTTATCTAAATTTCAAACTTTAACACAAATTTTTTATCCAAAAACGTTATCTGCCAAAAGGAAAAAAAAACATTCACTAATATTTCTATTTATGAGTATTCTTATTTTTTTTCACCTTTTGTTTCAACGGTGATATCAAATTTTGTTATCAATTCACATATCAACTATGCCTTTCTAAACTGTCATGCAATAGTTTGTTTACGTTTCAAGGTTTATTGAAACATATCCATTAATTTAATACCACTTCTATTTAGTGTGTCATTAAAGAAGGTCTGAGAAGACAAACAGGGTGATATTGAAAGAACCATACAAAGTAAAATATGGATGCGTATATGGACGCATTATATGATATCCGAATTGCAAGTGCAATTGTTGCAGTATTGGTATCGATTTTACTGTATTGGTAAGGCTTATTGTTTTGACAGTTTATATTAGTTAAATTTATTTATAAAGTTATGTTACTTGGTGTATAATACACAGCAAAATAAGACAGGTTAGAGTCAGAATCAAGAACGAAATTATTTTTATTAAATAAACAAATATTTTTTATAGAAAATAAAGTGTGATTTCTTTAAACTTTTATTTAATCAAAATTTTATTATTATTAAAAAAACAACAACATTCATTTATTTATAAAGTTACTTGGTGTATAATACACAGCAAAATAAAACAGGTTAGAATTAGAATTAATAGAGAAAAAATTTTTATCGCCCCATTTCAGTTGAAATTTAATAAAATAGATTTTATGGTTAGAAAATAATATGTTATTTTTTTTAGCTTTTATTTTATACAAATTTTTTATTATTACTAAAAAAACATTCAAATAAAGAAAAAATATTTTTTAAAATGGAAATTATTATTTCGAAGTAGTTATGAAAATGGAGGTCATTTAAAACTTTTAATTCCATTCAATAAAATTAAACTCAAATATTGAGATTTTCATTCAGGATGAGGCATTTTATATGGGCTTCACACCTTACCTGTAGGGTCCTTTTATCATTAATATTGTTCTGTTAAACAAGATGAAAAATAATTAAGTGTGGAGTATTAAATTTTGATGATATATTTCACTAACATTCAAAAACAAAAATAGTAATATACTATGTAATCTTTTTTATTCATTTGATCATTAATTTAAGTGGAATCTCTAAAGATGAGTATACTCTACAATGGCAAGAGCCCCATTTTAGAAAACTTGAGAGCTGGAAAATAAAGTATATTCCAAAATAAAATTTTTGGATGATTATCCTATGCAAGTCTTACAAATTATAAGATCAGCAAATTCATTTGAAATCACGCATTCATTACTTCACAACAATTTCGATATAAGGAATTTGAAACATAAGGCTCCTCAAAAATTATTCGTTATTTGTCGATCACCTATGTGATCATGACTAATCATAATTAGGAAAGAATTCGCTCTAACGCTACAAGAACAGCAATAGAGATTAAGATAAATGAAACAGCCTGCGCCTATATGGAGCGCAAGAGACTAATATTGTGCGCTATGTTCCTGTTCAGTATTTTAGTAAACCTTAACAGAAGAAGATGCTGGCAGATGTTGATGAGAGCAAAGAAACACCAGTTTCTATTAAGACGAAAGAGTCGTCGTGACTCAGGGGATAGAGTGTCCGCCTTCCAATGAAATGAACCGGGTTCGAATCCCAGCGATGACTAGATACGAATTCCGCAGCCGTCTCTTTCCGACCACAGTGGTGACATAAAAATATCCTCAAGGGCAGACGGATCATAGGTTAGAGTCCCCTTGCCTGTCAGGTTAACCGTGGGAGGATGTCGTGATTTTCCTCTCCATGTAACGCAAATGGCGGTTAGTTCCATCAAAAAGTTTTCCACGAAGTCAAATTTCTCCTAATATTTTTTCAAGGAGCTCCATTGTTTTCTGAATTGGGTTTGAAATTACAAGGCTAAGGAGGTGAACAGAAGTAGTTGTAAACCAACGAAAATTGGGTCGGCTGTTAAACGACGGCTACAAAATAAAATAAAATTAAGGCAAAAGAAGGACAATGTAGTGGACATGGCCGGACCACATGATGTGGCTCATCAGGGGCCAAGTGGAAAAATAAACAAACCAATAAAAAAAACACATTTCCGAATAAAGTTTTTAAAAATTCACAAAATAATAAAATTACAATTATAGAATCGCAACATCAATAATAATAATAATAATAGAAATAATAATAATATAGTTATTCATAATTTAATACTTTAATTTTGAAATTTAATTTTTACACCCTCCCCCAAACAATAAAAAAAATTTTTGTTATTGAAATTTTTAAAAATTGTGTGTGTATATTTGACAACAAGAAGGTTTAATTTTTGCTAGAATCATGTTTTAGGCCACATTCAGGATACAAATTAGGTGACAAAGTCACTTTATCCGAAGTTGTGATTTCGTGCGACAGAAAACAATTGTGTTTTTTTAAAAAAAAAATTCCCTTGCTATTTGAAAAGAAGTTTGACATACCTTGTTAAAATAGATCTGTGCAGATGTGTTTTGCAATACGTTCAGAGCAATGCGTTGTAATTTAAAAGAGACATCTAAAAAATTCTGAAAAAAGTCCCTCTGCTATACGGTATGTGCTCATAAATACCAAGTTATTAGTTTTTCAATTATTAGTTTTTCCATTACCATTACCAGTTATTAGTTTTTCCATTACCATTATCAAGAGAAAAATATTTTAGTATTATAAAAATTAAACAAGAAAAATATTTTAGTATTATAAAAATTAAACAAGAAAAATATTTTACTTCCAGGAATATTAAACTCAGTTATAATTTTTTGATATCTTTTATCAGTCTATCTAAAAATTTCGTAAATTTATGAGAAGTCTTGTTAAGTCTTCATTTGAACTTATGAAATTATCATTTTATGTTTGCATCGTTACAAAATGTGAATTAAGTTTTCTTCAATGTGCGCCTAAAAAATGCTGAATCTAACTTTATTAGGATATTTGGTAATTTATCAAATACAATTTCAATAAAACAGGTTCAACAGTTTACAGTGAAACCTCCAGGAAAGACCACCTCTGTGTAGCGACTACCACGACCACTTTTGGGAGGCACGGAATTTTATCCACAGACTTTGTGAAGAAAACCTTTAAGGGAGACCATCAAAACCTCTTTCAGTGACTGGGAAAGCCACTACACCAAAAGTGGAAAAGGTCAAATAAGGAAATACGAAAAAATATTGAAACAAAAAAATATTAATAAAACAAATAAGTAGACTAAAATGTATTCAAAATATTTGTCTGAGGTTCTTATTTAGAGAACTCTTCTTGATTACCTCTAACAGAGATCTACAACCTCATGTTGCAGTCAGAATGCACTAAAGACGATGCTATCAATGATTCATTTTTAGAGTTGAAAGTTTAATTAGAAAAAAAAAGTTATTTTAGAAAAAAAAACTAAGCATCTCATACAAGCAAACCTCTTTTCCTTAATCATAAATCGTTAAAATAAAATTTCGTTAAAAATAAATACATGTAGGAAGTGCGTAAAAAATCTCTCGAATTAAAACCCATTACATGTTTGTTAAAATATAAAAGTAATGCATGTAAACACGTGCAAAACATGTAATTATTAAAACACTACAGTGCGTCTAATTATTTGGTCTAATTATTATAATGTACTAATACAATACCTGATATAATAATTATTTAAATAATATATCGTCTAATTTATCCAATTTATATTATATATGGTCCAATTTAATAATTTTATACAAGAACGTAAACAAGTGCAAACCGGTTTCAGTCGCGTAAAAATCATAAAGCTGTATACTATCAACTGATAATTAAGATTTTAGATTGAGTTTTATAGTGGAACAGAGAACGGTTGCTCTCGTGAGATTCCACTGTATTTTCTACTTTTGTGTAACATGCTAGTTTAATAAAGCATGTTTGATTGTGCTTTAGGTACTCTACAAGGAACCATGATTATTGGAAGAAAAGGGGAATCCCCTATGTTAAGCCTTATCCATTACTTGGATCTCATCCCGCATTAGTGAGGAAAAAGGTGAGTTGACAGCGGGACAATTTTAGTGACAGCATATCAGAATCATATTAATTTTAACAAACAAGCATTAATATTAAAAAAAATATATTTTTTTGCCAATGTATTTAAAATATTTAGATTTGGTTGAAAAAAAATAATGTAATTTAACACGATGTAAAGATTTGCATACCTCATCGTATAAAGTTTTTTAAAAAAAATATTGATGAATTGTAAAAAAAAAAAAATGTTATTGTAAATGTCTTTTTTAATGAAAATACCATAGCAAAAATGAGTTTTATAATTACGAGGAAAATTTTTTTGGGAACAATGATAAAAGCCAAACATCATTGGCATCAAACTTTAGACCGCTTTTCTAGTTATATTGGGAAATATTGAGTTAAAATATAGTGTAAATTGAAAACTTATACGAATTCACTATAAATATAACTAATAATCCTATTAATACTAATTATTAATAATAACTCCGTTTGTTCAGAGAAAGTATGTACGATATTTGATGTCATATACTGGTGGACAAAATTAAGAGATGGAAGACATTTTCCCAAATATCTCAAAAAATACTGAATATAAATAAATGAAATTTGGTATGGATGTAGCTTATTCCATGATAATAAAGTATGCAAAACAAAAATGAAAGTGCCATTCACTGGCAAGACCTATTGCCCATAAATCCAATGTAGTCTGAACTTAAGGATAAAAGATGACAATAAAAGTGAGGCTTGTACAGTGTGTGTTGCCTCTAGTATGGTGTATGGTCACCCCTGACAGACAGACAGCATGCACAACGAGTATGCATGCTGTTAATAAGGGAGTTAAGGAGGACTTGTGGAAGACCCTCCCATTCTTCCACCAGAGCAATTTTTAACTCCAGAATGGTTCTGGGGGGAGGTTGGCGCATCGCAATAGCTCTCCCAAGAGCATCCCAAGCATGCTCAATAGGATTCAGGTCAGGGAATTTGGCTGGCCAATCCATTCGTTGAATATCCTCGCTTTCCAGATACTCATCAACCATGAGAGCCCTATGTGATCGCGCATTGTCGTCCATAAAAATAAACTTAGGGCCAACAGCGCCCCTGAAAAGACGCACAAAGGGCTCTAGGACCTCCTGCCGGTACCTCTGGGCATTCACGGAACCATTGTCAAACACATGGAGCGCTGTGCGGGTATCTTCCATGATCCCTGCCCAAACCATGAGTCCTCCACCAGCATAATGGTTCCTTTCGATAATATTGCTGGGATGGTATCGGGTTCCAGGTTCCCTCCATGTCAATAACCAACCAGAATCAGGTTGTGGATTGAATCTGGACTCATCGGTGAAGAGAACATTAGCCCATTGAAGCTGTGTCCAATTCCGATGTTGTCTTGATTTTGTCCACCAGTGTATTTCGTAACTTAATTAATGGCAGGTGAGTTGCGGCAGATCGCTTCCTTCGAATCACAATGATTGCGCCTTGCATAAGAAAAACCAATCATTAGACTGAAAATAGTTCAGGATAAATTTGCATTCAGAATAAAGGCGAATTTTAAAATATGACAACTAGATTGTTGTAACGTTTTATGATTAGCAAAATTTTGATTTAACAGTTATTTCGATTTAACAGTTATTATAAAATAGTCATTGCTATCAAATTAGAAAAATATTAATTTTTCTTAAATTCAAGCATTTAAATGTTTATTTAATAAAGGGAACAAAATATCCTTTTTTTTTGGTTTATAGAATTGGGAAGACGTAGAATTGGAGAGGCGTCAAAAATATGGTGATTTATATGGGTAAGTAATACAATATTTTATAATTACACTACCTCTCATGAGTTTCAATAGACCTATTGTTTCTTTAGTTTCCGAAGAACTCATAATGCTTGCGTGAATATGTAATCTTCAATTAAAGCAAAGAGACGTACTTCATTACATAATACTTCATTCATCGTACATTCATTTAGCCAAAATAGTAGATCCAATGTATAATTCAAACTCTATCGAATCACTTCCCCTAGATAATTAAGTTCGTAAGATTTATTCCCCGATGCACTTGTCTAAATGATTTAACAACCTTCATGGATATTTTGAGTTATATGATCCAGCGTTCAACGTACTGGAAAAGTATTTTTAACGATTTTTAAGTGGGTCGGGATAGCCTGGTCGGTAGGGCGCTGGGCCCTTGTCCGAGAGTTCGTGGGTTCGAATCCCGCAGGCCGAAGACTATCCGTGTAGAAAAGTGACTGATGCACGTTAAATCTGTCGACTCGCAAAAGTCCTCCATGTTCCCATAACAAATCAATACCTCTGGGGGTACTGGATTGGAGATCGATCGTTCTCTAATTCAGGTCAAAATTACGATCTATGGATGAATGAATGGATGGGTTCGCCCTATAAACGGGTGCGACGTATGGTGTGGCAGAAGTCGAAGGCTTGGCCATAGATGGCGCCATTGTAAAACAAGAAACGCACATTCTGCCTTAAATTTGATCGGTTTCACCAAGCAGGCTTGCTAGTATGGCAAGTAGCATTAGAAACAACAATAACAACAACCATTATTAAGACCAGTTTTTGATAAAGAAATGAACAGTAGTTACGTGAGTATTGCATTGAAGTATCATATTTTACATACTTTTGATGGGAAAAAAGAGGTCAACCCTAGCCATAAAACTCTCAATTTTAGCGATTTAACAATGTTTTGTTCATTTTGAGAATCATGTCGTCACGAAATCACGCTCCTTAAGAAAAAACGCGAATTCTCAAATATATGAACTCAAGTCGGAACATCATCACAATGTATCGTGGGAATTGTTAACTAGAATGAAGACTAGACTATCGAAAATAAAGAGCCCAAACAAGCAGCCCGGACTGTAAGATAGTCAAAGAGTTGACCTCGTACCACTGTGCTTCCCAAACTGTGGTACGCTTACCCCCCAGGGGTACGGGAACAGTGTAGCGGGGGTACGCGTTCATATGCGAAATATCTTGCAACAAACGAAAATTTCAATTTTTTTTTAAAACAAAGCTAGCCACGAAAATTTACGATTACGTATTTTTCTATTGGCTATTTCTGGCAAAGTTTTAATAATTAGTGGTGTCAATAGCCAGTTGTGATTTTTAACTTTTGTGCAATTTTTTTATAGTAAAGGTGTGACATTAAGTCACAGCCTAATTTCTAAATATCCCGTTTTATTAATCAATATACTAATTTTTCGGCTTAATTTATATTTTTTAGATACAGTTTTTATTGTCTTCATCTTTTTCTTCTCGCCCCTTAACGCGTTAGCGCAATGAGGACACTTTCCCCAGGAGGCTCCTTGCACATTCTTCAGACACTCCTTTTTCTTGGAAAGAAGGCTGTCGGCGACCTTTGATGTCAACACATGTTTGTGGTTACGGTACGGTCGCCGTTAGTATTTAATTATGCTTAAATTTAAGGAGTTAGTTAACTCAGTTCAGTTCGCTCCTTAAGCTCGATTTTTTTGGCTTTTTAGGAAGTTTAACTTCCACTTCTAGCTATTTCTTTAAATACCGCCCATTTTCTGGGAGCGGACACATTCGAAATTTAGTTGTCAACACCATCTTACGATCCCTTAACAGGGGTTTTTCATTTTCACCCCCTCCTCTCTTTGGAGAGACGGAGTTTTATTTTTGTTTTAAATATATGGCGGTCATATTTCTCCGACCCTCTGTGGTTCCCCTCTGCGGGCTGTGATTGTTTTGTTTTTTTTTCCTCGCCATGAACATTTAAGTGATTATTCGATACTTTGATTTTTCTCAGTCACCTCGCTCGCGTACTGAGCGTTTATTTTGCTTCGGTTTTCTCTCTGGTTGAGGGAAGGAACTTCACTCCCTTTTAAATGGCGTAATACCTGCCCGCCGACTCCCCAAGGATGCGGTTTTTTTCGACAAGAACGAAAATCAATCTATCGACATCGTAATTTTTTGGATCGCCCTTCCAGAAGCGAAATGTTTATGTGTCGACTGAGACAACTGCCAGCCGCCACTGATGCTACTAGGAGATGAAAAGATGATCAATGTTGAAAAATATGCCTTGTGACCCCTAACTGGACATACTTGTGATTCTGATGCCCCAACGATTTTATTGGTATGAAGTGATCTGCAGTAATAAACTACAACAAAAAAAAATGAACTCTGGACTTTTCCTTGTGTTTTTCTTTAAATTATTGCAGCTAAGCCAAATTGTGTGTCGTCTCCCACCTGCAACAGGTATGTGAAAAATCATTGCAAAGACATCTTGATTTCTAGTGTGTTTTCTTCTGTGTTTTTTTATTTTTAAGGGTTATTGCTCACTATTTTTAGTTTCGGCCATCCTTTAAATTATAACATTCCAATATCGAGCCAGTAAATAATTATAACAAAAGGTTTGCAATAAATTCTACTTATTTTGATTATTTCTATAAAATAAAATTTTTATCCTGTTATCACAGCAAAAACAATATCATCCTTCTCACTGATTCAAATAAACTTATTAACACAGCTTTGTACCAAGAAAGAAAAATAAACATAGTTTAAAAAAATACCTTCATTTTTCTATTAGTGGTACACAACGTTACGAAAAATTTAGAAAGGGTACACAAAAGTCATAAGTTTGAGAAATACTGTCGTACCAGGAAGATTCCGAGTTCGAATCGCGCTTCGTGCATGTGTTTCTATTCTATCTTTCTTTCACGTCTCTTTTGGGCAACATTGAGCCGAAGTACAGTTTTCACAATAAAGTGATTTTTTTCAAAAGTTAGATATAGGCTCTACTTTTTTTCTGAAAGAAAAAAAAGAATTACTTAATATTTCTTTAGTTTTGACGAAATTCGTTTCTTCGAAGAAATGACAATAGTTATTTCATCACTTTGACGAAGTTTTTGCTCGGAGTATATACCAGGAAACTGTTTTGTCTAAAAAGAAGAAAGTTTCGTAAAATTTGAGCATCCATTTGTTACAGTGTGTATTAAAAATAATGTGTTATAGAGTATATTTAATAATCGACAAAAGGCGAAAACTAATAATTTAATTATATTGTAGTTTCTCTTAATTAAAGAAACCAAATATACAAACACTTTTTCCATTAATTTAATCAAAATAGCAATTTAATATACTGTAAAAAGCTTTTCATTAGATTATAATACGTTTTTGGATTTCATAAAATTTGAAACTAGTACATTATGTACATTACTAGTACGAAACTAGTATGATCCATAAACAAAAACTAAAAGCACTGAAAATAATGGTTAATAGCAACGCTTTAATACAGAATTTGAAGTTTTTGATTGAATTCTATTTAAAGTTAATTGGAAAACTTTTTGTGATTCAAAGCGCATTCTTTTAAGAAAATATAGGTTTTTACTTTAAGAAATATAAGTAGGTAAATGAAAACCAGGATTTAAGATCTCAAAAGGAAATATTTGAGGTGCAATTAATAAGTTATATTCGAAATTACATTATTATCTATATTTGAAGAATTTGATTAGATTATTCATCGTTAGTCGTGATTAGCAATATAAACGTCATATGAAATATTACTATGATAAACTTTTTGTTTTGAAAAATAGATTTCATTGTTTTCTTTATCATTTGCCTTGAAAATGTGAAATTTTTTTGAAACTTTCAGTGACTACTTGCTACAAGAGATAACAGCATAAGCATTACTTTTAATTTTTTTCACACAAACGATGTCATTTTTTCCAAAAAATTACTATTTGTTTTAATATGTTTATTTTTTTTATATCCTGGTTAAAGAAACAACAATCAAAATGAATTGTCAAGTAGCTGAAATTTTCAAAATGCTCAGTTTAAATTTTATTCATGTTTTGAATTGGTTGTTTGCAATACTGATGAAAAAAGAATATTTGTTAAAGTTCGATTATGTATTGTTTGCAATCAAAATTTCATGCTCCAAGTAATTATAATAGTAATAAACTGTAATAAACCAAGTAATAAACTCAAAAATAAACAAATATCACGTTCATCTAAAAAAACACAAAACAATTGAAATAACATATTAATGCGTTCTTTAATTTTATTACAACAAGCATAGTAGTTTTAAAGAAAAAAAAAGTTAAAAAAAATTTTTTTTTTTGGAGATCAAATTGCCTTTGTTTATCAAACAAAGCATTTCGACAAAATCAATCAATTGCCAGCCTGGTCAGTTTTAGAGGAAAAAAATGATTAACGAAGAAGATTTTGTTTGAATATCGAGTTACCTTTGTTTATCAGCATAAACATTTTGACAAAATGAATTCATTACAAGCCTGACCACCACACGGGCTACTCTCTTCATAGGAATACAATGCAGATCATACTGTAATACAATGTTATAAAAGGAATATAATGCAGGCCTCATAGAAATACAATACTAACACATGTGACTCATTGCACATGTATGAAGACAAACAGTCAAAAACCTGTCCTTTTATGGTGTAAAGAACATTTAAGACTTAAGTAGAGATTTTTCTTTCAGCTGTTTGTTATATTTGTCTTTAAAATAAGTGTATAAGAAAGATTTTTTTCTTTAATTTTTTAGTTATTATGAGGCAAGTAAGCCAGTTCTTATGGTTTCAAGACCGGAACTTTTAAGAGACATTTTAGTGAAAGATTTTCAGTATTTCTCTTCACGACGAGTAAGTATGATCTTCTCTTTTCAGTGACAAGTGTATATGTTTGCAGTGTTGGAACTAATAAAGCATAATTTTATTCCCTTCGGTTTTCAAATATTCTGGGAGTGGTTAATCAATCCTCTTCACATTCTTGTTTTGCTTAGTTCAGGCGCAATATCGAGAATTCATTATTTCGGAATACATTTTGCTTTTAACGCTTTTAATGATATTTGCCGATTAGTGAGGCGTTTTTTTTCCTTCTAAATATTGCATAAATTTTCTGATCATTATGCTTTTTTCTTTACTCCTCATTTTATTTATTCGCACTCAATTAAAAAAATTAATTAACTTTTAATTATTTCAAAAGTATAATTATAAAGACAGCATTGTTACGAAATGTATAATGTAAATGTGGAGTTCATTGGCAGTTCAAATTCGATACATTATATTTAAACGAAGTTCAGCAATGGAAACTCAAGAGCAAATTTTTTTTTTTACTTTTCAAATTGAAAAAAAGGGACTGCAAGCATATAAAACGTTATTTTGAATTATAAGTTTGGATATGCACATACAAAACATCGAGATCCCGGCACTGCTCCATATGTAGAGTTAAGAAATTTGGAAAGTTAAGAAACTTAAAAGTAGATGTAATGCAAAAGTCCAGATACTTGTACATCTTAATTTAAACGTAAGCTTAACTAAACTATACACTTTTAACGTTAGTTAAATCGTAAAATGTCTGAATGTATAGACAGAACAAAATCCTTCTCTCATCGTAAGACTCAATTTGATCAAATACTCATTTTTTGTACCAGAAGTAGCCACCCTTTGTTTGAGTGACCTGCAAGAAGGCAAGTGGATTGTAAAAACCATCTTAAGCACGATATGATTTAATTCTAATAAATGAGCTTTATTTTTGATTAAGTGTTTTTTCCAAATTTCAAGATACTTAAAATTCTTACATGATTATTATTTTATATTTAATTTTCAGGTATTTGATTCAGGTGATCCAATTCTCGACAAGATGTTATCCGTAATAAATGGCGACGACTGGAAGAGAATTCGAACCATTGTATCACCCACTTTCTCGACTGGTAAAATCAAAAGAGTGAGTACATTGCAAAAAAATTCCAGATAAAACTACCGCTAAAAGTACTGGCACTTTCAGTTTAGCATCCATAAAACTAATTTTACCGTAGAATTCCTTTTTATCGTAAAATTTTAAACCGTAATTTTTACAATAACATATATTTAATTCAGTGATTCGATGATTTTATATTAAATATTACTTTCTATATATAAGTGCTTACTGGCACTTTTAGTTTAGCATCCATAAAACTAATTTTACCGTAGAATTCCTTTTTATCGTAAAATTTTAAACCGTAACTTTTACAATAACATATATTTAATTCAGTGATTCGGTAATTTTATATTAAATATTACTCTCTATATATAAGTGCTACAGTATGTCTTTTTTATGCTCCGTAAAAATTTACTGTAAAATATAACGATACTTAAAGTGACAGTACATTAGATCCGGAATTTTTTATAGAGTAGAAAACATCAAATACATTTGATTTATTTAATGACTGAATAATAATTTGAATAGTAATACTTTAAATAATAAATTCGGATAATTATTAAATTTATAAATCCTGATTGATTTGTAATACATTTTTGTGCACGTTAACAGCGTTTTATTAACAACGGTAACAGCGTACAGAAACTATAGTTCGAAACTTATAACTGAGTATACTTTTTAGGAGAATAAGGTGCATTTTGTTGCTGCAAAGGGCATCTTCTTCAAACACAAAACAATGGAAATTATTTAATTCCCTTGTCATTTTGCTTGAAAAAAATTCTCTCACGGTAATCTAAAATGTTTTATTAAATAAGATCTTAAAGAATTATTATTTTATTTGAGTTTTAATAAATCTTGTTCATGAAATATTTTTGAAAAAGTCGGTAAAAGAAAAAAAAAATCTAAGAACAGTTGCAAATGTTTCAGATGGGGTAAATGCATGTACTAAAAAACATTTTAATTTTATAACTACAAGTGATTAGTGTTTTTTTCATAAACACAAAAGTTCAATAACTTCTTTTTTACATTTTTCATATGTATAAAAAATAATTGTATATAAATTATTTTTGACTGAAAAAAATTTTTTTAGAAAGATTTTAGGAATAAAAAATTAAAATTACGAGTAAATAGTTTGTTATAAATGTGTTGATTTATTTTGCTTTTTAGCAAATTTATTTGTTATTTTTATTTTATGAGATTATTATGCATTTTTCACCGGTCTTGCAATATGTAATTAGACGATATTTCCGCAAGTACTGTCCAACGTAGATAGCTTAAACTTTTTTTTCTTTCTGTTTATTAATGTCTTTTTACTTGGCAGGTAATGAGTATATTTCAAGATTGTGCTAAAACACTTCTTCAGAACTTTAAGATGGAATTTGCAAAAGGAAAACCTGTTGATGTATTAAAGTAAGTTCATCGTTTTAGTTTTGAAATTTTACATACCTATTTAGCATGTTTCAATTAGCTTATTTAAGGTTTCTTTTTTTTTTTCTAGAAAAAAATTACTTTAAATCTGTTAATGTGATGGAAGTTAATCATGCGTTAATTTCATATCATTGTTTTCAGTTGTATCAGTTACAGTTTTATGCTTTTTATTTTATCTGCTTTTGGGGCGGGATTTTATTCTGAGTCTAAGGCAAATATCTAAAATTCCAGATCAAATTGTTGCGAAATGCTTATCATAAGTTTGATAACTCAAATATACCGATTTTTACCAAGTGCAGTTTCAAACTTTTAAATTATTGATTTTAAATAAAAGTTGAGTTTGTGGGGTATAATGCAGATTTTAGATTTTAATTTTTGAGAAATTTATATTAATTGTCTGCTATCTTCAATGACCCGTTTCTCAATGAAATCTCGAATTTCATGATTAACTGTTATCATTGACTTTGTGACATAAAATGCTGGTTTTCTAATCAATACTTCTGAAATGGTTTCCCCCCCCCTCCTTCAAAAAAAGTAGTCGTAGCAAATAATTTGAAAAAGCAATTTCTAAAGTAGAAATAAATGCTTACACTATAAAACATTTACATAAGCTGGCTCATTTTTTTCGTAGTTTAGTTTATTATTTTATAGCAGTCAGGAATTTTGAAAAATTATGTCATCGCTTTATAAAAAACATTTCAGAGCGCAAGGAAGATTCAAGTCCTGTATTAAATCCTGCAAGCAGAAAATAAATCCTGTAAGCATATTCCTGAAGTTCATCATTATTTAACGATCTGTATGCAGCAAGTGAATGAACCAATTTTTTTAGTGAAAAAAATGGGTCAAATATTTATCCCGAATAGTAGAGCTTGAATTATTAGTGTCGAACAAAAGTAAGTTATGGTAGGCATGGTAGTAAATTATTATCATATAGCAAAATATTAGTATAGTACGTTAGTATGAAGTAGTGAATTTTATGGTTTGATTGTATAATATTCTTATAGTTCTAATCACAGGGTCTAGTAGTAAATAGTATCGTTTAATTGTAAAAAAAAACATATTAGTAATTAACAAATGAAAGCGAAAATGTGTTTGCTCTCTTTATAGCTTTTCATTAGTTGCTCAATCAGTTTTTTTCTACATAGGCTTTGCTAATTGTTTTTAAAATTATCAATGACGTCCAATATTCAGGATCAAATTTCAATTGTACCTTGTTAGAATTATTTCTTTTTTTTATCAAGAATTAGTAATGTAAAATATAAAATCAACTTGCAGAATACTTTTTTCTGATTCATGCTAATAATATGTTTTTTTCTAGAGTTTTGAATTTAACGTTGCTAATACACCATGTTACTGAGTAATGAACTTTGACTAAACAATGTGCTTACAGCTTAAACGTGAATCAATAATACAGTAGAAATTTAGCATTGTTCATGCAATAAGTGATGGACACTGACTTTCACAATTCCTATTGTGTGAGCGTAGTTCATTACACATTAGAAATTTAAGGTTGCATCGCGATAGTAAGTAATGAACTCTGACTAAACAGTGTATTTACTGCGGGATTCATTTATATATTAGAAATTTAACATTGCTTATGCACAGTTGTTGTAAGTGATGAACACTGACTTTCACGCTACCTATTGTATGAGCACATTTTACTGTATTTAAGAAATTTACTATTGCTAATGCCCCATGATCTTAAGAAATGAATGCTGATTTTTAAAACAAGTTTATTCACTATATGTTTACGTAACTATTATTCATAATTGCATGAAAAATTCAACGTTAAAATTCACATTAAACAGTTTATTTCTTTGTTGACTTGTCAATATTATTGATCAATTAGGTAACGTACTTATTTTTTAAGTAACAGCAGCAAACAATTTTTCATTGCTTTAAAAATCTATTGCTAATAAGCTAGGTTTCTGTTAGTCAAGTTTTCTATCTTCCCTGTTTTTGTTTCATACTTTTACTAACTGCGCGTATAATCTGAGGTGTTGTCAAAATAAGTTATTGATTTCGTTATATATTTTTTCTTTTAATAAAAAAAAGGGATAGTGAAAGGCATAAACCATCTTACTTGATTACAATTAGAAATTGAAATTATATGGGATAAAAGTTTTGGCTTTATTATAACCTTTTCATTACATTGTAAACTTCACGTAATAAAAACATTCCCCAAAAAGCTGGTATATAAAAATTTCAAGTTTTTGTGTTTTGCTTAAATTCAGTCACGCCCATTTATTGGATTATATCCATAAACTTGATTAAGAGTTTAGATATTATGAAACATTTAGATTTGTATTTTTAGACGTTCTCATTAATATGTAACCGTATACTTTGTAATTTTAGATATTTTGGAGCTTTCACCATGGACGTCATTGCAAGTTCTGCATTTTCGACAAAAATAGATTCTCACAATGATCCAGAAAATCGATTTGTTAAAAATGCCCAAGGGGCTTTTTCTCAAGGCATGAGTCTTAGATTTTTACTTTTCTGTAAGTATAATTGTTTCGTTAGCAAAATTTCAATTTGTAAAAAATAAAAAAATGAATAAATCACAATGTTATTTTGAAATCATAGCGCATTTAAAAAAAATTTTAAAACTTTGTTTTCTCTTCTTTATAATTGATAATCAATATCAATATTGATAATTAATATTTTTGTTAATCGAATTTAATTATTTTTATTTCATATTTTATTATTTAGAATAAATTTATATTATTTAGGATATTTTATTTGCATTAGGATTTTAGAAAACAAAATTTCGAAATAGTTGGAGAAAATGTGGAGGAACTTTGACGCAAATGCAATGTAAAACGTTTTCTTCATTAAAGTCTTACTAAAATTTGGAAAATGGAACTAAGACTTATTGTTCTCTAATTATTTAGGAACGAGAATATCTTGTTGCTAAGCATTATCATGCTACTGTTGTCTTTCTTCTTACGTAGCTGTTTTAACTTGCTCCTCCGCGGTGTTCAGTGTAGGAATTAATGTCATAGGAAATTTTCTCTACTTTTTTATACATAAAATTAGACCATTTTTTAAATCTAAATAAAACAAAAAGGTTACAACCAAACAAGCATTAAAAACTGATAGTTACAGTCGTATAAATTAGGAAATGTAGTGTTAGTTATTAGACCATATTTTAGTAAGTAAACAAATAAAGCTAGAAAGATTTAGACTTTGTTCTGGATTATTATGTAGATTATTCTAACGTAAATACTTTTATCAGTATTTTTTCGGCTTGCAGAAGATGAAATATTTGACTGACTGAGAACAAGGATGATGTAGGTAGAGTTATCAAATGATAATCTAAGTGCTAGCAGACAAGATAAAGTGCATTGAGTAATTTAATGAATAGGATCAGAACGAAAGAAACTTTATTAAATTTGAATATGGAATAGTCAAATTTAATAGAGTTGCTAGCACGCTATTTAGTCACATGACATTCCCTTACTATTTCTATTTTTTCTTAAGCTACTTTATGAAATGTTTCAGATTTTAGTTCATTCTGATAAATTTGAAAATGTGAAAGGGCTTGATTATAAATCTTATTTATTCGGTCAGTTTCGCAGTTTTCCCGCTTAATTCCGTTTCAATTTTAATTCCGCTCATTTTTTGGAGCTTCGTTCTGAATTTCTTAAACTTTTGAAAAGTTTATCGTTTAACGGTGAACTGTTGTTACTTTTTTAACGTCTGATTTTTCGATTAATTCAATTTATAGTTTTATCTTGAGGTCATTATTCTTTATTTAATAGCAATTCTTTTATCTATATTTCAAATGACAGAAAATTAAACTGCAATAAAAAAGTTAAACTCTTAAGGAATAATAAAATACGATTCGGAATTTCGTAAACTTAGGGAACATTCTTATTTAATGTAGTTTTATAGTTCTACCTGAAATTCACCAATCAATTTCTAAATATATATTTAATATGAATTTATATTTCGATGAAAAAGTGACAAAATCAATAATGTGAGTGCAGCGTTCGGATATATTTTGTATTAAAATGAAAAGTTTGTTTTCAAATCATTTGATGTCCACACAAAATAGTTTATTAAGGAAGTAACATCTCCACTCTTCTCTTAAGATGGAAACCGATTAAACTTTTCAAAGTGTTTTCGAACTTCATCGCAGAATAGTTAGGAGTTCCAAAAGCAACGTTTCGCGAAACTGACCCATCGTTTCTCTACTGGTGACTGATAACTTCGACAGGCAGAAAACGTTTTATGAACAACAGGAGTGCTGCACACCTCTTCTTTCCGAATTATTTTATTTACACACAGCATAATGGTCAAATATTTTTTGAAATTAAACAGTACATGAAGATGAACTTTAATACTTTAATTTATAATTTGTTTTCAGTGCTTATGCCACGTTTGGTGAAAAAGCTTGGTTTTAAAGTCTTTAATCCTTCAATCATGAATTTTTTCAAAAGTGTAACGCTGAATATTGTACAAGAAAGGAAGAGGACTGGGCAGGTAATTATTAATAAGTTCATATTTATTTCATGAAATAAACCTTGAACTAAGTCTTTCAATCTATTTGTTCAGTTTTCATAAAATTCTTTCTATCATGTGTTGATTTGGGATTGGAATTCTTAACAAATTTTAATAAAATTATCAAAATTTCTTTAATAAAATTATTAAAATTTCACCGTTAAAATTTTCATTCTAAAATTATGGTAAAACAATCATCATCATTCTGTCCATCCAATTAACCAAAAAGCTTAAGGTAAAGAACATTTTTACCTTTACGATTTTAGACAGTTTATAATTAGTATGATTATAAAACCATGAATATTAAACTATACAGTTTTTAAACCATTTAGACCTAGCATGGTTTCAAAACCGTAAAAAATAAATTTAACTTGACATAACCTTTCATGTACTACAGGAAATGGTCTGACAGATGAGACTGGTGAGACTGACAGATTAGTCCTCTCTATAATAAATAGACAGTTGTAAGGAACTAAGCGGTTATATTTGCTGGCATTAGTTGGTGCGATAAAATTCTGTTTGTTTAACCGTATAGATGTAAAAGCGGTTAATAAACGGTTTTTCTCACAGTTAACAGTTTAATTACCATCTTATTTATGATTATTTGACTGCTACAAAATGTTTTGTTAAAAAGCATTTGCTTTGCAAAGCGTCTCCAGAATCCTTTTAAATACATATTTTTTACTGAATTTCTGAACACTTCTATCAACTATTTTACACCGTGACAGTATATTGGCATTTGAAAAAACTATGTATTTAATCAATTTTCCGAAACATTTTCCATTCCAATTTTATGAAATTTTCTCTAGGTCATGATATTTATTAGCAGATGATGGATATGACTCATCATAGCGTAAAAAACAATAAATAGTAAAATAAAAACCTGACCAGTTGGTTTAGCGACTTTTTTAAATTTACGTTTCTTTTCAAAAACAAAAATGGCGAGCGAAAGAGTTTGGAAGTAGGGAAAATATTATTGCAATAGATTAATAATGTAGGGGAGAGGGGGGCACATGTGAACAAATTTTTTTATTTCTTCATTTTTCGAAAAATATCATCAATTTTTCATAGTAAAGAAGTCCATATGTTTAAATAGTCTTTTCTTTGTCTTATGGAATTTTTTGAGATTTTTCAATAAAATATTTCTTTACTTTATGATATTTTAGAAAAATGACTTCAATTGTTCACATGTGCCCCTATTGGGGGCACATGTGAACAGGCCTGGGGCACATATGAACAAGATTAAAAACACAAAGCAATCATCATATTTCAAAGAAAAAAAATCTTTAATATAACAGATATAGATACGCATTATACTGAGGGGGTTGTAGCTTACTATGTGAATTTAAATTGTACAACAGTACTGTCAATAAGAAAATAATTTTTCAGCTGTACAATAATTTTTCCGTAATTGGGTTTTTCGCAACTTCATGTTCCACGGGTGTTGTAATGGGCCTTTTTCTTTCTTCTCTAATACTCTTTCATGCTTTTTTTTTCATTTTTTCTATCTTTTCATTTGTAGCTTTAACAATTCTATTTTCTCAGGTGTATCAGTTAATATGCGTGATGCGCGATCAACCATTTAATAAAAAAAAAATTTTTCAAAGGAAAAATTAATAAATTAATTATGGAAAATTAAATAATGATAATTTTAAATGCATACATATTTTTTAAACTTATAATATCATGAGGATAATAATCTTAATACTATGTAGGGGCACTTGTGAACTGTTCACATCTGCCCCAGATGTTTTGTTCACAAGTGCCCCCATCATCCTTCTTAAACCTAACTTGAAAAATAAAGAACTTTTAATTGAGTAAAAAAAAAGAATAATTGTCATAAACTTACCTGAATGTTCATATAATGATCTGCAATAGTTAATTTTAGTTTATTAGTTGATTTATATTATGCTTTCACTTGGAGAAGCGAGCGATTATAATATATGCAACACCAGCTGATACAAAGAAATTGTCAGAATAGAACAACAAAATGTCTCATTGTTCTGAAAGTTTCGCAGAGAGGTAGGACTAGTACTGCCATCAATTGAAAATTTTTCAAGATTTTTTATTTCAAATCATATCGGTAAAACATACCATGTTCACATGTGCCCCCTGTTCACAAGTGCCCCCTCTCCCCTAAATATATTAGTATTGGGATCTGAAATTACACAAGGTACAGAGCTTAAAAAGAAAGTAGAAAGCAATCGAAAGAAATATTCACTTATCATAAGCAAACCTATCCTAACATTTTTTTCCATACAGATGTTTTTTTACTAATTAACCATTTTTTTTGATTGCCCATTTGTAGGTTATAAGCAGACCTGAATTTAAGATTAGTCAAAAAACTTCAAGATGAACAAATATGTTTTATATGTGGCATTTTTTTGATAACTGTAAGTCACTTTCAACTTCATAATTTAATATCACCGGTTCTTTAAACTCCATTCTCACTGTAATGTTTCGAAGCTTAATGGAAAGATGTAATTATAGACATTTCTTATTACAAATAAATATTTTTTTTTACTGAATTACTTGTATTGGTCGAATAGTATGACTCACCTGTTCATCGCCTAAGCTGAACGGTTGCTTAAAAACTAGCTTAAGCTAACAGTTTAGATAAAAAATTTTTCAATGCTAGAAATTTCTTTGTGTTATTACTCACATTTTGGATTAGTAAAATGCTAACATTTATTTTTCAGACAAGGAATGATTTCCTGCAGTTGCTTGTAGATTCAGCAAACCAAGCAGCAAAAGAAGAAAAATTGGATGAGGCAGATGATCTTGCTGCCAACTATGTAGACGAATCAAAAGACCATGCAATTTTTAAGACTGTTACTACAAAACGTAAGCTAGTGTTGAATGTATTCGCTACAGAGTATATTTGCCCTCTAGAAATTAAGAATTACTCAAAGGAAAAGCTGACACGTATGATAGTATAAGAAATGCACCAGCGCCAACTTTATTGGATATAAAGGAAGGTAGGATAAACGCTCCGTGAACTGTGCACAACTGATAAACAAGAATGCGTGAGAGTATTTAAAGCAAATGTAAAGTCATGTAGAGGATAGATGTGCTCAAAACTTAGTGAGCAGTAGTGTGGTTTATAGTGAGAAAAGGGATTGACACATTTCTCTACCCAGATAAAGAAATACTACACAGCTGTCATTGATTGCATCGCTTTGATTGTTTCTAATTATTTCATTAATAGTTGCAATGGCTTGGTTGGATATCATGGTGTTCGCTTGCTCAAGTCATTGGTATCTTTGATGTTTGTCATCTATGAAATCTCACGCCATTTGTTAACATCGTATGAGACAGGGATGACCAGCATTCGGAGTTATGCTCATCGTCTGCTACTAAAAACAGTACTACGTCTTATGTCTTTGCTCTTGACGCATTTACTTTGTGCATTCGTTTTAAATGCTATTACGTGAAATTTTACGAAATATGCGGTGAGATTTTCTACCTTCTTTCATAACTTTAAATAATGGTGCTGCTATTGCTACTTAATTTTTGGCATTATTATTATTCATTTGAGCAATCTTCGTAAAATTTTTTAATTATTTAAAAAAAGTCGGAGGAGCGTTTTTTATTTTATTCATGAGAGGAACTTAAGGGTGAAACATTATCATGTAGTTTGAATAAAAACTTCAAAAAGTGATTTTCTCAATGTCACTTCTAAAATAACTCCCATAAAAGTAATAGAATAATTAACTAATAAATTTACTTGAAATATGTTCTGATTAATGGCAATTTATTGGTATTAATATTATATAATGTGTTATTTTCATTTCAAAGCTCTACACAATTTTTAAATATGAGCCATTTTTTCTGTACCTTTTGTGATATGTAATTAATGGAAGATGGTATAATCCTTTTTAAACTTAGGTGAGTTACTATATAATTTATAATACGGTTGAACTTTTTCTACCTTTTCCAACTATAGGCTATCACTTTTGTCCCCATCGTTCTGGTAATGAATTGGGAGAAAAAATTCCATTCCCTTTTTTGTTTTATTCTGAAACAGGCAGGATGGATAACTGAAAAATCATTTTTATAAACAGACTTTAATAAGATTTTTATAACCTAGTTCGAAATTGATATTTGGCAAACACAGTTCTCTATTTGCCGAATTCTATGACATACATTCAGCGAATATATTCAATTTAACAAAAATAAAAAATATTAAAATTTTACGATTTTCAAAAAATTTTTTGTCCTGTTGAATGATATTAAAAAAGAATACACAATGAGTAATTACCAGAAGTAAGTCTAAAAATCTATCTCGAATTATAAATAGTTAAGTAAAATAAAGACAAAAATCAATTAAAGTAAGAAAAAAGACAAAATTTGGCATATTCAATATTCATAACAATTATTATTTTAATACAAACGCTTACTCGTTGTAAAAGCGTTATTTATTAAAAATGAAACTCGCCATTATTTAAAAGGATTCAGTATTAAAACCTGTCATTTTCATTGTTCATATCTAAACTATCTTGTAAAAAAATATACTGTATTAAGGATTCGTTATCAACGTTTGTCATATTCATGAAAAAGTTACTTTACTTTAAACATTTAATTTAAGCCAAACAGAAATTGTGGGATAAACATTTAACATTTTCATTAAAATAATAGTTATATAAAGAACAGGTTTTTCAGAATCCTTTTGTATAAATGTATTTTCTTTTCAAATTAAAATTTTCTAAGATGTCAAGGATATTTTCTTGAATCAAACTTCATGAAAAATAATAATGAGTTTCATATAAAAAATTGCTTGGAATAGCAAATTTTTATATGAAACTCATTATTTAAATTTTTAGGTGTAGAATTACCAACATTTTAATATTTATTATAGGATATAAAAGGGATAAAGTTAATTTTTAATGCCTAATCCTGCACTGCTTTTAGATTTGTTAATGGATGGGTGTTTAACTCAGTTTTCTACAGTTTTGCTACTTAGTTATCACAGAACTCTAAAAGTTTCATGGCTTATAACATTCTTATATCTAACTCCTGACAAATTTTGTGCACTGGAACAGAAAATTTTTTACTAACTAGTTAAAAGTTAAAAAAAAAAGGATTAAGATAGTTTTTAATAAATAATACTGCATTGAATAAAAATGATTGCTTTTAGGTATGTCTATGGATGAGCTTGTAGCTCAGTGTGTTATCTTTTTTCTGGCTGGTTATCACACCACTGCAACAACTTTAGGACTCACAACTTATTTACTTGCTATGAACCCAGACGTGCAGGAAAAAGTGTTCAAAGAAATATCAGAAGCTGTGAAGGAAACTAATGTAACTCACAATAATTATAAAAAATTATTTAAATTAGACATTTTCATTCTTAATTTATAACTTACTTTCTGGTTTGCAGTGATTAATTTCAGTATGTTATACTTATAGTTAATATCTCAATAATTAATATTTGTTCTAATGATATGATTTTGAGTGTCTGAGCAAGTGAGAAACCGATTCAAACATAGTTAATAGTTTTTGAGCGAATACAATGAAAATTTAAATGAGAAATAAATAGTTTTGAGTACTTTTTTAGAGTTATGCAATACGAAGTTTTTGAAATTTCATTACTCAGAAACTATTCAATTGATTTCACTTGAATGAGAGGTTAGAAACTATTATAAGAAGTTAGATTCAGTAAAACAAAATAGACTTGTTTTGTTGAAAAAGTTTTAAAATAATATCTTCTAAAAAGGTGACATTTTTAGACAATTTTATAAAGAACTTTCAAAAATGTGGTCTATAAAATACGAGTCTTATTTAAGAGTGCTGGAAATAGTAGATCATTGCTCCGTTTCACACCCACTTTCATGGAAGTTATTGGGCAAGAAAACTATTGGATATTTATTTTGACGCTAAATTGAATAAGACAAAAACCAAGTCGATAGAAGTACAAGCTTAGAAGTTATGACTGTTTACTATGTTCCGGCCAAAACGCGATGTGCTCAATCAAGAATGCCCGGTCAAGAATGTAAATTTTTTATGTTGACCATTTTACTACTTTTTTAATATCTTTTGTATTTCTAATAACTTTTACTTGACAGAAAAAAAATTGTAGTGGTATGTTTTTTCACATACCGGGTGGTACGGTGGGACACCAATCTTTTAATTTTTCTTTTATTAAAAAGTTAATTTGCTAATATTGCCCCTTTTGTTTTCTTTTTTGATTTAAAAATATAAATCTTCCAGTTTAAAAATATAAAAAAATAGACAAGTTTTCAGATTAAAATTCAAAAAATTTAATTTTTTACTTTTTTTTAAATAGCCACAACCCACCGCAGTTAGTTGCGGTTAATGCAGATAGTAATTTTTAAAGAATGAAGTTATGGTTAGACAGAGCCAATAATTCGTGCCAATGATTTTTTCTTCCAACTTTGGCTGATTCTCCCATGCCACTGCCGGCCTATCACCGAAATCAAGAAAAGATCGGACATTGGCCAGCCAATTTCAGTTCTTAGCCATTTTGCGATCTGGCCGGCCAATTCGCGAAGTGGCCGAATTCAGGCTTTGGCCGTAACATATATACATATATATATATATATATTAATGAAAATGTTCAGACAGGAGAGTTAAATGTTTAACTACTTTTCTTTGAGTGTAATAACAAATAACTTACATTTGTTTTACATATTTTGATATGTTTATTTTATATTGTCGGACAAATCTTAAACAAAAAAAACCTTTAGTAACATATCTGTGATCAATTTGTTGTTTTTATTACATGTTGACTTTAATGGGGTTTAGAAAAAACTTAGAAAATGATTTTTTTTAAAATTTTAAGAAGAAAATAATTAAAAAAATTTAAGTATAGTTTTGATATAAAAAAAATACTAGGACAATCTATTGGATCGGATAATTGTGCAGTCATGGATAATGAGTTTATTTAAAGAAAAAAACTAAGGATATAAAAAAAGACACTTATTTTCTTACCATCTGTTGCTTCAATCTGTACAACTTCAGAATCAGCCAGCCATTCGCTTGATGTTGACTCTACATTGCCTTTCGAAGCTGCTGACACAATACCAGTAACTAAAATTTTTTGAATATTTTGAATGCAGTTATTTGCATTAGTCACATCATTTGATCCTGACATTTGCCTTAAGGCTGAAAAAAATAACTCCACTTCATCGGATGTCATTTTTCGAGTAAGGACATACTGAAACCCTGACTCCAGCAAATATTTTATGCACTTTACGGTAGATTCAGTTGTAAATTTCAGAGCTTCGTATGTCTCCTTACTTAAAAAAGAAGTAGAATCAGCTAATTCAGACCACTCTTGAAAATAGTTTAGGAAGTCTTCTTCCAACCAAGTTAGTCTTTCGTCATCTATGGGAAAAAAATGCATTGTATCTGGATTTCTTGATGTTATGTACTGATGAGTATTTTTAACGTTAAGAATTGTAAACCATTTATTGATCATTTCTAAAAATTCTATTGTGTCAGTTGAATTTAGAAATAGTGGCTGATTTAATCTTTTAGAATTTTGCTTAAGAAATTTCAATGCAGCTATTGTGTCCAGACTAAATATTTTTACAGCTCTAGAGACATTCATTTTTTCGAAGTTTGAAGGATATACGTGTTTCCGTGTTAAGTTTTTCACAAGTTTAATGACATTACTCTTTTGCAAATTATACAGAGTTCTAATGAAAATAACGTTAATTGGGCCTTGAAAATGTAGGGGTCTGGAAAATAATTGATTTCTTAAGTTCTTAAGGATATGGCAAGGATCAAATGACAGAAATAAGGATCTTGCTGGGTCCAANATATATATATATATATGTATATATGTGTAATATATGCAAGGGTTAACAAACGAAAAACGTTAATAATTGCTTGTAATAAACGTAAAAAATGTTTTTAAAAATATATAAATTTATCTAAATCGAAATTGAAATTTTATTTACCCTCGGATAAAATAATTGCCTCGACAATTTTTTTTAGAAATAATTAGTTTAAAAATAGGGGAGAATAGAAAATATTTTGTAATATTTTATGATTTTTTTTAATATATAACTATCTTACACATTTTCTATGATATTTTTCTTGTTTGTAACAATTCTATTTAATTTTTAGGGTGAATTAAAATACGAATCTGTTCAAAAAATGAAGTATCTTGACAATGTTGTATCAGAAGTACTCAGAATTTATTCTCCTGCTTCTAGGTAGATACATTTATACGTTAATCAAACTTTCAAAATAATCGCAAAACTCTAATGGTATTGCTGGAATATCGATTCATATTTTCGATTTCTTTTCGTTAAAACAGTTAATTTACATATCAGCTACGATAGAATATTTCCGCTTTATTTCCTCTTTCACAAGTTTCGTATTTTTATTTTATATATTATCTACAAAAATGGCTGAAAAAAAAAGCAAGAATGACTTCCCATCTTATGAATAAGAATCATATTTAATAAGTATGAAAATAAAGGATTTAAAAAGTAAAATATTAAATGTTTGAGTCAAATTTAGCATGCTAGTTTTCAAGAATCCAAGCACATAAAAATGAAAGTTGTGTGCCCTGTATAATCAATTGAAACATTTATCAGGCTGCAATAAAGTTAGGCACGGAAAAGGTGAGTGTCAACTTCTGAACATTCTACTCCGAATAGTATAAACGGGATGTGGAAAAACGAAAATTACGGTATAATATTTTACGGCAAAAATGGATTTTACGGTAAAATATATTTTACGGAGGATGCGCACCAGTACTTTATAGAGTAATTTGATCCAGAATTTTTTACTGAGTTGTCTTGTTATTGGAATGCGATGAAAACTAGGTTAACACAAGTTAATCGGGATAAATAGCGTCAATTTTTTTTGGTCAAATGATACTATCTATAGTTAGTTTCCTCCTGCAATCAAGAAGTTTTAAAGATTTCATTCCCGACTTCCTTAAGAATTGTTCGTTGACCTTCTTTTTCTTATTATAATATTCTTTTAGTTTTCTTCCTTTACATATTAATTTGAAATCCAGAAAATATTTACTTTTCGACATAGTTTCTGAAAAGAATATGAGGAGCACTCAGTATCCTTACATTTCGTTCTCTTTACCCTCAATTATTTTAATAAAGATTTTTTGTTTTACATTCGTGTTTCTGTTTACGACACACTTTTTTTTCAGACTGGAAAGAACTGTAGACACCGATTATAAACTAGGTGATACTGGATTAACTATTCCGAAGGGAATGGTTGTCGGCATCCCAGTCCATGCAATGCATAGAGATCCTAAGTTTTTTCCAAATCCTGAAAAATTTGATCCAGACCGGTAAGCCATGCCTATTTTATCCATTGAATATCTATGTTATAGGTTAACGCGTTTTTCAATTGGAATATATTGTCTTCAGCATTTTCTAACCTGTCTGACATTTATTGGTTTATTAAAATCATCTTATATGCTTTTTTGATGATTTAGAAATATGCGGAAAACTGCACAATTCAAATGAATCTCATCAAGAACCCTAAATTTGTTGCCTCAAGAAGCAATGAAGGATGTATTTTCTAGTTTTGAAAGTATGTGGGCTGGCAACAATGAGCCTAAAAATTGTCAAGCTGATAAGAAAATATAATGGACTTTTCTAATAAGTCTTGATAGCAGATGCAGTTTGCTAAGTCCCAGATGATTAAAATAGCTTGCGGCATCTATACCGTATTTAAACAATTTTGAAAGAATAAATAAATTTCTTAATTTGACGAAAAGTTTAAAATAAAAAACTAATTCTGAAAATGAATCACAGACTTAAATTGTTCGCTTTTCACCCTAATAGTAATATTTAATTTCACATTTTTTGTTGTATATTTCTTTTTGTGTAAACAATCATTTTCAACAATAGTGTACAAGCGCGGAAACGACCGGGAGCAATGTAATTCTAAGCCAAATTTTCAATTTGTTAAGAAGAGCGTTTTTGGTTTAAAAAAACAACAACAACCTGACTCCATTGTAGCAGTATGATGTTTCAAAGTATTATGCTGCCATCTGGGGAACGTTCAAAAAGCTTGCAAAATACTTATATGGTAACACTATTAAGGAAGAACTTGGTTTGAAAATATCACAATTAGAAAAAGCATGGCTTAATACTATATTGGTCCAAATCCTTACACTGTTAGAATTTTCATTCTAAAATTTGGTAAAATAAACGGCGGCAGTCTGTCTATCTATATAACCGGAAAGTTTAATGTTAAAATTTTTTTTTATCTTTACGGTTTTGAAACCGCTTACAACTAGTCTGTTTAAAAAGCCATGAATATGAAACTGTGTGTTTTTCTAATAATTTACAATTGGCATAGTTTAAATATAGTATAAAAGAACTTTAACTGGACATTGGAGATAGTTTAGCAGATTTGTGATGATGCCATCTATGCGTGAATGAGAGCATGACATTCAAACAGTCCAGGGTCATGAATTGGGAAGGACAGGACACTGCAAACTCTTCATGTGAAAGAAAGGGATGATGGTGTCATTGTTAGGACTTGAACCCCCGTTCTATCGGTCATGAGATTGACAGATTGGCCATCTGGACAATAATATGTACTCATCTGCAAGTAACTAAGTGGCTTCCTTAGATGCGCCTTGTTGGTGCGATAATATTCTTGTTTAACCATATTAGGTGAAAGTATTCAATAAACGGTTTTTCTGACAGTTAACAGTTTGAATACCATCTTATTTATGGTTATTTGGCTGTTTTGTTTGAATATGGTGCAATGATGCTATCACAATACCCTCAGTTTTCAACTTTATGGCATTCGCCTAAATTTATAATATTACTTTTGTGACTGTGCCTTGCATCTAGCTTTTTTGACTGTGACCACTAGCCTTCCTAAGTCAGTTGGAACGCTCACATTTGATTTCTGTTGCTGTAGGAACTAGGCGATCTTTTTCTTGAAGATCTGAGATTCTTTTCTGCATGCTCAGGAGATAAAGTTCATTCTATAATATTTAATTATTTATGTGTTACTAAATCTTGCATTTATGCAGGTTTAGTAATTCGAATATATTGATCATTTTTTCATATATTAATTTTGAGATAACGGCAGAGCATGCAGAGAAAGAGACACGCGCTCCCTTCGAAGCTCAAGATTTGATTCAACAGTTCCAGCACCTCTTCTTAAAAATTGTGTGACGTGAAGAGATGTTAAAATAAAAGAGAATAGATTCAGAACATGTTCGTCATCATTTGTTCCATATGTTTCTGACCTGTTTTGTACTTCACTGTAGCCGGCCTAGAGCAGCAATACCTCATAGTGTAAAATAACAACTAAATAAATTGTTATTCAATTATTCTTTCCGAGAAATTTCTATCAATTTAATATATATTTTATGTACTTAGATATTAGAGATAATCTAAATACAAGTTTTCGTATGCATTTTGGTCTAGAATTTTATTTCAAAAACCCGTTACATTATAATTTTAAAAGCAAATATTCCAATTACAGATTTAGTTTAGAAGAAAGAGAGAAGCAAGTTCCATATTCATATCTTCCCTTTGGTGCTGGGCCCAGGAATTGTGTTGGAATGCGATTCGCCCTTTTGGAATTAAAAGTCTGCTTAATCTACACATTCAGTGTCTTCCAAGCTCAGAGATGTTCCAAAACACAGGTATATATTTACAGATGTACTTTAAAATTGTTTGGTATAATTCAAAAATGAATTTGGAAGATACCAATATGTTTTACGTAAAAAAATAATTTTTTGGACAGTTTCTCATTCATAATGTTAAATAATATAGAGTGAATAAATTCTTGCAATTTCAGCATTCTTTCACAGTTTTTTCTTTTTGATTTCATTTTTTGTGTAAAAAAATGACAATAATAGTCTTAAGAAATTTGCGAACAAGATCAACACATTTCAGAAAAACTGTTAACTATTGTTGCATTCTATATAACTTCAATTGTAGTGTGATAAATGTTTTTCACATTTTTTCAAATACTAAGTTTCAAAGTTTGTTTACAGCTAGGAGTTAGAATTTTTTTCAAAATGGCAGTAAATTTTTAACCAGGGCCCGTTTTAAAGTATGTGTCAGCTTTTCGTATTAAAATGATCTATTATTCGACATCACGAAAGAAAACCGATATAGTTCTGGTCGGCTATGTAGAGTTAAAAAATGCATAAAAATAGCAGAAATTCTATACAGTAATCGGAGATTAATTAAGTTGCGATCACAATAGAATGAATTGTAAAAGGTAGTAATTCATATTTAATAATTGCTGATAAAGAGCAGAACTAATTCAGAGTTAACGACTATCAATGTTTAATTCCGTAGTTTTGTAATTTCGAACCCAATTCAGAAGAAAATGCAGTTCCTGGATCAAGCAAAGAGACAAATTAGCTTTCGTGCGGGAAATTTTGATGGAACTAACGTGCATTTGCGTTGCATGGAAAAGAAATCCTCGAATACCCCCACGGTAAGCCCGACGACAAGGGGATTGTAATCCATAATCTGTCTACCAGTAAGAAAATTTTACTGCAACATTGCGATCGGTGAGAACCGGGAACAGAATTCGTATCAACCAGTTACAGCTGGGATTTGAACTTGGGACACCTCAGTTGGAAGTTTTCCCCTGAGTTACCGTGGCTCCAAGACAGTATCTTATAACTGGCATTGAACAGCTGACCCAATTTTGAGTTTACGTTTATCATTGTTCAACACCATAGACTTGTAATTTTGAACCCGACCCAGGAAACTGGGGAATTCCTGGATCAAGTATTGGGACAAACTATCTTCCGTAAAAGTTTTTTTGACGGAACCAACTAACATTTGCGTGACGTTGAGAAGAAAACCACGAACATATCGACCTTTCTACTACTTCAACATGAAAAAAGATATATTCAAATATATTTGTTGATTCAGTTTTTATCGGAGCAATAAACTTTCTTTTTGTTCTGTGCTCGTGTATTCAGTTGTGTGCAACATACTTTATTCAGTGTTTTTTCTTTCAGGTACCTATACAATTTAAGAGCTCAGGTGGACTTTTGTCACCAAAACCAATTGAATTAATCATGGAACCTCGTGCAAATTGCCCTCTGAAAGCATAAGATTCAACAATGCAATTCATCATTTCAATTGCGCGACCTTCACTCGAAATTCTGCTCATATACATACATTTATTGAAATAATGTGATTATTAATGCAATAAAGTATATTTTTGCCGTATTTTGGTAATTTTTCATTTCAAAAAAGTACAAAATAATAATTGTATTTTTTTAAAAAAAACACTGGAATATAATAACTCCCTTTTTAAAAAAAAACTATTTTGAATTTAATTTGTTGAATTTAATCATTACTTTCATTGACTTTAACCTTTGGAGTTTTTAATAATGAATAATTGAATTTTAATTAACTATTGTGTATTCTATCTAGTGTTATTTTCAGAAGCACTTCAAAATTCATTAGCGTTTCAGTTGTTTTTATCAGATTTTGTAATCTCTGTGTTATCAGTGAGAAGTATCACACCTCCAAAGATGGGATTGATCGGAATACGAAATCAAATTTTAGATGATAAGACTTTTTTGATGAAGTTCTTCTTATTGTGCAATATTGTTATTAAGTTGGCTCACAAATATTTTGAAATTTATTTGCTCAAGGAATTATTAATAAGGGATTATAATTATATTAGTGGTCACAAAAACTTTCATAGAGTAAAGTGATCGATTTGTATAGAAATGAATTATACCAGGAAACACCGTTTTATTTTTACAAATCAGGGCTAGATATATACCCTTAGCTTAAAATTTTCACCTTGTCTTTCACTGAATTTGTTATTAAAATATAAAAACAGTTAAAATAGTACTTGGGATTTGAGGCTTGGAGAATATGAAATGGTTTCTTTCAATATTAATTTTATTATTTTTATAAGAGTATATCAAATTTAGAACAATGATTATAGGTTGAAGAAAAATTTAGTAGTAAAAGGAGTGCAAAATGGGACATGCCTTTTGGTAAATTCTTTAACATTGAAATAGTTTTCTGTTCTAGTACATAAAAAGTTTGAAATTGTTAACAGAAGACCGAATTTTTTTTAATGAATACATAAGAAAATATAAAAAGACCAATACATGCAAATTAAAAGTATTCCATAATTTTTTTAAAAATGCTGTAAGGGAAGGAGCAAACAATATTAATCTGCTTCAAATAATATCGTTTTTGTCACTAATATATGAGACATTCAGAATTTGCGGTTTTTATTTTCTGAAACTTTAAAATCATCTAAAAATACTTTCCACCAGGTGGCGGGTTCAATTTATTCAGAGAATAATTTAGTTCGACGTTTAATATCATTTTATTGGCTTCGATGTCCTCCAAATTTTTCTAATGTTCTAATATTCACAGAGTTTCATATTATCTTCTATACTTCGATACTATAAAGACGTATATTTTATTAATTACATAATACTGTATTTCATATTGCCCTATCAATTCTTGAATTTTAATGAGATGATTTAAAATGTACATTGCGGAAAAAAAGACCACCCTGATCAATTTTTAATCCAATAATCGGATCTTCAAGTTCTGGGACTTTGTTTTAAGGGTTCGAGGGGAGGGAAACTTCAAATATGCTGATTAATTAGTACAGACGATAATTGAAATTACGAAATCAGGCACAAAAAAGCATTTGTACCTTTTTTTCGTCGGATTCGGATTTTTAACCCCCAAAATATAGTTGATAACCTCTATGTGAGAAATATAGTTTCTATAGTTTGGTCAGGAGTTCGGTCCATATTAATTTTTGTTCCCGTACTTCTCCATGTCTAGATACATTTTTTTTAAATGAATTGAAAAACTTTTTGCACACAATTATAAAATTCATTTATCCAAAGATAACTACTTGCAAAATGAACTTTTAGTAAATATTTATTTTTATTACTTTATTTGCGAAATGAATTCTTTAAAATTAGATTTATCTGGAACTATTCAATTGACTTTTTTTCTCTTATCACGCAAGAAATTTTGAACTCAACTAGAAAGAAAAGATAGTTATAGACTTAATAATCTTCCAATGGACTTCCCCAGGTATTAACCTACAATATACAACTAGAATGGGGCGAAGCCTTACAACTGTTTTGTTTTCAATGTAAATATTTGCTTCAAAACGGGACGATTTCCGGAGCCAGAAAAGTGAAAGCATCTTCCAACACTTCAATGTCGGTTTTTGTCTATATCAAGAAAAGATATGAGGCAAATATTTAAATTTTTTTGCTTCACTACGTCACAAAATTAAAAGTTGACTACTGGTCCATTATTCTATATGAAATGAAAAAAAAATCTCCAACACCACTTATAGTTGACCTGATGACAATGAAACTTTAATCAATGACTTGCCTATTTCTGGATATATTTATTACCAGAAACTGAAGAAGAAATAATTTTCAAATCTATTAACAATAAATTGGACCCAAAGGTGGATCGTCAGTTTCAGATGATCGATAGCTTAATCGTAGTTTCAACTATCAGCTATATTGAAATATTAAGTTTTTTTCATCAAATTGGTATATAGAGTTCATATGGTATTTTCCAATAAATATTTACTATTGCTTAAGAATTCTTGACAAGAAGTAATGAATTAGGTTCCACATTGCAGGGACATCAATGAGGGCACAAAAGAAAACTTTGACATCTAAGAAATAATTATCAACACTGCTTTCATGAAAAATATACAGCAACAGCAATCATCGCAGTTTTTTTATTGAATAAATTAGAAATGTGGCCAAAAGCTTGCCATTCATAAAAAATAACTTTAAAAGAAACATGGGACAACCATTGTTGCTAATGGAAGGAAAATGTAAAATGAGTCTTTATGATTTTTATTTTGAGTTTAGCTATTTAATTTACGTTTGCATCTCTCCGACTTCACGTGATTNCACTGAATTTGTTATTAAAATATAAAAACAGTTAAAATAGTACTTGGGATTTGAGGCTTGGAGAATATGAAATGGTTTCTTTCAATATTAATTTTATTATTTTTATAAGAGTATATCAAATTTAGAACAATGATTATAGGTTGAAGAAAAATTTAGTAGTAAAAGGAGTGCAAAATGGGACATGCCTTTCAGTAAATTCTTTAACATTTATGTAATTTTCTGTTCTAGTCCATAAAAAGCTTGAAATTGTTAATAGAAGCCCCAAATTTTTTTTTATGAATACATAAGAAAAGATAAAAAGACCAATACATGCAAATTAAAAGTATTCCATATTTTTTTTAAAATGCTGTAAGGGAAGACGCGAACAATATTAATCTGCTTCAAATAATATCTTTTTTGTCATTAATATATGAGACATTTGGAACCTACGGTTTTTATTTTCTGATCATCTAAAAAATACTTTCCTTCAGGTTGCGGGTTCCATTTATTCAGAGAATAATTCAGTTCAACGTTTTTAATATCATTTTATTGGCTTCGATGCCCTCCAAATTTTCCTATTGTTCTAATATTCACAGAGTATAGAAGATAGAAAGTACGAAGTACAGAAGATAATATTTCATATTATCTTCTATACTTCGATGCTATAAAGACGTGTATTTTATTAATAACATAATACTGTATTTTATATAACACTATTGATTATTGAATTTTAATGAGATGATTTAAAATGTGCAGTGCGAAAAAAGACCACCCTGATCAATTTTTAATCCAATGATCGGATCTTCACGTTCCGGAACTTTCTTTTAAGGGTTCGAGGGGAGAAAAACTTCAAATATGCTGATTAATTAGTACAGACGATAATTGAAATTACGAAATCAGACGCAAAAAAGCATTTCTAAATTTTTTTACTACGGATTCGGATTTTTAACCCCAAAATATAGTTGATAACCTCGATGTGAGAAATATAGTTTCTATAGTTTGGTCAGGAGTTCGGTTCATATAAATTTTTTTTCACGTAATTCTCCATGTCTAGAGAATTTTTTTTAATGAATTTAAATATTTTGCGCACTATTATAAAATTCATTTATTCAAAGATAACTACTTGCAAAATGAACTTTTAGTAAATATTTGTTTTTATTACTTTATTTGCGAAATGAGTTTTTTAAAATTAGATTTATCTGGAACTATGCAACTGATTTTGTTTCCCTTAGCACGCAAGAAATTTTGAATTCAACTAGAAAGAAAAGACAGTTATAGACTTAATATTCTTACAATGGATTTCCTCGGGTATTAACCTACAATATACAACTAGAATGGGGTGAAGCCTTATAACTGTTTTGTTTTTAATGTAAATTTTTTCCTTAAAAGGGGACGGTTTCCGGAGCCAGAAAAGTGAAAGCTTCTTCCAACTCTTCAAAGTCGGTTTTTGTCTATATCAAGGAAAGATATGAGACAAATATTTACGTTTTGGCTTCACTACGTCACAAAATTAAAAGCTGACTACTTGTCCATTACTCTATATGAAATGAAAAAAATCTCCAACACCACTTATAGTTGACATGATGACAATGAAACTTTAATCAATGAATCGTCTATTTCTGGATATATTTATTACCAGAAACTGAAAGAGAAATAATTTTCAAATCTATTAACAATAAATTTGACCCAAAGGTGGATCGTCAGTTTCAGATGATCGATAGCTTAATCGTAGTTTCAACAATAAGCTATAATGAAATATTAAGTTTTTTTCTTCAAATTGGTAAATAGAGTGCATATGGTATTTTCCAATAAATATTTACTATTGTTTTAGAATTCTCGACAAAAAGTAAAGGAGTTAGATTCCACATTGCGGTGGACATCTATAAGGGCACAAAAGAAAATTTTGACACCTAAGAAATAATTATAAACACTACTTTCATGAAAAATATACAGCAACAGCAATCATCGCAGTTTTTTTTTATTGAATAAATTAGAAATGTGGTCCAAAAGCTTGCCATTCATAAAAAATAACTTTAAAAGAAACATGGGACAACCATTGTTGCTAATAGAAGGAAAATGTAAAATGAGTCTTTATGAATTTTATTTTGAGTTTAGCTGTTTAATTTACGTTTGCATCTCTCCAACTTCACGTGATTTTTAGTTTAATTTCGACAAGTATGAAAATAATACGCATATGAAAATGATTACATGCACTAGATAAGCGCGAGTAAGAGGAAAAAATATAAATGCGTCGTATTTTAAATTACGACGGATTTTTTTTTAATTCGGTGAACTTTTAATTTCTTACTGTAATAAAAAGTTTTAGATGCTCTCAACAATCTCAGAGAAGCTTCTTAAAATATTCTCCGAGGACATAATAAAAGCTTAAAGAAAATGAATTAAATATTTTAGTGCAAAATTTGCACAAACTATGCCTTCAAATGGTGGTTACGAACAAAAAAAAATTATAAGCTGATTTTCAAACTAGTATGAATACAATAGTCATAGCATATACTTTGCACTCTGTTTTGGATAACAAATATATTTAAATTAATTTTTCCTCATAGAAACAAGTATTTTAAAATTGTTGCTATTTAAAAAGGTACATAATATTTAAATAAACAGGGGTTGCGTTGAAACAATATTTTTAGAAGATTGGAATAAAGCGTAATGTGTATGAAACATAAAATTTTAATTAAGAATTCTTGGGAGTGAAAGTATTGTTAGAAGCAAAATAGAAGGTGTAAATAAATTTTTGTACTGAGAACAAAGTGAGGTTAAAACTACCAGAATATGGTAAAATTTACCGTGCTTCGAGCTCATGGGAACACCAGAAAACTCGATAATTTCTATCGAAGCGCCTAGATTATGAGTTTGGTAAAACTAACAATAAAATATGTTAAAATATGTTTAAATATGTTTAAAATATGTTTAAAATATGCTTATATGTTATCACACATTATAAATGTGTGATAAATTTGGTAAAATTTGCTTATTTTATGCCTTAGAGCATAGCATAAAAACTATTTATTTGGTTATATTTACTCTTCAATTTCGCATTTTTTACAAATTTTGAGGTAATTAGAACTGTAATTTTGTGAGCTAGAATTTCCTGTAAACCATTACCATAACTCAGCGGCGCGACAGCCCTTGCGGGCCAAGGCCTTCTGTGTCCATCTCAGTTTTCTTGACCTTGCGCTCTGAGGTGCAGGAGCATAGAGTTGAAATACTGGAGTGCAGGAGCAGATGTTCCGGTCAGGTGGTCAGCCGAACGCGGAACCCCCAGTGTTTAGTTCCCAAGCGTGCTTGGTACTCATTTATCGACCCACTGTAGGGATGAAAGGCTGAAACCATTACCATAAGTACTGAAAAATTATCAAATAAATGGTTTAATTACCATACATTTTGGTTTAAAATAACCAAATCAGGATTGTTTTTTACCAGAAATGTCATAACCATACAGTACAGTTATTTTATCAAAATGTGTGTCTGACTGTTAATAAAATAAATGACAGACAGTAATTAATTGAAATCCATATAATTTGAGAGTAAGAGTCTAAAAAATAATGCTCATTAATAAGATGATGGGTCAATTGATTAGATAATGGGTAGTTATTGAAATCCTCATAATTTTAGAATGAGAATCTAAAAAATAAACATTAATAAGATAATGGACTAATTAATTAGATAATGGGGTAATTAGTAAGATAATGGGTAAATACTGAAATCCTTTTAATTTTAGAGTAAGAATCTAAAAAAATAATGCTCAATAATAAGATTATAGGCTAGTTAAGAAGATAATGGGTAATGTAAAGAATTCTTTGGAAGATAAGATTAGAAAAATATTTGATAATTGTTATCATTTATCAAAAAACGCCATCATTTAATTTAATAATGTTTAAATGATGCCACAAATTTTTTCAAATATTGTAAAATATTTAATTTAATTTGAGCATTTTTATTTCAAAAATATTTGAAAGATAATGTCATCTTTTTAATAAAAAAAACATTCAATCTCCGCATTTTTTAAAAATTTATAGTTGCTTTATATTTCAAGAATGATATCAAGTGCTGTTATCTATTCACATATCAGTTATGTTTTTCTAAACTGCAGTGTAATTGTTTGATTACACTTCAAGGCTTATTCTATTCTATTCTATAAGTTAATATCACTTTTATTTCAACTGTTGTCGATGACTGCCGAAAGCAACTGGATACAAACATTAGGGAAGACTAATTAAGCCATGGACGCTTTGGATATATTATATGACATTCGAATTGCCAGTGCAATTGTTGCAGTTGTAGTATCCATTTTATTTTATTGGTAAGAGTTATTTAAGACATTAGTTGTGGTTTTATTTAAAATAAGCTCTATGTAGTGTCAAGTAGAAAGAAATGAACATCCTGAGTGATTCGTAATCTCATGATCCAATATAAGTTAAATATGCTGATTTATTAGTGTTAAATACTAATTAATTTGTCGGGACATTGAGTTTAAGTGTAACAACAATTTTCGGAAATGCTAAGTTAAATCAAAACTTAATGATTAATATTCGCAAAATTCTACTTTTTTGAAGTATTCTAAAAAGGAGAAAATAAGTATTTTAATAAGACCAAAAGTAGGGTTCGTCACTTTTAGAAGAGGCTTCGGAGTTGATATATGATATTACGAAAGTGACGACGAGTAAAAATATAAGCATTTTTCGTAGCGGGGGGGTCGAAATTACGATTACGAGATTAAGGCGTTTCACACCAATATAAGTTAATAAGTACATAATAAACATTATAATATCACCTTATAATTAAAAAAAATTAAATAAAAATTTATAAAAGGATGTTTTTAAGTTGAATCACATTGTTCATACAAGAACATACAATTGAACATACAGGATTCAAATGTAATAGAAAGTATGCATACAGTAAAAAGGAAACCAGTCTTTAGTTAGACAGAATTAAGATTGTTTAATAGCGTTAAGCCTTTGCGTCTCGCATGGAAATGTATTCCCTCCTGAATTTTTTCGTTGGTAATTGTATTATTTCTTGTGAAAAAGCAGTTATTAAGTATATATCATTCGTTAATAACGCATTTTGTAACTGAAACTTATTATGTTTATAACTATGTATTAACTTGTAGATAACTGTAAATATTAAGTATTATCGTGTCGTCAATTTGCTTGTATATTTATTCATTACAAACCGCACATTGCAAGAGATCGATGCATCTCCTCTTAGAAGTCAAAATTATGAATTTAGTAGCATTATGTATTTTTATTTATTTTAAAATTATGTATTTTTAAAGGTACGCCAACTGTAATACAGTAAAACAATAAGGTAGCAAAATGTAAAAGCTTCTTTTATTTTTCCTGAATGATGTTTCTGAAATAAAATAATGCTTTCTAATTTAATATCCTTTCTTTGTAGTTTTGAATGTCACTTTGTAGGTGGGCGTAGTTTTTAAATATAAAGTTACACTTTCTCTTCCCCATTAATCTTAGGTATTAGATCGTTATTGGGAAATATCCATTACATATACATTTTGACATCAGTTATGTTTTATTGTTATGAAAATTTCACTTGATATTCTTTACAAATTTGATTTTACACAAAACATTTTGTTGAAATAATTCTATGTAAATTTATGTAGGTTTTGTTTACTATTTTTTTTATTCATGTTTGGGATAAGAAATTTTTGTTTATTAATAAAAAGAATGGAAAAAAATCACTGGATGAAAAAGTAAAGCAATTTATTTACATATAAAATTAAAATTATTTATGTACAAAATTATTTAAATAAAATAATTTACAAAAATTATTATAAATTATTCATATTTTTATAATTAATTATTATTTATATATAAATAAGTAAAAATGGAATGAAAATTGAAAAATCTTTTAGTTTTTTCCCCCACTCAAGTGTGAAAGGTTTAATTGGACAGTATTCTGATTTTCAAAGAATAATAATCGAAACCAAGCATTTTAAATACAACTTAATAAATTATGAACTTAATGAACGTACCAACAGAAAAAAATGGACCACCCTGAATGACTTCTGGTCTAATGATCAGATCTTCACGTTCTAGGACTGAATCTTAATGTTTCGAAGAGGTGACCTCAAATATGCTAATTAATAAGTGATGACGATATTTTAAGTTTCAAAAACGTACACAAAAACGCACTTTCTCTGAATAAACATACCTCTTTTTGGACGGAATCAGATTTCTGATCTTCGAAATATCAGGAGCAGCTGCCATCTGGGAAATGTGGTCTCCATAGTTTGATCAGGAGAGTGATCCAAAGTTCGGACCTCATAACACTAATTTTATTTTTTGCTATTTCGCCATATCTAGAGAACTTTTTAAGCGAAATGAAAAATTTTTGCACACAATTATCAAATTCGTTTATTCAAAAATAATTAAATGCAAAAAATAAACTTTACTTAATATTTAGCATTTTTATTATTTCATTTAATAATTATAATACATTTTTCATAATAACTAAACCTAAAATAACCTCAGTGGTAGACGGATCTTTGAAACCCTCTGCCGTCACACTAACCGTGGGAAGTTTTTGTGGTTTTCCTCTCCCTGTAGCGTTGATTAGTTTCATCAAAAAATCCTCTACGATGGCCAGCTTGTCCCAATTCTTGATCCAGGAGTTCCTGATGTTCTGGGTTGGGTTCAAAATTACGAGACAATGAACAGAGTTGAGCATTGATGGTCGTAAACTCAAAAAACAAGGTTGGCTATTCAAAGATAGTAATAAAACTAATTTGGTAAGGGTGGGATCAAAAATTTTAACTTCAGTTTGAAGAATATGCACCGACTTTTTTTAATTAAAGACATGACCACAAAAAAGCAAATGTCTTTACAAAGCATCACCACATTTCGTTTTTTTTTCTTATTTTGTATTTGTTGATATAGTGTTATGAGTTAAATAAATAATGATGCATAAAACTTTAGGTACTCTACGAAGAACCATGATTATTGGAAGAAAAGAGGTATTCCGTATATTAAACCTTATCCCCTCCTTGGATCTGCTCCGGCATTAGTAAGGAGTAAGGTGAGTTGATTATCCTTAACTATGAAACAAAGCGTTACAAATGGCTATTAACCTGTTTCAGACAGGCAAGCATATATGCATTCTCAGATCTAGGACAATCAGGTTAAAAAAAGACAAAACTTGTAACAAAAATATATCTTTAGACGCTAATTTAGGGAAGGGGTTGTAATACAGGGTTATTCATAATTCCTTTCGGGGTTTCGAAGCGTTATAGTAAAAAAATGAAGAAGAATATGGCAAAAAAGAACATATGAAATTATTCCGAAAGTATTCAAGTTTTAATTTACCCAAAAAAACTACATANTGTACCACTGAAGCCAGTTGCAGTAAAGAAAAATGGCGTTTACAGGCGGAGGGAAGTACTTAAGTGAAAATAAAAAATATACAGTCACACTTTGAACAAATATGGATTAAATACGTTAGAAATAAAGCGAAAACAAAAGCAGTCAGTCAAGTTAGGCCTGCTCCATGTCACCACTTTTTACTTTTAAATCCTAATTCCGATTCTGCACAAATACATTCATGTTTCGCCCGTCCCGAAGAGGTTAACGTTTTTATTTTTGAATGAACTGATGTTTGACAAAATTTTATACTCGTATATTTTTGTTCAACACTGTTAGTTCCGGAGATGAACATTATGAATATAATTATGAAATTAAAATGATCACATAGCTTGGTCCTTATTCAGAAACTTTTTTGTATTACAGTGAAATTTCTCGGGAGTGACCAATCTCTGTTTCACAGTAAAATGGTCGTTAATGGAGGTTACCTCCATTGTTATCGAAGATACACAATGTTTCGCAAGCGACTTCTCATTTCTTGTTGCGGAAGTGCCACTAATGTTGGCCCTAATCATGTGCAAAAACAAATTTACCAATTATGAATGATAGAAATATTTTAAATAAATAAGCAATTATGTTTTTTTTTGTCTAAGTTAGTATTTAATTTTATATCATAAAAATTAGTTAGCTTTATAAAAGATTAGAAGTAGTTTGTTTGTTTGAGATGCTCAGTTTTTTTCTAAAATAACTTTTGTTTTCCAAATTTAACTTTAAACTGTAAAAAAATTAAATTGATAACATCGTATTTAATGCACTCTAACGGTAATATCAGGTTGCCGATCTCTCTTAGATCCTCAAAACGAGCTCTCAAAACAAAGAGCCACTCCCAAATATTTTCAATACATTTCAATCTATTTATTTGTTAAAGATAATAAGTAATAGTTAAAAGAAATGTTTTGTAGTTGACGTATGCCATTAAGGCCACTTGTCACTGTTCTTGTTTTCCAGTGGCGCCATTTATGACCAAGAATTCGACTTCTGCCACACCTGTACATCACACCCGTTTATAGGGCGGACCCTTTCATCCATCCATTCATTCATCGTAATTTTGACTTGAATCAGAGAACGATCAATCTCCAATTCAGTACCCCCAGAGGCATTGATTTGTTATAGGAACAGGAAGGACTTTGAGACTCGACAGATTTAAAGTATATCAGTCACCATTTACTACATGGGAAGTCTTCGGCCGGCAGGGAACGAACCCACGACCTCTTGGACATGGGCCCAGTGCCCTACCAACCAGGCTATCCCGGCCCTAAATGTTTTGGATATTTTTCGTGTTTCCTTATTTGACCTTTTTTACATTTGATGAGGAGGTTTTTCCGGTCACTAAAAGAGGTTTTGATGGTCTCTCCTAAAGGTTTTTTTCAACCCAAAGTCTATGGAAAAAATATGAATAATTAACTGGTCTGGTTAAATAGACTTGGGTCGTATTTTTTCTGTTTATTGTATTGACTTTTTACAATAGACACGAATCTTAAAACGAAACATGTAATACATTTCTGAAAACAAACATTTGTGAAGAAAAGTTTCGGATAAATTAATATTTGAAGTTTTCAGGCTATAAAGTGTCAATTTAATATTTGATATGAATATACCCATAGTTGTGATTAAAATTAGTTTGTAATAAAACTCATTGTAATTCTTTCTACATAAAAATAACAATTCCTTTTTGATGACTTAGGCATATGCTGCAAAACTGCATTGTATGTATTTCAAATTTTAGATTTTATTCATTAAGAAATACATTCTTTGAAACTGAATTTTATATCCGTAGAATTTGGAAGATGTAGAATTAGAACGGTACAGAAAATATGGGGATTTATATGGGTAAGTAATAAAGTACTCCATCAAATTTCTATCTTTTAAAAATATTTTTAACAACAAAATATAATAAATAATATAATTTATATTTTTAGTTACTGCACCCATTTATAAGTGCTGTATAATTGCTGAAGTTAATAGCAATTACTCCCATATATCATACTCTAATCAAAACAAAAAATACATGTTTAGAAATTTGATGGAATTTTATAGAATCGGTGGGGGGCTATAATGAGACAAAAATCTTAACATTTATTATTTTTGGGTAAAAATTAAAAATATTTTAATTCAAGTTTAATTTTCTCTTAACGTTTCGAATAAAAATGTTGGATGTCGTGAAAACGAAACTTAATTAACTGAGCAAGCTGCAAGTTTCATCCGACAAAATAAATTGATTTTGATGATTTTAAATCTATACGGAGAAAACAATTCTGTTAAAATTACCAATTTGTATAGTAATGGCATTTCTGGTAAAAAAAAACTGCAATGGGATACCTACAACTGAGGTAGTGTGGGTATCTCGATCCTGATTGTCTGTTGAAACGTGGTATTTGTTTACGTTAGCAATTGTTCTTTCAATTCTATTTCGAGTAAGCCAAGCTCGTTAGGTAACAATTCCTTAAAATGACACTAACCTATATTCTTTCATAAACATTTCAATTATTTCACTATATATTTTTTACTTAACACTAGGACAGGCATGGAGCCTTGTGGAACAGAAACAAACTAATTATGCATTGAAGTTGCCAGGTACACAAAACAAAAATATATCACGGTTACAATAAAATACATAAACAAATAATAAATCCAATAAGTAAAAGACGTAGACGAGAAAAATTCTATTTCAACAAATTTGATGCGCGATACGGTGCTGTTTTTAATTAACTTCACGTTAATTAATATTCTAACTTCTGTAGAGAAACTTAGCTCAACTTTAAGTGCCCTCTTGTTAATAAGTGATCAACTGGCGCTGACGTCATAGATCACTTGTGCGGGTGTCAGTGATTTTCTTCTTCTTGAAGTACAAATACCCAATTCTGGTTAATAAAACTAAAATATATGCTATTTAAAACCATTCATTCGATCATTTTTCCGTTCATATGGAAACGGCTTACCTTTTCTGTCAGAAAGAAAAACGTTTTCTTTGCATTTTCAACTTCGATATTAAATTTTTTTTCATTATGTGCTGGTTTTACAGATTTTAAAACAGATTTAATAACTTTTAGCCGACATAGAACTTTTTAAAACACAGAACTTTTAAAACATATTTTAAAAGTAGTCATTACATAGTGGTAAACACCACATCGTACATGGTGGTACACACCACAAATTTTATATAAATAAAACACAAATTTGCAATAAAATAACTTAGATGTCTTTGTTATGTGTTTTTTTAAAACATTTTTTTAAAATTATTGCTTCAATGAAAGCTATCAGACTTTACTTATCAAAAACCGCTAAAAGCACGTCTTCTAAAGATAATTTTTATAAGAAATAGCATCATATTTTAAGAGTAGTATATTTTATTTTCAATAGCTTTAACTATATTTAAATCTGCTTTTGTATGAGTACATAAATAAGTCGTAAACAATTTTTAAGCATTAAAGTTAAATAACTAACTAAATTTATAAACTTTGAGTTAACGAAAATAATTATATTAAATAGAAATTTATTAAATATATTAGAAATATATTAAAATAAAGAAATACCTATTAAAAAAAATATTGAGTGCCTGTTTCGTAATCTGCCAAGATGAAATTTAAATCATAGAAAATAAATTTCAATGAGTAAAAAACTTTCAATTTTAATTACTTTTGCAAAACTTTTAGCTTTCAAACCAAGAATATTTTTTTCAAATATTTCTATATAGAAACTCATTCCAGATATGTTCGAAAACAGAAAAACTTTCTAAATTATAGACTTTATTTTCTAAAAATGTTATATTAAAGTATGAACTTGGTGGAGTAAGAACTGCTTTATTTTTAATAATCCGATTTTATTTTGAATCAAGTAATTCTGTTGTACATTTTTAAGTAAGTGCGTGCATTACTGCAATCAGAAATACTTCCTAAAACATAAAGTTTCAAACAAAAGGTTTCTAAAAATAAAACGCTCAAAGCATTGTGAGGAGTTATAAAAGATAAATTCTTTTTAAGAATAATATTCTGCTGACATATGATAGATAAGATAATGAATAATGTGATATAAATTTGACATAATAGAATAGATATAAACTCTTTTGCCTCAATTGAGATTATTTACTGATTTTAATTCGAAATTTTTTCTTCTGGTTTGATAAACTATAAACTAAACAAACGTAACAGCAATATAGAAATGTTAGAACTATTACAATAAGGAAGGAAAAATTTTCCTTATTTGTAACTAAAAAATTATAAAAATTCTATTACCGTAAAAAATTCCGAATTAAATTCCGGTGAAAAGTGCGGCACTCAGGCTGCTGTAACATTTTGCCATAAAATTCATTTTTATCGGAACATGTTACGGAACAAAAAATCTAATTTACCGCAATTTTCACATTAATAATTACCGTAAGGTCACTGAATCACTCTAATTAAATAAATATTATTTTAAAAATTACAGTAAAAATGCGTTTTAAGGATGATGCAGTCAAACTGCCGGTACTTTATACTGTAATTTGATCCGAAATTTTGTATAGTATATGCACTGTATATAGTAAATTTTAAAAGGAAAAAAGCCCTTTTTAAAATTTCGACGTTTAGCTGTAAAACAACTGCGAAAGATGTTAAGAACTTTCTTACTTTAAAGAATTATTTATTTAATTATTACAAGAGTTGTTCGAGATGACACCCCCTAATGTCATGTCTACGACTCCAGCCTTCACAAAAAGATCCTCAAAGCCTCATAAATTATCATAATTTACCATCTTCATAAATTATCATTTAGATAATTGCTTATATCTTTCCTTTATTCTAGATTCAGAGCCTGTTAACGTTTTTTCTCCCTTGTAACGGGTTTTTTTATGCTTTCATCCTTTTGACGTCATCACTGTGAATATAAGTATTGTCAAAACTACCAGAATATGATTAAATTTACCGTGTTTCTGACTCTATGGGAACAAAATAAAGCTCGGTATTTTTTACCGAAGCGTAATGATTTTGGTAAAATTAACAATAAAATACGGTTTTATTGTGGTAAAATTTGATTTATGTGAGAAAATTTTGTAATTTTTTCATTATACCTTCGAGCATGGGATAAAAATAATTTATTCGGTTACATTTGCTTTTCAATTTTGCATCTTTTACTAAGTGTGTGGTCGTAAGAACTGCAATTTTGAAGCCTGAATTTCCAGTAAACCGTCATTTTATAAATGGAAAAAATACCAAATGATTGGTTTAAATACCGCATACTTCGGTCTTATTTTCCAGAATTATTATTATTGTATATTTATTTAAACCAGAAATCTCATTACCATACAATTCGTAAACTTTTCCAGAATTCCTTTCTACGTTCTTATAATCTTTCAGAATTTGTTGGTCGAATTTTGGAATATGGTGTTCAAAATATTCTTGATTACCCAAAATGAATTCTAAGAATTAAATAAAAGAATTAAAAGTGTTATCTATATCAATAAAGATCATGTTTTTAAAATAAAAGTTTATTCCAATGGGAAGAAAAATGCATTTATAAAGTTCTTACTGATTAAATTTTTTTTTTTGACTACAAAACTAAATTTAAAGCAAATTTTACAATTAGCTATTGATATGCAAATAAAAATTTTATTATTTTATTTTGTCATTTAAAAAACAATGTTAGTACATTATAGGCACATTATTTTTGATAATAATGCATTTTCAGATACTATGAGGCAAATAAACCAGTCCTAATGGTTGCCAAACCAGAGCTTTTAAGAGATATATTAGTAAAGGATTTCCAATACTTTACTTCACGTCGAGTAAGTATAATATTCAACTATTAGAATTAAAACTGATGTTAAATGAATTAAAAAAACAAGGAAATAAATTAATCGAGTCGTTTCAAATTCGTTAAGAATTCTTTTTTTTATTAAAGTAGTTTAATATTTTGAAGTTACTAGAAATATTGAATTCTGTTATATCATGAAAAATGGATAATCAAAATTCGGGAAATTTTCTGCATTTTTTGGTAGAAATTGTTTCCTGCGAAATGGCACCACAAGAAAACAATACGTTAGGCTGAGGAAATTACCTTTTTCAGTTTTATGAGTATCTGAATTATCTCAAAGACAAAAGACTTAATGCTACATATCGGTTAACATGACTGATTAGGAAATTGAAAATAAAGAGAGTATAAGTGAAAATCAATAAAAAAATTATAGCAAGAATTGAATTAAATCATACCGGCATATTTGTTTACATATGGAGCACTCTAACTACTGTACCATCTTGACATATAGTGCAAACGGTTTTAAATGTGAATCAACGTAATGAGATAATACAGGAGTGAGAAAACATTTAAACTTATGTTTGAAAATTCGCGTTTTGATAGGAATCGCAGGAAGTCATGACAATTCACCAAATTGAAGATTTTTCAAAATATGAATTCTATTATCTATTTTTTTTAGCAATTCCTTTCATAAGGATATTGGCAAATACATACTGATTTTTTACTCTTTAATGGGCGTTGTTTTACTTATTAAAAGCATGAACATTGACAAAAAAGCTTTAAAAGTTTGGAAGTATAATATACTTTAAAAGTTAAACTTTAAAAGTAAAAGTATAATAGACTTTAAAAGTTTGGAAGTATTATACTTTAATAGTTTTTACCCTGTTCAACCACTTATTTTGCATTTCTTACTTGTAATTAATGTTACAGTAAATGCAATGCGAAATTTTTAAAAATAATTTTTTTTACATAAAATGAAAATGTTTTACGAACCTATGAATGTCGAATATTACGAATATTAAAATATATTTACTTTTATAATTTTGTTTCATTATTTGCAGATTATTAATACAGGTGATCCCATTTTCGATAAGATTTTATCTTTACTCACTGGTGAAGATTGGAAGAGAGTCCGTACCATTGTGTCCCCCACATTTTCAACTGGGAAAATTAAAAGAGTGAGTGTGTAATTCAAAGTAGCAATTTATTTGATACCTTGATCCGTTTTTATTTTTAGCGGAACACTTCATAATGATTTAAGAAATATTTTTGTATTATTTTATAAAGATAATGCCGTGAGACGTATTATCAAACGAAGCGTAACATATAATAAAACATATTATCAAATGAGGCAATTAATTAAAAAAATGTAATTTTTCCTTAAAAAAACATCTAGTACATATAATTCTCTTACGTGGCTTCCAAATTTTGGCTGTATTTATTTTCCGCCAGTGGCAACGTTTGCTTTGTTTTGTTTAAGTTACTATTTCTCTTACACGGCGAATCGACCAATGATTGCCGCTAAAAAGGTCACATGCCAAATCTAGCTGACGTGGCTCAACATATAGCGCTTTTAAAAACGGAAACTGAAATAACCAGAGAGCATCAACTGCGGCAATCTCATACTATTAAGCTAGACAGTCCACAGACAGAGTAGTCTTTGCCGATAGATCTCTGTTTTAGTATTTTGTCGAAAGCGCTTTTTTTCACGAATTTATATATTACGAATTTATTTGGCGATTTTTGATTTATATCACGAATTATACTATAGCACATTTCTAATAGGTTTAACGAATTACATGTTATTTATTTGAATTCAAATTTATTTTAATGACTTAGTATTTACTAAAACGATGTAATTTAAAAAAAAAAAAAGTTTTTATATGGATTTGAATGATTGTTCTGAATTCTTAGAATTTTGTGCATTTGCAATGTACGTAAGTTAGTAGCTAGCGAAGCGAGGTTGGCTTGCGAAGCAAACCATATAAGATTGCGTAGCAATTTTTGGGGGTTGACGAGCGTTAAGCCCACTAGTTTTATAATAATTTATGAACTACTTCTGTATTCTACTTTTATCAAAATTATAAAGAATTAAGTTGTGTCGATTTTGAAAATTTGTTTGTATAAAATCTGTCAACATTTTTTTTTGTAATCCTCAAATATCAAATAATTATTTTAGTTATACATCTGACTTATTTTATGCATTTTTGGAAGAAAATGATTCAAATAATTTTTTTTGTTTTAAGAATCCATTTAAATCAAATCAAATAGTATTTTTTAGAGTGTCTTTCGTAATTTTAAAGCCAAAAACTGTATCATTAAGTCATTACAAATTTAGATATTCTGCTACGTTTCTTTAAGTATAAATTTATTCCTGATTCAACTCAATGTTTACTTTCGCATACTTTAAAACATAAAAAAAATAATTATATATAAAATTTCTATTTATAATACGTTTTATAATTCAATCTTAATAGTTCGAGAGGGGAAGTCAAATATACTAATTAATTAGTTCAAACGATATTTCAAGTCAGAGAACCGAACACAAAAATCTATTTTCTCTGAATAAACATGCCTCTCTTATATTCGACGGATTCAGATTTCTGACCTCCAAAATAGAAGAATTGGCAACAATCAGAAGAATAATCTTCACAATAGATGGGCCAGGAGAGCTTTCAAAAGCGGTTAATTTTATTATATGCGTATCTCGCCATATTTCGAGATTTTTTTCAACAAATTAAAAAATTTTGCACACAATTCTAAAAATTCCTTTATTCAAGGATGAAAGAAAGAATTTTTAGTAAATATTTATTACTTTTTATTATTTTCAATAATATTCGAAAGCATTTTGCATGGTATAAAATTTTTCGCATCATTTAAAAGAATGTAAATGTACTCGTAAAAATAGAAGCTTGTGTGAAATCGGTTGATTAGTTCCTGAGAAATTGAATTTTTGTTTGATTTTTTGGATCATTTTTGTGTCTGACTTCGGAACTTAAAATATCGATTACACTAAATAGTTAGCACATTAGAGATCATCCTTTTAAACCATTAAGATTGAGTCCTAGAGCATAAAGTTAATTATTCCGATCTTTAAATTAAAAGTTATTCAGGATGGTCCATTTATTTATTTATTTATTTTTGCTCACCGTATGATGTAAAGCGTTATGAAACACCTCCAATTAATTTTAAAATGTTTTTATATTTAATAGGTGATGGGAATTTTTCAAGATTGTGCTAAAACAATTCTTCAGAATTTTAAGATGGAAAATGCAAAAGGAAAACCTGTGGACGTGTACAAGTTAGTAAATAACCTCTTCATAAAAATTTTAACCATTTAACAAATATTTAAAAATGAATCGTTTACTATACTATCGTTACTATCGTTTAATATAATCTTTCAAGGAAACGGATAATTTTTAAAGTTATTTTTTAAAAGTAAGCTATTGTAAAATTTATTTACTTTAATCTTATTCGGCTGGTCATTTTATTAATGTTGTTTTTCACAAACATTCTTCAAATATGGAGATTTTAGATTTTTTTTCATGGTTTTGTTTAGGATCCTGGAAATTTTGATATGCATTTTTCGCAAATAAAATGTTAACATAATAACAAAAAAGTCAAAAATATCATGTAAATTTTATTTTATAATTGGCATAGAGCAACGGACCCAATTCTGAGTTTACGACTATCAATCAACTATGTACTTCGACTATCAAATCCATAGCCTTGTAATTTCAAACCCAACCCAGAAGAAAAGGTGACTTTTTTTTATCAAGCATTGAGACAAAATAACCTCCGCAAAGGACTTTTTTATGGAACTATCCCGCATTTGTGTTACATGGAGAGGAAGAACACGAAAATCTCTTATGGTTAACCCATTGTTGAGCCATCGCATCTTCGGAGAAAATTGGAGTCAGCCATAAGGAATACAAATAAATCTTAATAAAATTAGTACTGGCCAATTACCAGCACACAAACCAGAAGTCTTGTAAACTCAATGAAAATACAGCTTCAATCTTTAATTAATGCTAACTATGTGCTAACGAAATATAAGATAAAATTTGAAATTATTCTTGCATTCATGCAACTCAGCATTCATGCAATTCTACATACAATGTTATTCTATTCAATATTTATCTATCTGTCTCCTCAAAATGTTTTTAGATTTTATGGTGCTTTCTCTATGGATGTTATTGCCAGTTCAGCTTTCTCAACAAAAATTGATTCTCACAACGATCCAGAGAACCAGTTTGTAAAATATGCCAAAAAATCTTTTTTGCAGGAACTTAATTTCAAGTTTTTATTTTTCTGTAAGTATAGATTCATTTAGTTTTCAAATTCATAAATTATTTGCGTATGCATGGTACTGTTTTATTAATAAAGTTTGTAAAGTAAAATAAGAAAAGATCATTACAATCATACTTTTTCCCTTCAAATAGTAGACTAAGAGACAACGACCAATTTATTCAAAACATTTTCACTCAGTTGTACAGTACATACAACATACAGTTGCTTGAGTGTTAATTCGAGAAAGCAAAGAGTCTGTTTATCCGTTCGCTTGACGAAAAAAATCTCTTTTCAGACATAAAAAAAAACTAAATCCAAAAGTTCAGATCAAATTGTTGCGGATAACAACTTGGAAAAATGCACAGAGTTTTAAAAACACTTTTTTTTTTAAATTTTTACTGTGAATGGTTCCAAAACAAGATACCGCACTTTGGGTGCATCCCACTTTTTTCCGTAAATTGATCCGCAAAGTTTTACAAATTCTTTACGCAGATGCCTTATCTGATGTTATAAAATCACCATCTACTTTTAACAATAACTAAGTAAACCAGCCAAAATGAATTTTTTGTTTCAAAAATTTTATTTATTAAATTCAGAAATTATTGTTTTTCTTTGATCTTCAACTTAGTAAAGTTCTTTTTTTAAAAAAAAATGCTATCTACGAAGCTAATGAATCTCATGACTCACAGACTAAAACAGACTAAGCTAACAAGCAATTTTTTCATTATCTCTCAGAATAGAAACGCTTGAAACAGAACTAAACCCTTCAATTTTTGAAAGAAATATTATAATTAATTTAAGTAATAACATTCCAACACAGGGCAAAGAGTTTCATTTATGTATCAGAAATATCTTTTATCTCACCAAAACATTCTTCCTATGAATGTACTCTTAAAAAAACGTTTTTAGGTTTATTATAATAATATATCATTTAATAATATTGCTAGGAATGTTGTATCATGTCGAACCACAATATCGTTCAAAATTGCAGCAAATTTATATGGTACTAAGTCGAACCATATTATACTAGCTCTCAAACAGGATGAAAACTCTGTTATCCACAACTTAAGTGAAAACGCTGTTTAATTTAAAACCTTATTAAAGTTACAGCGAGTTTCAGCCGTACCAGGGTTCGTGATTTCAATATTGTGATTCAATGTTCAATAAATTTTTTAAGAGTGTAATATGTAGTATATTCATAGGTTGTTAACATTAAAATCTAATTTACACGTAATTTTTGCTTTTGCTCATGAATAAAAAATTTATTAGGCACAGACATGAAAAGAGAACAAGCAGGGTTCGTATCTCTGCAAAAAAAGGCAAAGAATTAAAGGAAGATATTTTATAGAAGTTTGAAAAATAAAGAAATACAGAAAAGTCACTAAATTACTATTCAGTATTTTTTAAAATATGGAATTGTTTCAAAAACTTAATGATAAAATATTCATTTCTTATATTTAACAAGAAGCAATTAAAATGATTTTTTAGATATAACTCGTATCGATAAAAAAATTATGTATTAAATGCATTTCTTTATAACACAAAAATATGAATAATTTAAAAAATTGTGATTAAATATCCATTTTTTTTATATATTTGCTGTAATATACTGAAATAATAAAAGTCATGACATACCTCCTAATATCGGACTTCTTCTATCTCCATGAAGAGCAGACACTCGATGTGGCATGGACTCACTCTTGTTGAAAGTCAGAAATATTCAGCTATGCAGTCTCAATCGATGTCTATAATTGCGAAAGTGTTGCGGCTGCAGATTTGGTGCACTTGCTGACCTCTCTATTATATCCCATTAATGTTCGGTAGGATTCATGTCAGGTGATCTAGGTGACTAAATCATTCACTGGAATTGTCCAGAATGTTCTATAATTTAGTCGTGAACAATTAGGGCTTAGTGACATGGTGTATCTTCATCCATTAAAATTTCAACACACAGTTCAAGAAGGACTGCAATTAGTATCCAAGTAGCAGAACACGATCGGTGAAATCGGACTATAGGACCCAGTCGAAAAAGCAAACCGCACCATTATGGAGCCACAACCTGATTGAACATTGGCTTGCTGATAACTTGGGTTCATGGTTTTGTGAAAACTCTCCTATCAGCTCTGACCAGCCAAAATTGGGACTTATCGTCTAGGATCCAATCAAAAGGCACGAGGCCAGGAAAGGAATTTAATGTGATGTCGTGCTGTTAGTAAAGGCACTTCTGTTGCCATATCCCATAACAGACGAATTTTGCTGCACTGTACTAACGGGCATATATATTTCGCGTCCATCGTGGGACGTCATGCCTGTTAGGTATTCTGGACACACTCTTAACACTATAGGTCTAGAAATGTTGAATTCACTCCCAATTTCCGAAATAAAATGTCTCATTCGTCTAGCGCCTACAACCATTCTTCGTTCAAATTCTGTTAATTCTCATCTTGCGATCGTAATTACATCAGAAACCTTTACAGATGAATAACTTGCACACAAATATAAGTCCTGCCAGTGGATTATCCATATATACATTTTGTACGCTATACTACTGTCATTTGCATACTTGGATAGTATTATTCTATGGCTTTTGTCACAGTGTATTTCCCCACCCTTAAAAAACTGTCACATTGTTTGTAAATACACTATGTAGAATTAGAAAATAAAAGACTACTTTATAATTAAAACTGCAAAATAATTTCAGTGATTATGCCAAATCTGCTCAGAAAGCTTGGATTCAGAGCTTTTTCACCTGATAGCATGGATTTTTTTAAAAGTGCAACCTTAAACATCATTCAAGAAAGGAAGAAAACTGGACAGGTAAATTTAAATTACCTCATACAATTTGAAATTCATAAATATTAAATAACGAAACGTATTGATTTTCACACTATACACTTTTAAGCTCTTTTTGAAAACTTTTTTGGACTCTCGAATCATAAGAATGATGGAAGTTTCTGAAAGGTAAAATTATAAAAGAAAAATTACATACTATTGGGTAGTTTTAATTGGCAGGAGCATTTCCAAACTCCTCAAAAATATTTTTGAAAATGCAAATATAAAAATGTTTTAAATCTTTATAAAAAATAGAAAAAAAGATTTTCCTTGCAGACTACCTTTGGAAAAACGAACTGTAAAGACTTATCTTCGGATAGCAAGACACGAAATTTTAATTCGCGTAATTACTTCAAAATGTTATATCCTTAGCCGATTCCTGTGTTGAACAAACTGCTTTTGAATTCAATGATAAATGCATAAAAAATACAACATTAACTTCATAACGGTTTTAGGATAAAATAGTGAGACCATATTAAAGGCGACTACCATTTCTAGACTTGGGGAGAAAGCCTACCAGAAAAAAAAGCATGTTCATTACACAGGACTGTCGTATTTCATCAAGCACGTTTTTTTCTATTCTTAACTTAATATATCGTTTGCACTTATTCAGAATCATAAAATTATAAAATGATTCCAGGTACCTGTTACCACCACAGGGCTAAAATACAATAAAAAAAAGCTCGCTTTTTCCCATCTCTCTTCGTCCCAAACATCAGAGTCTCAACTGTAGCATGTGTTAAAACACGAACTAGAACTGATTAAAACACAACTATATTTTTTAAAAAAAAACTTTCAATACCAACGTTAAAGAACTTAGCAACTTTTAATTATTTTAAACATAACAGTGCTAACAAAAATGAACATCATACCAAAGAACAAAACAGAAAAACATCAGTGGCGTAACTAGATCACCCATCGCTCTTCTAATTTATGGTCGTTTTCAAATAAATGATCTAGTTCATCGCTCATTCGTGTTCTCCCTCATTTGGCGATTTTGGCGGAGAAAGAAGGGTGTCGCCTGACGGTACAGATGAGTCCTCTTTTCAGATTCGTGTTTTGTACAGGCAATAGAAGGAATAAGAAAGTTAAAGTTTGGAAAACGTTAAGATTAGCGGAACAGTAAAATAATTGCTAGATTATAAATCATTTTAGAATTCCAACTTCTTAGTACAGATAAACTATCCAAAATTGCTTATATTTTTACAAAAATAAGAAAAAATTCAATTTTGAAAAATGGTTTTATAAGCGATATCTTGTGATAATTCTCTACTGTTAATTTTTGAATTTTTAAAAATGGTTTGAAATTTTAAAATGTCTCACATAATTTGCACTAACAAAACAAATGTCCACATTTACAATTGAAGTCAGAAATCAAATTTTTATTCCTTTTAAACTTCAAACCTTTAAAATTGACAAAAAATTACTTCCCAATTAATTATTAATACATTACTTTTGCTAAAACTTTTCTTAATAATAATTCCATCTAATAATATTTCAGATGTTTTAAAAAAGTAGCTACAATTAGTTCAATTTTTGTTTTTATTTTATTAAAGTTATTTAATACTTGTCAATTATGTGGTACATAATTATAAAGTATGTAACAAATTTTATAATTTATCTTAGGGTGTTTTTCAGTTAAAAAAGTACGTTTAAATTTTAATCAAATGTAACAAATAATAATATAACATCTTGTAAAATCAAGAATATTTTTCCAGGTATTGGGAATTCTTCAAAACCTTTGCAAGAAAAGATTTAAGACACATCATTAAATAGAAATATAAAATTAAATTTGAGGAAAAAAAATGCTGCAACACATTATTTATAATAATAATGATGGTAATAATAATAATAAATGCTAATAATAAATGCTTTTTTACTTACTGATTTAATTTTGATTTTACATCTGCAATGGATGAGGTTAAATAGCTTAAATACTTTAATAGTATTTTTGACTTTTTTCACATAATATTGCATTTAAGGAAGATTTTATAATTTTAGTTGAGGATGACTAGGTGATTTTTCTAAGGAACTAATTCGGTGTTAAAAATCTTTGACGTATTTGTCGAATAATTTTAAATTAATCTTTCATAACCACTCTTCTCTGTGAGCAAATGTATAATGGACAAAATTAACTCTACGTAAGCTAGTGAAATTATAAAAATATATAGAATTTTTTTTCTTTTACAAACATTGGAGAGAGTAAAAATAGAATTAGAAAACAGAAAATGTAGTTCTATAGTTTAAAATCAAAGTAGTGGTTAAAAGATTACTTTCTAAGAAGATCTCTAACAAGAAGCTCACGAGACACCTGAAAGCAAGAAACCATCCTTTGACTGTCATACTAATCGATCAGAATGTTCAGTTACTTGACTCTGCTCTAGCAAACTAAACCACCCGAATCATTTTCCCAGCTCTGTTTATCGTAAACATTTTACTGTTTATTTGTCCCCCATGCTTAGTTTAGTCATCCAAATTGGCAGAAAATTTTTGTTTTCCGTAATTATTTTGCTTTTCGCGCAATTAATCTTTGTTACACCCTTCTCTGAAATCTGTATTGCACGTCTGCTCGATGGTTGATTTATCCTCTCTGTAGTTGATTCAGTTCTTGCTAAACTTTCTAAAAATAAAAGCACTTCTTCTAATCTTTACAGCGAATTAATTGCTACACCATCTTTCTCTTCTTTTCATTGAAAAATTGCTAATATCTTGCACATTTTTTTTGGTCTTAAAATCATTTCTGACCCATTAACATAATTAAATATAAGTCCTTTAAAGTTCTTATTAGTATTGGAGATTTTAAATTTTAAACTCACAGTTAATAATAATTTATTTCAGCGATTTTATTAAGAGTTATTTTTTTCTTCATTTATTCTCTAGTTTCAATTATTAACTAACTATTTTTGCAGTGCTTCCTAATAATTAGGTAGCGTTTTGTTTTTAAAAAAAGACTAATCAAATTTTGCAGATTTCTTTAATTACTTGAAAATAATTAGATAACTTTCAAAATTGAGGCATCATAAATACATTAATTTGGCTTGTTAAATTCACATTAGATCTTTTGCATCTCGCAAGCAAAGGATCCATTTGACGTCCAATTGTTCCGAAAAAATATAATTTCATTAATTTGTATCGTTTTTACTCGGCGGGAATTCTGTGTATTACTGTTTTTGTGAATTAATAGCTCAAATTTTTTATCTTAGACGAGGAATGACTTTCTGCAGTTGCTTGTAGATGCAGCAACAGAAGTTGCAAAAGAAGAAAAGTGGGATGATACGGATGATCTTTCTTCCAACTACGTTGATGATTCAAAAGGCCATGCAGTTTTCAAGGGAATAACTTCAAAACGTATGCATCTAACTTAATTAATAACAAAGAAGAAACTTCTACGCAATTAGTTTAACATTTGAAATGAAAAAAATACTCAAAAATTTAAAAAGGAAAAAAATTTATTTTCAAGCTCTACTAAATTTAAACGTTTGGAGTACGATAACTTATACGAAGAGAATTAAATTGGGCATTTTGTAAAAACCGCACTTAATGAAGAATTTTTACAATTCTTGTCAAGATGGAAAAAAATACATATACATATGAGAGGTTGCAAATTAGTATATAATTGATGGTAGGATACATTACGCTCCTGGGATCTAACAAAAAAACTACTGAAGAATGTGAGATTAAAAATACGAAAACCTGTTTGATTGCGGAAAGAAACAGATAGGAGTTTAAAGACGATTTATAGAAACACACCCAAGTTTCATTAGGTGATCTAGTTTGTCTCAGCGTTTTTATTTCGTTTTCCTACCGATTGATTCAGTAGATTTCGATAGCGTTTTTGTCCTTCCTCACTTAAATATTAATTTGTGACCAGTAATAAATAGACTTCGCAATTTTATTTTTTTCTAGGATTTAAAAAACTTATATTGTTAACGGTTATTACGAAATACTTGGCACAATCAAGCATACAATCGGTGTTACACTAGTTTTAAAAAAAATAGAAATTTTTAAAAATGTTCGATACCAAATCATAAAAATATTTGAAAAAATAAAATAAATTTTTGAAATTATATTTTAAATGCTTTTCTATTTGATATACAAGTATTTAAGTTTCATTAAAATGATTCACAAAGTCCATTCCTTATAAGTTAACAACCGTTTTAAAATGTGTCTTTCATTATGCATAATGTGCTATTCAAGTTTTTTTTTTCAATAAATGTAATTGACTAATTCAAATGTAGTAAGTTCTGGTGGACGTATGTGAATGTGTAGCTAAACGTACAGTGCGTCAAAAAAAAAGTGGACTACCGTGAATGACTTTTGATCTAATGATCGGATCTTAATGTTCTAGGACTCCATCTTAATGGTTCGAGGGATGGACTTGAAATATGTTAATTATTTGCAGACGATATTTTATGTTACGAAATCAGACACAAATTTTTTTTTCTTTGAATAAACATACTTTTTTTCAACGTATTCTGACTTCTGTTCTCTAAGATATAGATGATAGCTGAAATCTAGGAAGTATAATCTCCATAGTTTGGTCAGGTTAGCGATCCAAAGTAACACCTTAATCTTAATTATACTTTTTGTGTATTTCACCATATTTCGAGAACTTTTTAAGTGAATTGAAAATTTTTTGCAGATAATAAGATAATTTATAATTTCGAAAGATAATTTAATGCTAATAATAAATGCTTTTTTACTTACTGATTTAATTTTGATTTTACATCTGCAATGGATGAGGTTAAATAGCTTAAATACTTTAATAGTATTTTTGACTTTTTTCACATAATATTGCATTTAAGGAAGATTTTATAATTTTAGTTGAGGATGACTAGGTNTCGAAGGAAATCGGTTGAATAGTTCCTGAGAAATCAACTTTTAAAATAGTCGTACATTTAAAATTCGATTTCTTAGGAAATCGGTTGAATAGTTCCTGAGAAATCAGCTTTTAAAATTGTCGTATATTTAAAATTCGATTTCTCAAGAACTATTCAACCTCTCAAATTTTGGGTTTTGTCCAGTAAAATTATATGCTTTCAAAATTTTATACTTTTAATTCAAAATCTTTTCGGATACTATTAAATAAAATGATAAATATTTAAGGAAGTTGGTTTCTTGCAGAAAATTATCTTTTCATAAACGAATTTTATAATTGTGTGCAAAAATGTTTCAATGAGTTAAAGAAGTCCTCGAGAAATGGGGAAAAACGCAAAAAGTAAAATTAACATCAAGGGTTCAAAATCGCTCTCTTGAGCAAAGTATTGGGACGATATTCCCTAGATTGCGGCTAACCCTTTATTTTGGGGGTCAGATATCCGTATCCGTCGATAAAAAGGTAGTGAATTCAATCAGAAAAAATACGTTTTTATGTCTGATTTCGTAATTTAAAATATCATCGGTACAAATCCATTAGCATACTAGGGATCACCCCTTTGAACCATTAAGGTTGAGTACTAGAATGTGAAATTCCGATCATTAGATCAAAAGTTGGGTGGTCCGTTTTTTATTATTTTGGCTCATCGTACATTTATTATTGATATCATTCTTACTTCATTACGACGGTTCAAAAATCGTAATATGCGTCTTTAAACCCTCGGAAAGATATATTTAAATGAAATTTTTAATCTCTGGTACAAAATATGCTACCATACTAAGTAATGTTAAGACTGAAGATCCAGCGAAGATTAGTTTATGTTCGTTTTTCACAAAAATGACTTGCGGATCGCCATTCTTCGCATTTTGAGGATTACTACGTTTTGACAAACAACAACTTATGAAATTGGTTCTTGCCGAGAGTTATTACACAGTGAAGATGGACCAAGCTGGGCAAAAACGGTTCCTGGCCTCATTGAAATCCGCTTTTCTTCAGAATCAGCTATATGTTTAAAAATTGTTTTGTTTTAGGTTTGCTGAATTTGAGGATGAGCTATGTTATTCGAGATTTTATTTTAACCCACATCGGCGCATACCCTTAAAATAAAATTAAAAGAACCGAATTTAACGAGTTTATGAAAATTTATAATGAAAACAATTTCACAATACAGCAATTAACTCTTGTCTTCCACAGAATACAAATTTGTAGCTAAAAAAAATCCTTATAATATTTGGACTTTATAATACATCAAAAATTTCTATTTAATAAGCACATTTGTTGAGTTAAATTTTGAGAAGTGAGAACAGTGAGCTATAAATTGATAAAAATTAAGAAAGCCAATGCATTTTTAAAGAAAAAAAAGCAATAATTTCCATTTAGTTGAAATTAATTTTCTCTGAATATAATATAACAGATATGAAGAATATAATATAACACTAATGTACCCTTTTTTTTGGCAGATGCTCGTATTTTTTAGTAGCTTTTTTAAGAACTGTACGAAGCATAATATCAATTTTAAATGAGTTTCTATGTAATATAGGAAAAGTATTATATTTTAGGATTATCCATGGATGAGCTTGTGGCTCAGTGTGTTATATTTTTTCTTGCTGGCTACCATACTACCGCAGCAACTCTAGGACTTACTACCTATCTACTGGCATTGAATCCGGAAGTACAAGAAAAAGTTTTTAAAGAAATATCCGAAGTTGTTGCAGAAACTAATGTGAGTGAAGAAATTTACCAAAAAGATTCGAAGTTTTTTTTTAATAATATTGCAGCCCATAGCTAAAATCTTTTGGTTTCATAGCGATTAAGAATTATTTAATAGTTCTGTTACGTTTATAGATGGCATTTTAAGGAAAAAGTAAGCTTAAACAATTGTCAAAAAATCTTCCATTCCGAAGGTTTAGCTCGAAATTCACTATTAGTAATATTTGATAATGGAAAAACTTCATTAATTACAAATTATACAAAAAAGAGTTTGAAAAGCCTCATGAAAACAAAACATACCATACGGAGAAAAAATTTCTGGTAAAATTACCATATAGTATACTAATGACATTTCTGATTAAAATTAAGCCATAATTCTGCTTTTTAAAACAGCAATACATGGTATTCAAGCCATTCATTTGGTAATTTTTCCATTCATATGGAAACTGTTTTTTGGAATTTCTGGTTTTTTAAAATTATAGATCATCTTATAACTGTTTTCGTTTAAAAAAAGAGTACTGTTTAAAAAATTAAAGTTCTTATTATTAAAACTGAAAAGTAAATGCAACAGAATAAATGCTTTTTATGTCATGCTCAAAAATACCATGATAAAATTATCTAATTTTATCACATTTAGCAAATTTTATCTTGTATTTTAAAACCATATTTTATTGTAAATTTTACAAAAATCATTACCATAGCACTTTGGCAAAAATTATGGAATTTTTTGGTATTTCAATAGAGCCATAAATACGGTCAAATTGTGTATTCAGTATAATTTTTTTTAATTTTATGAAGATAAGACAAATTTTGCTTGCTTAACAATGAATAATTGTTTGAATAACAATGATAATTTTTTAAACTTAATAGAAATATTAGTATGCAAAGCTTGTTTCCTTAAAGCTTAAATAAAGGCATGCAAAAACCTTTAGAGGAAGAAAATCTAATTTTTTAGCATTTATTTACAGGTATGTTTTTGTCTTTTTACATTCTAGCTCTCTGCCCAGGCTCTCAAATGCAATCTTTTCCTTGTGTTGAAAACTTAGTGATCAGGCTACCTTCATTATTTTACGTGTAAAAGGAAGTCTATTAAAGCCTCAGCAAACAAACATTGCTTCACCAATGATCATAAAATACTAAATAATCCTTGAGAAGTTGGATTTATCCTCGGTTTGAAATTGCTTTCTATTATTGATTTGCAAATTATTATTCATCCTCCATTTCTGAAGGGTTTTCTAGTCTTGTTTTGTAAACTTAGGTTCAATATTTAAAAGGGTTGTTTAAAAAAGCAAAGTCTCAATATAAAAGGGTTGTTTAATCAAACTTAACGCGAACCTCATGGCGTGTAAACTTGCACGGTTTATTTACTAATCATTTATGAACCTTGTTGGGATTTGTGATAAAGTTTGTTGCTGACATTAAAACCAACCCTACTCTTCTATCTAGATTAATAACTATATTATTGGGAAAAAAAACTCATTTTTCTATAAGCATATAAAATACGGAGTACCACACACTTATAATACATTTATTGTATACCGCAAGTCTTTTCAAGAGAAAACATCCGCAGAGAACTGATAAAAATAATTAACATTTTTCTAATCAGAATTTATAGAGATTAATTTGGAAAATGTTTATCTCTTTTGCTAGTAATGGTGTATTATTCTAGAATTTTCATTGTTGGTAATTTTAATTTTATAATTTCAGGGTGAACTGAAGTATGAATCAATTCAAAATATGAAGTACCTTGACAATGTTGTCTCCGAAGTTTTTAGAATGTATTCTCCCGCAATTAGGTATTTATGCTGTATTCATATATAAGTTTACAGCATATTTATAGATTATTAACATATATTTATGCAACTTGTATTTCTCTTTATAAACAATTTTTTGTAAATAATAAATAGCTTCAGGCTTCACCTTTCAAGAATTTTCAGTTTGGAAATTCTTCTTCTTCTAATGACAAGACAGCCATTTGTAGGGCGAGTCCTTTTTCAGAATCACTTCCCATTCTGCTTTTTTCATCTCCAGGGTGTTCCAATAGTTCATCTTTTGTGCCCCGAAATCTTTAACAATACAGCAAACCCACCTTAGTATGGTTCGTGTTCCAGCCGGTTTAAAATGAAGGATACCGGATGTTACGGAGGACAGGTCCATTCGGCAAATGAGTCCTTCAAAAGTAATGAATAATAACTGTTGATGCCATGATGACATGCAAGACTCGTTTGACTATACAGCTGTACAAACGATGACATGCAAGATCCGTATAGTCTATGCACCTTATGGTTATATCTGTGCCTCACGCACCATTGTTATTTACTGCACCCAGAATCGTCCTCAAAACTTTTCTCTCGATAATAGCAAATCTCTTTTCATGTGATTTTGACATAACTCAGATTTCTGAGCTATAAATGAGCCCCGGTCTCATGATCGCCCTATGAAGCTTTCCCTTTTTACTAATTTTAAATGTAAAATTTTTATAATCCATTTAGAAAGTGTTCAGCTGAAACAACGTGGTATTTAAACCATCCTGGCTGATTAAGTTTGTGCCAATGTTGTTGAAGTCTTTGACAAGTTCTAGATTATGATATTCAATTTTTAACAACTCAATGTTTACAGTGTCTTGCACGCATGCATATATTGTGCTTTGTTTTCACTAACAACTAAGCTTATTTTTTATAAAATGAAATAATTTAATTAAAGGGAACTTATAAGAATAAAAATGAAATAAATTATTTTAAGTACATAATTGAAATTTCACATGTTAATATTATATTTTAAATGTAATAAAATAAGTTCTAAGTAATTTCTCCTTTCACCAAAAAGAACTAAAAAATGATTATCATTGGTGAATATTGGTGAAGAGATTCGAAAGCGAAAATAAATACATTGTTTCCAAATTAAAATTAATTTCGCAATTATAAAGATTTTACACCGTGATAATTTCAACAGAGGAAGGGTTGATTCTTCATGTAGGACGCAGTTGACCGTGGAGAGAGAAGTTGCAAAACAGGCTCAAATGTTGGGCCACTTTACAATTTTGACTTTATTCCATCTAAAAGACATGAGTTTTAAAAGTTTCTTCACCGTACTAAGCACATATTCTAAAATGTTTTGAAGTATTTACGTCTTCCTTTAAAAAAAAAGTAACTCTTGTTTGTTTTCCACTATATAGTATAAGTTTTTTCCTGAGTAAGGTCGATTATACTAGAGAGATCAGATGGCAGATTGGATTAGGATCTAAGCAATATCCTCCAATGAGGTTATTTAGAAATTAATCCTTCTTAACACCACACAGATCCTAAAACATTTACAATTTTAGTTCTATTTATGTCTGAGTTTCCTGCACACACATATACATGCATGTTTTCTCCATCATTTACTTATTATCAGTAATATAGCTCCAATTTTTTTTGCTTCATTGTATTTAACTCAAATACACCGTCTACCTTTTAGGACAGAAAGAACTGCTGATGCTGAGTATAAATTAGGCGACACTGGACTAACGATCCCGAAGGGAATGACTATCGGAATCCCAATATTTGCAATGCATAGAAATCCAAAGTTTTTTCCTAATCCTGAAAAATTTGATCCCGACAGGTGAGTAATGCTGTAAAATTTACCCTCTAAACACTTCACACATTTATTTATTCTGCTACCTGCTTCTAGTTCGACATTTAATTTGATCCTTCCTAATTATTAGAGAGAATATATTCTTAACTACAGATATTTATTATAGCAAAACGATTATGCTTAGGCACTTTACAATTTTTTGTTAAATATATCTATAAGGATAAGATTTGCAATAGAGCACTGGCATTACTAAATTTGAATGTGCAATCATAACAAACTTATTTTTTGTTTTCTTCTAATGTTTAATCACACTCAGGTAATAGACTTTTTGATTATTTCTTATGATAGGTTGATAAGTATGCTGTTTGACTCTGGCATTATATTGGTATATTTTTTTTTTAAAAAAAAACATATTATTTCTTGTGAGTTTTATTTTTATGTAAGTACAGTAAGTTACTACCCGTTTTTAAGGTAGTACATGCACCTTCATTTTTTTAAAGGTTTTGTGTATGAAAATTTTTAACACACAATAAAAATCTGATTATTTTTTTTAGCCTGAAAATGTTAGAATTTGGACGATATCTACGTTTTAAAATTATAATTTTATTTAAAATTTTTGACAACATTTTAACTGATCAAGTAGAATAATTGTTACTCAGATACAATTTATTTTCATTCACCAAATGAGCTTAAAATTGAACCAACAATGAAAAAAAATTTTTTATCCAAGAAGTAGATAATCATAGACTACAGAAATGTAAAAAGTGTGTTCCCTGATTACTCTCTTCGTGTGCTTTGTTTTAGCTAAAACCGCATTTGAGCATAGTATATTTCGCAGAAAACTTGTGTTTTGCTAAATTTAACTTTTAATTTTAAGATATAAGTCTATATTACCCTATTTTTTAATCCTTATTAATGTCATTGTAAATTAAAGTTTTTATTTAAATTTTAATTACAGATTCAGTCCCGAGGAAAGACAAAAGCAGATACCTTATACTTATCTTCCTTTTGGCGAATTGTGTTGGGATGCGTTTTGCACTCCTAGAGTTGAAAGTATGTCTCGTCTACGTATTCAGTGCTTTCCAAGCAAAGAGATGTTCTCAAACACAGGTACGCATAGGAAGTGTTCTGAAAATTATTTAAAAAGGCCCCAGTTCAATTGATGAATAAATCATCGCATAATCCATTAAACAGTGTGACAATACTTGCTTGGAAGCTATTGCCTATTTCACACTTTAAAAAAAATTAAGGTTTTTTTCTGTATATCATATTAGCTCTTCAGATTTAAGAAAATAAAAGAATCTTAGTAACTGTATTTAATAAAATAAATAAATAAATAAACCAGAAAAAGGATGAAATATGACAAAGCAGCATTGAATTTTGAAACACGTTTATCTGCGAGCACCGAGAGGAGCTTCTTTGTTTATAAGGATCTGATACTTTTCACCGACATTCGGGTTTTCCATTCCCCTTTCCCGACAACTCATTTCCCCAAGAAGTACGTTTGCTCGACAGCACGTTTTTCAGACAGTTATGTTGCACGACGGGTGCATTTGCATGACAGGTTCACTTGTCCCCCAACTTATTCGTTTGGCAATGCATTTGCCTGACGAAACAATTACGAAAACGTTACTAATTGAAAGATTATATAGATTTACTCAGTAATTTTTTTGCAATACAGCCGCCTTCCCCTGTTGGGGTATCTCACTTGAGTGCTTATACACTATACACAGTGAAATTAAAAAGGAACAAATTGGAGTACAACGAAGATCAGAGGTTTTCGTTCGTGGTAGACCTTTTTTGCCAACTCGCAGACAATTCGTTGAAGGAAAAGACCGAATTTCCATTACTGTTGCAGTTATGAATAATCGTTCAACTATGAACTATTTGAGTGTTATTGCTCACATTCTTCCACTATAATGTGATTGCATAACAGATAATCCATTATAATCAAGGAGTGAAAAAGGCAAATGAAAATATTTAAAGAATCCAGAAAAAATTGCAACAGGAAACAAAAATTGAAAATAAAAAAAAATAAAAAAGAATAAAAATTAATAAAAAAAATAAAAAAAAAGTTTTTATATACATATATATATATAGATATATAATGCGACTTAGAATTGACTATAATTCTGAAAGGTTTCAAGTCTTTTAAAACGCAAAGGAAAAGGCAACATAAACAGTCATTAAATATCGCTTTCACTTTCTTGCCATTAGTAGCCCAGCCTTTCTTAAAAGATTAAACAGTTGTCAACAGATAATCTTATACTCATTGCCCTTATATTCTTGCCCTGTCGGGTATTTGAGCTGTCAAGAAAACGGAGTCGGGCCTTTGAGTTGTTAAGCAATCGAATGTGGAGAAAATAGCCGTATCGGGTTTATACATATGCAGTTTGTTTTGAAATCACCACCCTCAATATATTTCGTTTAGAATCCTGTGCAAAAGAAGTTGACGTAAGATCCAGATTCCATCTAACCAAATGAATTTTGTTGTGTTAAACTCTGCTCTTCTTGGTGATTCCTCACATTTTAATGGTATTTTCGTCTCGCTTTAATATTAATTTTGAATCCTTAACGTGATTTTTTTTTTCCATTTTAAATTATTGTTACAAATAACTAATAAATTTAAAAGAAAGTAGCAAATTACATATTAGATTTATGCTACCGACAAAGAAGACTTATATTTCGTAAAAATGGTATTTGAATCGAAATAAATTATTAAACACAAAACCTTCGTGTATTTTAAGATTTTTATCGGTTGTTAAACATTATTTGTTTCTATATATGAGACAATGTTATATCAATACAGATTAAGTTTAATTCTTATTTGTGAAATAAATTTTCATCCACTTGAGTGACACTAAAAAAATGATTTAAATTCCAGGTACCGGTACAATTTAGGAACTCGGGTGGTCTTTTGTCACCAAAACCAATTGAATTAATCATGGAACCTAGAACTAATTGCCCTGTGAAGTTTTGAGGGAAAACAACAACGAGTTATCTGCAGGAGTATACACTGTTTGTTACAGAGTGGACTTAGTAAAATTTTAATATGTGTGTAGATTTATGAAAAATAGTTGCAAAATGTTGATAAACATAATTTGCAAGAAATGGCATATAGTTTATTTCATTTGATAATAAAAATTGATATTTATTATTTTAACAGTAGTAATATTATTTTGAAACATTATACACACTGGGATACTATACAAAGAATTTAAAAGTATTGGTTTTAGAAGATTTATGAATCTAGATTAGTGCAGATTACGAATTTTTGAGACGAAATCACGTGATTTGTGATGAAACGCGACTACTCAAATATATGACAAAAATATATTCTCAACTCGGAACCTCATCTCAGTGCATTGCGGTAGATTAACTGGAATGAAGGCTATAGGCTCGAAACTAGAATGACGAAATAAGCCGAAGGTGGTCAAGGAATTGGCCTCTTAACTGGAAAATTCCAGGTTCAAATCCCGCTTCAAGCATGGATGTAACATTTCTCTCTATTCTATCTGTCTTTGCGATATTGGGGCAACGTTGATTTTCCTGTATAAGCACCTGATAAGCATCCTAAGAAAAGTGATCAGTAACACCACCGCACGTTAGACACCCTGAGGTGCTACAAATGCCACATAGTTTTTTTTCTTTATTTTCTCTTTTGGAAAAAAAATAGAATAACGGAATATTTCTTTACTTTTGATTAAATTTGTTTATTCGAAAGTGGGGAGGGTTATTTCGTTACATTGACGAGACGTTCCTTAGAAGTATATTCTAGGAAACGGTTTCGTCAAAAATGAGGAAAGTTTCGTGAAATTTGAGTATCCATTTTTTACAGTGTATCAAAATAGAATAAGACCCTATGATGACTTTAACCATTTGGGATTTTACAAGCCCTTTTGATTTTAACTTCTTCTGATTTTACAAGCCTTTTTGGCTTTTAATATTACAATTTACTTGATTTTATTGTTCTCTTAGATTTATGTATCTCAACACCTTTTAACTCTTTTTTTCTCATCTTTAAAATCATATATTAAACTTGGTTGTCTTATACCGGTGTTTTATCCCCTTGCATGATTTTACTTTTCTATGGTTTATTTGCAATGGTTTTAATTTTGCTGTTACCGCCAACCCAGTTTTAGTGGCTGTTTATTGTGATATTAGTGAATCATTGTGTAACTTATTTGCTTGTATCATTGCCTATTGTTGTATTTCGTTTGTATCATTACTAATTATGTTGTGAAACTTAATCTTTCTTGAATTGTGAATTATGCCGTATGCCCAATTAAGGGAAGGTCGGTTATTTATATTTTACAGCGTATCAACGCAGAACAGATTTAACTGCCTCAAAGATTTTAAAGATAACATAATCAGATATGTTAAGGGTAATTAATTATTCAGGGAGTGTGACATTCAAGAATGGTAAAACAATGCAAGAATTTCTAAATATAAATTCCTTTTAAAAATAATGCTGTCAATAATGACTACTACAAACTTCGTCACACTATTTATAAAGATTTGATGAAACAATTTGATATTATTTCAACCCTTTCCGAATCGCGTCTTACAAAGGTATCCTTCAATTTCAAGCTACATTCCTGTAGAAGTGAACTGTCTCATATCTTTTGAAGACAGAGAAAGGTAAGTAATGCATGTCGGAATTTTCCGAATCCCTAATTTCAGAATATAGAAATCGAAAATAGAATATTGCCTTTCTATTAAAGAAATGAATTGAATTGCATTCCGATGATTCGGGTTTGCACTAATTTTTATTTTATATTATTATATTCATTTAGTTTTCTTTATTAGTTGGGATAATTATTTTCCCAGAGGTAGCAGTAAATTTCTCATAATTTTAATTAGAAAAAAAATGTCAGAGTAGGGAATACCGGACAATTGTCCTTTTACTCAAAGGAAGGTCAGAATAAGAAATAACGGGCAAAGGCACTTTACCTTAAAAAACAGTGATGGGAATACAATGCATTTCCTACCTTTCTAAACCTGCTAAAGGAAGACAATATTCCACTCTTTATGCGGTGACAGCATAGAAATGGAGGACTAGAGCTGCACCCTTGTTCTGTTATAATATTGCTTCCGGAACAGCAAATTTCGGTTGAAATTTTTATTCAATCTATGCACTAGCAAGTACAACCATTGATAGGGCATTCAACTTCGTATCTGAGCTGGGTGCCTGAAGATGCGAAGCGACCCTTTTCCCATTCATCTTGAAATGGATGCTATGAGATGTGATGTGGTGTGGAATGCAAGCGAAATTACAAGTGGGTGTTTAGCAAGACAAATGTAGTTTTAAATACAAATAATGAATCAGGTAAAAAATACACGTATACAAGAAATACTATACTCAAGAGATTCTCAAAACACAATGAACACGTTGTGAACCAAATGGTTTCAAAACACATCAATAAAAGTAACCCGGAAGTATAGACTGTCAAGAGCTTGCAGCGCTCCCTAGTGTAGAAAACACCATCCATAATGACTAGATTGTTGATGGGTTTAACGTACTATCAAAAAAGTTGTCAACTAATTGCACATAAAATAAAAGTACTCTATCTAATTCAAAATATTGCTAGTACAACTCCTTTTTATCTTAATCACAGATTCTTCTTCATAAAGTAGATATTCTAAACTAAAAGAATCAAGCAATTATTAAGAAAACACAATAAAACGATGTATTTATTTTTCATGGAACATCGACAAAGTTGCCTCTCTCTCTCAAAAGTAAAGCGTAATAAGAATATTACAACCACTTCAGATCACTTTAATTAATAAATTAACAGTAGGGAACAATCTGAACAAGTGAAGGGAATCTCGACAACCTTGCTCAATCAACCCGTGTAGAGGCTTAACTTCTTCCTTTAGCATTAAAGTCTATAGGGTTGAGTGCATTCTTATATAATTATTTTAAAGTAAACAAACCATTCTAAATCTAAATGGAACCGGTTTTAAGGTTAATTTTTTTTTAAAGTTTCTGAATATTTACACTATTAAGGGGAATTATAGCTTATTTTTATTTAATGAAGGAAATGAAATTTGGTTTATTTTTTTCTGTCGTTATCGCGCCAAGTGCATTCAAGGGGTTGATCCCTATTTTAGGGTGTTGAACAGATGAAAACGAAACTATTTTTAGGCTGCGCCGTTAAATTATGTCTCAAATGTGAAGTTTTGCATAAAATTGTGTTGTAGTAATGTAAAAAAATAGGTATGAGGAATTTTTTACGTATGATATACGCATTAATATTTTTGCATATTATCTACGCATTAATACTTAGTAAAAAGGAATGTTGTTAAAACAGTTTCGCAAACAAGTTGCAACATTGTAATTACCATATTTTCGCCAAATATAATTATGGAAGTGATAAAATAATTTATTTTACGTGTATAAATCATGTAATAAGATGCACTGCAGAGCTCAATATTTATTGCAGCTATTTATCTACAATTCATAAGAATTTCTCTGTTTATTCACTAACTATAAATATTGAAATGAGGCAGCCTTTACGTAAAGTAGAAGAGAATATAGGCAAAAGCAAGTTTCCTACCACTCTACCTTTAAAAAGGATTTATTTTTCTTTTACTTCATACCTAGATATAAATATTTTTATCATATAATGGTAGACAAAAATGTCTTGTGTCCTCAAAATAAGTGCTAATAATGAAACTTTTTTGCTACCATTTTTTGCTATTTTTTTAAAAATAAAATTATCTTCCTTTTGGAAGAACGCTCGGCTTATAAAAGGAATTATAAGCACTGGTTATCTTATAGTTTTCTTTTCTATCTAAAATTTAGCATTGTAATGTATAAATTCGAGACAATTTTTAAATATGGCAAAATTGTTTTAAATAATTGCACAAAACCTTAGATGTTAAATTTAAAATAATTTATTTATTTCACGCAAAAATCAAAAATTTACAAAATATTAATTTTTTATGCATATTTGATTGAAGTTTATTGGCTTAAAAGCAAAGAAATTAAAGTAATTAATATTTTAGCTGCTTCATTTTGAATTAAATTTTTTAAAACTAAATTTAAAAGATTTATTAATAGTATACAGTTTTATTCTAATTATATTATATGGTTTAATACTTATAATTATATGGTTTACTTATAATTATATGGTTTATTACTTTGCATACAAAATTAATCTAGTTTTCCTAAGAAAAGTTGTTATTCTTCTTTTTTGAAGAGAGAAGGGCGATCGATTATTAAGTCAGATATTTTAAGTGAAGATAAACGATATACGGGACAATAAACGTAATAAAACACTAAAAAACAATTAATACAAACTCAAAAATTGCGTGGTGATGAAACATGATGCAAAATCGTGGAGAAAGTTATTATTTTTTTTGCCATATGCCTGTTTAGGCAGTGTGGGTGCGATTGTTCCTGTTTTTCAGTGGCGCCATCTCTGGCCAGGAATTCGACTTCTGCCACGCCATTCACACAACCACAACCCGTTTATAGGGCGGGTCACACTCACACACAAAGGAGAAAGGACATAGAACACACACAGAGAGAAAGAAACATCCATGCCTTGCCCGGGATTCGAACTCAGGACTTTTTTGATGCAAGGTCAGTTCCCTGCCGGTCGGCGGAGAAAGTTATGCCAGCAATTGTGTTTAAATTATGGGTAACATGTACTCACACTCTACAAAGTTCTTCGCCAATAGCTGTTATATGCGTGTAGCATTGAATCATTAATCAGTGGGTTATTACACAGGTGATAATGCATGATAATTAGATAATTACAGATGTGCAATGTGAACCTATCAGCTATTATAGCATTTCTTTGTTATACTTCTCATTCTGTTTTGCATAAAAGCAAAGATATTTAAATTACTTATTTTTCATAAACTGCTGTTATTTAAAAAGGTACCATATAATGAAATAAACGTAGTTTCCGTTGAAACAAATATCATTTTTGAAAGATTATATTAAAGCTTAGTACATATGTATGAAACATAAAATTTTCGTTCGAAATACCAGGTCAACGTGTTGTTAGAAAGAAATTACAAGCTGCATATTAAATTTGTGACTGAGTGTAGCTAAAACAATAAAAATAATGTTTGTTGGTAAAATAATGGGTAACGTAAAAAAATCTTAAATTGTTGTATTTTAAAAGTATTCGTAAATTATTAAAAACGCCACCGCTTTATTTGATAATGTTTCAACGTTTTTAAAAAAAATTTTGCCACATTTTAATTTAGTTTTTGCACTTTTACTACATAAATATTTGAAAGATAATGATTTGCTCGTAAAAACAAAATTCTTCCATCCACACATTTTTTTTCAATGTAACCTATTCTTTCAAGAATGATATCAAAAGTCATTATCAATTCACATATCAGTTATGTCTTTCTAAGCTGCAGCGTTTGATTACTCTCCAAGATTTATTATATTGTAAGTTAATATCACTTTTATTTCAACTGCTGTTGATGAAAGCAACTGGATGCAAACATTAGAGATTAAACCATGGATACTCTGGATACATTACATGATATTCGAATTGTTAGTGCAATTGTTGCAGTAGTGATATCTATTTTGCTTTATTGGTAAGAGTTATTATTTCAGTTGTGGTTTTATTTAAAACTAGCCGCCAGCTGTCCGCCACGTTATTAATTTTTTATGGTATCAATTTCTATTTCTATATAATTTTTTATGGTATCAAATTCTATTTCTATATCTGTTACGTCAAGCACTCAGGTATTATAATTTGATCTAGTTGTGCTTGTATAATTTTGATCTAGTTGCGCTTTCTACGTCATTTTGTTAACATCGTTTGGTTTGTTATTTAACATCGTTTGGTTTGTTATTTCTAAGTTAACTTTCAAAAAATTGGCTGGCATCAGCATTTTTATTCTTTAAGTTGTTTATTTTTTCTTTTGGAATTCGTTCCTTTTTAGCGAAATGTTTTTCAACCTAATCGAATTCTTTGCCGACTGTTCTCTGTATATATAAAGAAAATAAAGTAAATATTTTTAAAGTGTTGTGAAAAGAATTTTTAGTTGTACAAAGTACTACAATATCGCTACAAAAATTATCGTCTTCGCTTAAGAAAAAAAAAATAGAGCGTGGAAAGAAGAAGAAAAACTTATTATAACAATTATGAACAGCGACAAATATATCAAAGCGAAGCGTTCTATTTACGTATCGAATATGTTGCCACATTTTTAATACAAAAGTTAAACTTTTCTCCACTTTAATAAATGTAAACTAATGCGAACTTTACAATTAAATTATTAATTCCTTCGTATATTATTGGTTTAAGTTGTCGAAAATTAATATTTCAATTGTAAGGTTCGCATTAGCATACATTTATAAGAGTGGGGAAAAGTATATGCATTTTTTAATAGTTTTTTGAATATGGCTCTTTGAAGACGAAAAAGCATAGATTTTCTTACAAAATGACTGATAACTAAAAAACTAATCCAAATTTTTGAAAAAGAAAAAAAATACTTCTTCATTATGTCAAAACACAATTATGTGCCGAGTTTCGTGCCTGGGCGAGGCTTCTGGGGCGATATATTGTGATTACAGGCAGACAGACAGACAAACAGACACACACACAGCAGCGTTTATTATTATGTATAGATAAGATCTATGTATTGCGTAATGGAAAGAAATGCACACAATGAATAACTCATAATTTGATGATCCAACATAATGTAAATACATTTACTTATTAGTGTTAAATATTAATTAATTTGTCGGGATATTAAATTATTGTGAAGCAACAATTTCAGGAGATAATTAATGAATGAAAACTTAATGATTAAAATTTTTTAAATCTTAACGTTTTTAAAGTTAGATGAAAAAGAGAGAATAAATCTATTTTTGTCAGACCAAAACGGAAAAAAGTAGAGTTCATCAATTTTCGATCATCAATTTTCGATGTTGATGTGGTGTGATCGGCACTACGCACACGCCGCCTTTTCGTCAGACAAGCTGGCACCTATTAATCAGAAGCTCAGTGGCCTTCAAGCCGCTACCGGGAATCGAACCCAAGTTGCCAGTACACAGTCATAATAAATTTTTTTTTCTCAAAGTGCATTTAAAGTTAAAATCTGATAGTTAAAATTATGAATTTAATATTTTTGAAATAAGACTAAGTATTTCTTAAAGGTACGTCTGTAATAAAATAATATAGTACATAGTGTAAATATTCCCCAGAGCAATTGTGTTACATAATATATGTATTTTTTTTAAAGAGAGTTGGATGTTTACTTAACATTCAGGACTCCATTGAGTACTCGTGGAAATGATGAGTGAGTATATGGCAATGATGAGCTCATTGCCGTACATACTCACTACGGATAGAGGTGCGGAACTTTTATATGCATTGGGTAGAATAGCGGTTCCCAAAGGGTGTTCCACGGAACTCTAGGGTTCTATGGATGGGTCACAGGGGTTTCGGGAAAAAAAACTTTGTTAAGACCATTTATAGTTTTTGATACTTGTGGTAATACTATTTATTTAATATCTCGATCATCCTAACGAAATCGTTCGAGTAAAATGTCAATGAAAAAAGTAGCGTTATTTTTACAAAACTATTTTTTTTTCAAAGAACAACAAATTATTAAAGAGATTAACATTTATTAAAAAAAATATGTTAATATTTCACACCAGCCTTTTCAACTCATAACGAATAACAGAAATTCCACAATAAAGAAATGTGCTTCTTTGATAAGCATTTATTGCAATTAATTTATTCAATGATCTTAATTCATTTTCATTTCAAAAATAATTCAGCTTACTTTATTCATTTTCATTTTTCGGTAAACAAGATTCAGAGTACATGCGGCTCCAGGGCTGAGAATTCAAATAATGTCTAACTTAAAATCCTATTTTAAAACTATTATTTATAAAACGATGAAGAAATTAATCTTTACAAAATGATAAGTAGCGCTTTTTGGTTTGACTTACAATTGCTAATAAACGTTATTTGTTATTTGGGGTTCCGCCAAAAGAAGGTCGATCATTCAGGGTTCCGTAGCCCGAAAAAAATTGGGAAACGATGGTGTAGAAGAGCATTCAATAACTTTATTGACTAAAACCACAACCACAAAAGATTAATTTGCTTTATAAAGCGCCACCACATTTCTTTATTTTCTTATTCTTTATTAAAATAGTTTCATGAATTAAGTAAACAATAATGCAAAAAACTTTAGGTACTCTACGAAGAACCATGATTATTGGAGGAAAAGAGGTATCCCTTACGTTAAACCTTATCCCTTCCTCGGATCGCATCCCGCATTAGAGAGAGGTAAGGTAAGTTGATTTTACTTAACTAAAGAGCAATCCGTAACGCATGGTGATTAAAATTTTTATTTTTGAATGGGCTGATTGTGTTGTTTGAGTGATTTTTATATTTGATCAAAATTTTTTGTTCCCCTCTATTTAGTTTTGGGGATGGACATTAAAGATTTATTATGAAACTAATATCACCACAAAAGTTGAAACACTCCTATTTTTCCCTTATTTAAAAACATTTTTTTCGTTCAAAAAAAAATTCTATTTTCAAAAAATAAGGAGTCGTTATTGCTCGAACACGAGTCTTTTAAATAATTATCCAACATTTTAATATCTGAACTAGACGCATCATCTTCAGTAGCATATGTTAAGAATTTTAAGATAGTTAATAATGCTGAGATGTTTTAGTTAAAGTTTGAAGATGTAGTAAGAATCAATTTAGGTAGTCAGGGATTTTTTTTTCTTTCAGGTTACTGCTTTGACTTTTTATAATAGACAAGAAACTGTATACTTTACAAGAGATTACAAGCTTTCGCCCGTCAACCCGCAGATCAACAGCTTTCGCACATGCTTTACAATCACTCTGGCACGTGTTCCCTGCGTACACTCATTCATCATTAAAAAAAAAGAAAGAAAAAAAAAGGAATTATTTAACCAATTTTTTAGGAGCTATTCAACCGACTTCGCTCAAATTTTCCATTATGCCATGTAAACTTATATGCTTTAAAATTACGTAAAAAATTGTATACCTCATTCAAAAATTTTTTAAATATCATTAAATAAAATAATAATAAAAAAATTTTTTTTTTGTTTTTTTGTATGGAATTATCTTTGGATAAGCGAATTTTACAGTTATGTGCGAAATTTTTTCAATGCTCTTAAAAAGTTCTCGGAATATGGTGAAATACGCAAAAAGAAAAATTATCATTAAAAGGTCCAAACTTTGGATCACTGTCCTGGCCAAACAATGGGGACCATATTTCCCAAATTGCCCTTATATTTCCCTTATATTTCGGGGGTTAGGAATCAGAATCCGTAGAAAAAAAGGTATGTTTATTCATAGAAAGTAAGTTTTGTGGTCACCCTCGAACCATTTAGATTGATTCCTATATTTTAAAGATCCGATCAATAAGTTAAAAGTTTTATAGAGAGGACCGTTTATTTTTTGCTCTTTGTACATGCTTACATTGGCACTTTTTTTCTGATAGTGTTGTATTTCCATGGCATTACAATAATATAAGAAAGCAAATAGAAAGTTGATCTAACTTTATAATTAGGAATGGACTTATTCCCTTTAAAAGTGGGTGTTGAATCATAGAACGTAGAGATCCGATCATTAGATCAAAAGTTATTCAAGTTGGTCCTTTTTCTTTGCACGCTGCGCATAGACCAAAACTCTTATAAACATAACTCGGTGACGAATTTATAGATTCTAAAGTTATTGATATCAATGATACGCACAACAGCTAAGGAAAATATCAATATTTCAATTTTGTATAAAATAGTAATGAACTTGCTAAGTAAAAAGAACACAATCATACTTGCTTTCTTCTAAAAAATTAAGTTGCATTGCAAATTTTTTAAAAATTTCAATAAAATAATTCTAGATACACTCTCAGAACTCTAGATACACTCTCAGAACTCTAGATAAACTCTCACTTTTGATGATTCAGCATCCCTGTAACAGTATTTTGTTCATTTTGAGATCTGGGTTTGAATTCCCCTTTGGGCCATGGGTGTAAATTATCTTTGTTTTCTGTTTTTTATGTTGTGCCATCATAATGGTGCCCACGTTAACGTGATTATTAGAAAAGTTAGATGCATTAAAAACTACGAAATCTTTATTTTTAAAGAAAATAAAATGACGAAATATTTATTTTATTTTGACGAAATTAGTTTCTTCGATGAAGTGATTGTAGATGCTTCGTCACATTGACGAAATTTTTGCTCTGAGTATATATTATAAAACAGTTTTGCACAAGCGAAGAAAGTTTCATGATATTTGAGTATTCACATTTTATAGTGTAAAAGATTTTTTTATCAAGCAAAGGCTGCTTTATATACCAAATTCTGAAAATTCGCGATTAAATTACTAAGTTAAGACGAAACGTTTAACGAATTTTTAAACACAAACGTCGAAATTGCAAAGAAAAAAAAATACATTCGAAGTATGCAGGCTTTAAAGTGTAAATTCAATATTTGCTTTGAACATCCCCATAGTTTTTTGTGATTAAAGATTTTGCGCTGTTTTGTAATAAAATCTATTGCAACTTTTTTTTTACCCAGAAATACTGAAAAATGCTCCTTTTTTAATAACTATGAATATGCTGCAAAACTATATTTAATGTACCTTAAATTTTAGAGATCACTCATTATGAAAAAGTTTATCTTAAATATAATTTTATATTTGTAGAATTTAGAAGACGTTGAATTGGAACGGTACAAAAAATATGGTAATTTTTATGGGTGAGTAATAAAGTGCTCTTTCATTTTGATTTTTGTAAATGCTTTTGATATCACACAAAATAAAATAAGTATTGCAATTGTTCATACGTACAGTATGGTTGCTGCAAGCAATAATTTACTAAAATGTTTCATGACCTAATCAAAGCAACAATTTAATTTCTAAAAACTTGATTTAATTTTACATTGTCAATGGGACTAATATGAGACAAAAATCTAAACTTTCATTTTTTTCAAGGATTGAACCTAAGCCAAATTTATAAATGCTTCAATTTGAGTTTAATATTGCCTCTATTGTTTAATATTGAGTTTAATATTTATTATGTGGATAAAAATTTTGAATATTGCAAAAACAAAATTTAAGTAAACTTAGAAAATTGAAAGTTTAATTCAACGAAAAAAATTGGATTTGATGATTTTAATTTCACTTTTTCTGTGAGAAAAAAAGTCATTATGTGAAGCTATTTTTCGTTTTTTTTCTTCTTAATGTTGAAAAATCCTTTTAGTGTTCCTCACTTTTCTGAAAACTTATTAAAATTTGTATATCAAAAAATCAATGATATTTTCATATTTTACTTATTAAGTCTATCCTTTTGAATGATAATTTTCAAATATTTTATTTTCAATTCCTTAAGCTCGAATAAAATCTACTATAGTAAGAGTTTAGAAATTAGTTGTAAGTAATTTTTAATCTAAAATGCTAACCACATTTACATATTTTGAACAAACGAAAATCATGAATACATAAAAAATATAAATAATCTTTTTATTTCGATACTGAATAAATATTGAATGCATGTATCGTAACCTGCCTTTTATATCAAATTAAAATTGTTCAAAAATCGTTTATAACATTACTGTACCCAAGTAAAACTCACTTAACTTTAATTACTTTTGTAAAAATTTCTGCTTTTAAGTCTAGATTAATATTTTAATACTTCTATGTAGAAACTCAATCCAGATGTATTCGAAAACTGAAAGAAGCATTTGAAATTGTAGGCGTTTCCTTTGCACAATTTTCTCCAAGTTTTATTGTATGCTATTGATTTTCTTAGAGTTTGATAAGCACTCATTTTTCAAATGATTTTGTGTTGCGTTTTTGAGTTACTGATTGGATTACTGCAATCAATGATAATAATTCCTAACTACATAAAGTTTAATTTCAAACTGTATGCTGATAAAAATAAAATGTTCGAACCATTGTGATAAGTTATAAAAGATAAATTCTAATAAACAATGAGGTTCCGTTGACATTGATTGATTGAAGACGATTACTAAAGTGATAAAAATTTTATGTAATTGAATAGATATAAACATAAATGAAATATCAAAATGAAATAAGTTCCCTTTGGGAAAAAGAGGTTATAGCAATTTTAGTTATATATAGATATTCTCTTTTTATATCTATAACCATTCATATAATGGAGCAAGATTTGTTGTTAAAATAATCAAATAAATTTTAGCTAAAAATGCTATCGCGAGAAAACTATTTTTAAGAGGAATAAGTTCATTCCTCATTCTAAAGTTAAAACAAGTTTCTATTTGCTCTCTTATATTATTGTAACACCATGGAAATACATCACTATCAGAGAATAAGTACCAATGTGAGCATGTGAGGTATGTAAAAAATAAACGGATCTGAAAAACTTTTGATCTATTGATCGGATCTTTAAAACATAGGAATCAATCTTAATGGTTCGAGGGTGACCACGAATATGCTAATTAATTAGTGCAGACGATATTAAGAGTTATGAAATCAGACACAAAAACGTACTTTATGTGAATAAACATATATTTTTCTACGGAATTAGTTATTACCTCCAAAATATCGAGTGTTTCCTCAATCTGGGAAATATCGTTCCAATAGTTTGATCTGGAGAGCAATGTGCAGTTTGGATCCCTTAATGATTTAACTTTTTACGAATTTCATCACATTGCTCATCCGGTGAAACAACGACGTAATTGCAAAATCAAGTTACGTACGTCACTGTTTCACCAAATGAGCGGTATATAGAACACTCTATTCCCACTAAAATATCGAAAGAGGTGTTAAAAAAATAATAAAAAATAAAATAAATAAATAAACAAAAAATTAATCCGAATTTTTCCTTTTTTTTTTTTTGCCATTGGTCTCTGTTTTTCAAAGGAAGAATAATATTTTTTATATCGCTCATTTGGTGAAACAGTGACGTAACTAGATTTTGCAGTTACGTCGTTGTTTCACCGGATGAGGGATATCTCGAGAACGTTTTAAGAAAATTGAAAAAATTTTGCACACAGTTATAAAATTTGTTTATCCAAAGATAATTCCATTAAAAAAATATTTAGCAAATATTTATTATTTTATGTAGTAACAGTCGAATAAATTTCGAAATGTAAGGTATGACATATTTTACATCATTTTAAAGTTTGTAACTTTACACGGCAAAATACAAAATCTGAAAGAAATCGGCCAAATCGCTCCAGATAAATCAAATGTTGAATTGAATCTTATCGGTGCCACCTTCCTCCCCCCGAACCATTAAGATTAAGTCCTAGAACATGAAGATCCAATCATTAGATCAAAAGTTGTCTGTCAAGGCGGTCCGTTTAATTTTTTACACGATGTACATTGCGAGATTGCATCTTTCGTGCCAATTCCTACTTAAGATTAATTGACCTGATTTTGTTTAATATTATTTTGAAAAACCTATATTTAGAAGTTTCCTACACCAATCAATTGCGTATGCATTATTCGAATAATATATTTGTTATTAAGCAAATAATCAAAAAAGAATGGATTGAAAAATCCTCAAAATATTTCTATGTTGGCATCGTATAAAGCGTTGACCTATAACTAGAGAAAAGTACACCGAAATGATGAGGTTATTGCCATACGCATCAACTGTATACCATGAAAACATGAATTTTGATTATTAATAAAATTAATTATTTTTGTATTCGCATGCTAACATTTATTATTTTTTTCATTAAAGATAAATTAAGTAAAGTCTCTGTGCGTAAGAAAATTCCTTTCCCTTTATTTTTATTTCATACATTGTCGTTGAAAGTGGAATAAGACCATTTGAAGCTAAAAAGCGTCTATATTTTACGATTTTGATAATCATTATTGCATTTTAAAACCTAAATATATTAGAGTATTAAAAATATTATCTAAATTGATCAATTTTTAAAATTCATTTCAACGCTAACCCTGAAACATCTCGATACATGAAAAATTAATACAGAAATCTAGAAATGTTAGAATTATTACAATGTTAAAGGTTAATCTTATTTCAGTTTTCTTGATTTATCATATTAAAAAATTCCAAAAGTTCTATGCGTAAATTTTACTGAAGAAAGCTTTTCATAAGGAAATTCGATTGATTAGAATTACGAAAAACCTACTCATACCTTCGACGTCGTGCAGCAAACCAATTACAAAAGATACAATAAATTTTCTTGCAAAAATAAAGATTTATTTGATTAACTATTAAGAGAGTTGTTGGAAGTGGCACCCGCTCACGTCATTACGCAATCTGCAACATTCGCAGCACTTTTGAAGCCAAGAACTTAGATTTGAAACGACGCATCTCAATTAATCTATTACTTTCGTCTCTATCATATTTCAGACCCTGCATGCAATTTTCTCTAGTGGTTTATAACCTCATGCTCTATGGTAAATTAAGATCCTCTTGATACCCTTATTCCCCTCTTGGAGTTCTGTTGGATTTTGGAACTCTCTGTGTTATGGTGGGCAAAATATTCTGGGTACATTAAAACATTCGAGGCCGGGATAGCCTGGTCGGTAAGGCGCTGGACCGATGTCCGAGAGTTCGTGGGTTCGAACCTCGCCGGCCAAAGACTCCCCGTGTAATAAAGTGACTGAAGCACGTTAAATCTGTCGAGTTGCGAAAGTCCTCTATGTTCCCATAACAAATCAATACCTCTGGGAGTACTGGATTGGAGATCGATCGTTCTCTAATTCAGATCAAAATTACGATTTGTGGATGAATGATGGATGTATGAATGGGTCCCCCCCTCTAAACGGGTGCGGCGTATGGCGTTGCAGAAGTTGAATTCTTGGCCATAGATGGCGCCACTGAGAAACAAGAAATGCATACTCTGCCTTAAAATTGCTCGGTTTCACCAAGTAGGCTTGCCCGTGTGGGAAGCAGCATTAGAAACAACAACAACAACGAAACATTCTTACAGAATTAAATAATGGAATTACCGTTTTTCTCCATATCAAACAGGGACTTGTTTTCTATTTGGAAACTTTGACATCAAATAGGTTAATAGCATTTACAACATTTGAGTTGAACTCATCTTTTTTATTGACTGCAAAGCTCACTTTAATGCATGTTTTGATATCACCTTTTTGACGTATAGGTAAAAATAATTATTTATCTATTTTATTATTCGAAGTTAAAATAGTTTTTGCTGATAATATATTTCAGATATTATGAAGCAAATAAGCCAGTGCTTATGGTTGGAAAGCCGGAACTCTTAAGAGACATATTAGTGAAGGACTTTCAGTATTTTTCTTCTCGTCGTGTAAGTATAATATTTTTTTTATTAGAAATCTGATGTTTGATGAAAATAACGATGAAATAACATATCAAGTAGCTCGTATTTATAATAAATCATTATATTATTTATATTAATCAGATCAATATAGTATTAATGAAGTTATATTGTTCTGAAGTTTTATAATTGTATTGACTGTGTGAGTTAATCATGAATGTTAGGGGCACAGTTCTGTTTATGCTAATTATGAGAAGGGTACAAATTGTTAATACGAACAAAAGGCACAAACATGTTAAATGAAAATGGTATACTTATGAGTTCAATTTTTAACTATTTGGAAAGTTGCACCAACGATGCGTTGTTTAAACCATAAAGCCGTAATCGAGGAACAGAGAGTGTTGCCGGATGATTTTTGTCCTGGATGCCTAATAATGAAACTATGAGACAAGCGGGCAATCCAAGGGGTAAATTCTGTACTTTCCGTTTTTCCTTGTTATTTCAATAGAAGAAAATCTATTCTTAAATTTTAACGAAAAAAAATTATAAATTTAAATATGGTCTTTTGCAGTAGTGCATTTGAATCTAAGGAAAATTTTGCTAAAGGAGGACCTTACACATTATATTGTAAGTTATTTTATCAATTTTTGGAATTAAAACTGCATTTTTTTCCAATGCCTGCCTGGAGAATGACCTAGGTTATGCAGGCATCTGAGGGGCACATTTGTTGACCACTCTTACAGGGGCACCATATCAGGTGGGCCAACGTTGCTCCCACTGTAAGGACAGATAGTACAGATAATGAAAGAACACGTATGCCTTGCCAGGGATTCGAACCCAGAACCTTTCTAATGCAAGGTCAGTTCCCAGCACCTTACACAGGCCGGTCGGCTAAAACTGCATTATTTACTTTATAAATAAAATTTTAGCACATGCTTCTTTTTCTTAAAACACCATATTAAACCCGATCATCGCATTTAATCATTTTAAAATTCTGATTTATATTTTTTGAGTTGTTTTATAAGAGAAAATAAAGACACAAAAAAGCATTTAATAATGATTATATAGAATTATTCATTATTTAAACATTAATCTTTTAAGTTTTAGTTCTGAAGCGTGTCAGGCAAAAGTTTTGACGACAGCTACATTTTTTTCCTTCTTTTCTTTGTTTATTTTCGTTGTATTTTATTTACTCTAACTAATGCTTCTGAAATAATGAATTATTCAATATATTTTAATTTCAGAAGCTTGTTTTGATTTACTTCGTTTTGCTTGTTTTAGTTTATTTCACAAAATTCATTTGCTGAGAGAGAAGAGGAGTTACTAATGAGCGTATTACAAAACTATTCGATAAATAGTTTTTTTTTGTCTACGACATAGTTGAATCAAATGTTTCCATGTGTCTTAATTACTACTTTTGTGATTTGCTTGATGTTATCGTCATAAAGGTCAATCAATGGTGGCAATTTTTCTCAGATTAGCACTCATTTCTGGTCCCTCAAAGATATGGCATGGTGTCAGCTGTGTATCTGGGCAGTTTTCACAATTCCTATATTCTTTCCTGCTGCCGATATTCATACCTCTGTGGTGATTGGTTCTCAGCCTGGCTATAGTTTTGTTGTGGATCTATCTGCATTTATATTACTTGATAAGCTATATTCTGATGTTGCAAGATTTTTTTCTATTCAAATTATCGATTTTTTTGTTGATTCTTTACAAAATCTGAAATCATTTCTTGTTAATGTTTTTAAAAACTCCTAATACCTGGAAAGATATTCATGGCTTTACTATTCTTCTAATCTCAAAACTTAAATTTTTAACTTTCCTCGATTTCTCTCTTTAAAGGCACACACAAAACTATCAGAAAAGAGAAATCATCATCATCTTCAGAGAGAACATAATGGGAAACTTTTAAAAATAAAAGTATTTTTTCACACAGAATTGAAACTTTTTTTTTAATTCATGAGAATCGAATATTAAAATATACATATTTTTTATAAATTGAGTCTCTTTCATAATTTTCAGGTTGTAAATTCAGGTGATCCCATACAAGAGAAGATTTTATCTCTACTCACTGGTGAAGATTGGAAAAGAGTCCGTACTATTGTAACCCCCACATTTTCGACTGGGAAAATTAAAAGAGTGAGTATTATTTATTTGAAAAATTTATCAATTTAATGAAACATTTTATAATAATTTAAGAACTATTAATGCATTATTTTATCAAAATAATATCTTGAAATATATTATCAAACAAAGCGTAATATATCATATCATGAAACATATTCTAAAATGATAGTAATTTATTTAAAAAAATATTCTTTTAGCTATAAAAATATTTTTTTAATAATTTAAGAACTATTTATACAGATCTTTTCATCAAACTTTTAAAAAAATTACTTATAAGAATTAAAGTAGCTTAAAATGTCTTGTCTTTGTTTATTTTAAAAAAATTCTCTGCTTGAAATATAAAAAAAAGTTTTTTAATCATGGATAAAACATATTGTGTCGTATAGTTTTGTAAATATTCGTTTGTTATGAGCCTAAATATCTCAGACCGACCCTAAATAAGCATTTTAATTGGAAAATTAGTTAGAAAGTCGCATAATGCTAACGTAATATGGAGAGAAAATAACATCTAATGTATTTCATAAGAAAGACTCGGTTGAGCGACATATTCTGTCTGCTTGGTTATACGTACCGATAATTTTAGCAATAATAATAATAATAATTATTATTATTCTGAAAACTTTGAGTTTCTAAGTGATAGGAACAATATTTACGGAATTATGCGGAATTATGTACGGAATTATGCGGAATTATTTACGGAATTATGCTAGAATCGTGTAGAATGTTCCAGGGTTTCGCCGCCAAGCCTATATAAATAGAAGTGTGCCTCGCAGAGCAGAGTAATAGATAATTAATCCGACTGGGACTGCAATACTGCAAGATCTACGAATCTCTAGTGAGTTCACTGATCCGTCTAAGGTTCCAGAACCTTTTTTTTTGTACTACACGGTTGTTTGAGCTGCAATTGAGTGCTAGAAATAGCTGTATTTTCAGGAAGATTCTGCTAATGAATTTTTGGAGTCTTAAGGACTACTTCATTGATTTCCAACCAAAATGAACCTCTAGGCTCTGTATAATATAAAATAACTATTTTGGTTACATAGTTAATAATGCATTTATTTTTTTGAAATAAAATAATTCACATAATGTTTTGCCACAGGTCCCTGGTTCGATCCTCGGGCCGGCAAGGTTGACTTAGCCTTTCATCCTTTCAGTGGGTCGATAAATAAGTACCATGCATGCTTGGGAACTAAACACTGGGGGTTCCGCGTCCAGTTGACTACCTGATCGGAACGTCTGCTTCTGCACACTAGAGCCCACGGTCAAGAAAACTGAGATGGGCCCAGTAGGCCTTGGCCCTCTAGGGCTGTCGCGCCGCTGAGTTTAGTTTTTAATTAAAAGAAAATATATTAGAAAAAATGACGTGCCGATTTCGGAGTAGGCTTTCAAAATTAATGAAGTATAAGAGTCAAACAGTGTTTTTTGTCCTTCAATATATGCTCAAATTTAAATGATAACTAATTTATTAATTTAACATGCAGTTAACAATTATCACTGAAACCAAATATTATTAGCTAAATTTCCGCTAACAACAACAATGCAAATTGGTTTTTGAAAATGTACAGATGTTAATTAATGTAGATTAAATAATCTACCCCTATACAGGGTGTCCCAAAAGGTCGTTTACAAACTTAACATGCTGGTCTGTCATATCATGATATAGGTAGTTTGAGAGTTTTATTTGTAAAGTNAAAACATATTGTGTCGTATAGTTTTGTAAATATTCGTTTGTTATGAGCCTAAATATCTCAGACCGACCCTAAATAAGCATTTTAATTGGAAAATTAGTTAGAAAGTCGCATAATGCTAACGTAATATGGAGAGAAAATAACATCTAATGTATTTCATAAGAAAGACTCGGTTTAGCAACATATTCTGTCTTCTTGGTTATACGTAGCGATAAGTTTAGCAACAATAATAATAATAATAATAATTATTATTATTATTCTGAAAACTTCGAGTTTCTAAGCGATAAGACCAATATTTACGGAATTATGCGGAATTATTTACGGAATTTTGCTAGGATCGTGTTGAAAGTTCCAGGGTTTCGTCGCCAAGCCTGTATAAATAGAAGTGTGCCTCGCAGAGCAGAGTAGTAGACAATTAATCCGACTGGGACTGCAATACTGCAAGATCTACGAGTCTCAAGTGAATTTATTGATCCATCTGTTGTGTCACAACAACCAGAAATAAGACGTGAGTTGTACCAAATAATTTATTTAAACATTCACACGAACAATCACAAAATATTACCCAAAGAAAAATCTCTTCTTAGAAAAAAACTCTCTTTTCAACTACACAAAAAAAAGAACATCACTTCTCGTGTGTGTCTCTCAAGCAACATCATTTTAGCATTACCTCTCGAGGAATTGATGCTTTTAGCTCAGTTGTCACACACTGTTACGTTACACATCTAAGGTTCCAGAACCTTTTGTTTTGTACTACACGGTTGTTTGAGCTGCAATTGAGTGCTAGAAATAGCTGTATTTTCAGGAAGATTCTGCTAATGAATTTTTGGAGTCTTAAGGACTGCTTCATTGATCTCCAACCAAAATGAACCTCTAGGCTCTGTACAATATAAAATAACTATTTTGGTTACATAGTTAATGCATTTATTAAAATAATTCACATAATGTTTTGCCACAGGTCCCTGGTTCGATCCTCGGGCCGGTAAGGTTGACTTAGCCTTTCATCCCTTTAGTGGGTCGATAAATAAGTACCAAGCATGCTTGGGAACTAAACACTGGGGGTTCGGCGTCCGGCTGACTACCTGACCGGAACATCTGCTTCTGCACACCAGAGCCCACGGTCAAGAAAACTGAGGTGGGCTCAGTAGGCCTTGGCCCTCTAGGGCTGTCGTGCCGCTGAGTTTAGTTTTTAATTAAAAGAAAATATATTAGGAAAAATGACGTGCCGATTTCGGAGTAGGCTTTCAAAATTAATGAAGTATAAGAGTCAAACTATGTTTTTTTTTCCTTCAATATATGCTCAAACATGAATGATAACTAATTTATTAATTTAACATGCAGTTAATAATTATCACTGAAACTAAATATTATAAGCTAAATGCCCGCTAACAACAACAATACAAATTGGTTTTTGAAAATGTACAGATGTTAATTGATGTAGATTAAATAATCTACCCCTATATAAAACAAAGAGACAGTCTAGCAAAATAATGGCAGTATAATCTTTGACTTTGAAGTAGCTGTCTGCTTTTCTATTTTTAATAATAAAAGTTATCATCAAATTATAAAATTAATTAATTTATTATTAGTTAATTTATTATTTCGATTTCCATGAGCACAACATTGAAAAAATCACTGAAGATAAGATTGCATCAATCACAATTTTCAGGCTGAATAGGTGCTTAAAATGGAACACAGTGTGCTTGACCTACTTTTTTTTCAAATACATTGTCGAGTGTTATAAGCCTCTTCTAATTAATTTCAAGATATTTTTACATTTAACAGGTAATGGGAATTTTTCAAGATTGTGCTAAAACAATTCTTCAGAATTTTAAGATGGAAAATGCAAAAGGAAACCCTGTGGATGTGTACAAGTCAGTGCATAACATAAATATAAAAATTTTAACCATTTAACAAATTAATCGTTTACTATTAAATATAATCTTTCGAAGAAACAGATAATTTTAAAAGTTATTTTTTTAATGTAACTTAAATAAAAATTTGTTTACTTTTATCTTATTTGGCATGTCATTTTGTTTTGATTTGGTTGTTTGCATGCTTCTTTTGAATATAGACTTTTTAGATTTTTTGTTGGCTTGGTTTAATTTAGTATCTCTTAAATTTTGATGCACATGTTCCTTAAATAAAATGTTTCAGTTCTATGAAATCAGTAATCATCAAGACTGAAAACTTTAGTATAATTCATTAAAACGTGAAATCAGGAGTTTTTTCCATTTTACTTTGTGCACATTAATGACTTTTGTACTGTTGAAGGTCAAGAGGTAGGGTTAGGTAAGATTCTTTAGATATGGAAAAATATAAATTTTCTTAATTCCCTTAATCGTAGTATTTAATTATGCCGTTTGATTCTTAGTGTTATAGTTTCTTTTTTTATTTGATTGATGATTGATTTCATCAACTAATCTACGGATTGATTTTTGTAACTTAAATAACAAAAAGTGTAAGCAAATATGTTCTCTTCGTATGCTTGTCATAAAACTTGAACAGCTATTTTTAAAGTTTTTTCAGAATTAATGGTTAATTGACTGGGAATAATTTGTTCCTATTATAAAAGCGTAATTCGTTTAAATCTGTTATTCACGATGTTTTGCTACTTCTCCGTATAGCTAAGTACAAATATTTTTTGGAATTGTGGCAAGGGAGCAACAGCCTCAGGATTATCGTCAAAGGTGGTATACAATGGATGACTAAGTTCGCTTTACTCCGTTGCGAATTAAAAAATATAAGATCGGTATAGGATTAAAGTAAAAATTCGCGACTGCACATATTTCCGTTTTAATTCGTTATTAAATTATAGAAATCTGCTTTCAATACAATGTAAAAGCTTTTTTTAAGTTAAAATACGCCTGACAGATATTTAGTTCGTGCGATCTTTCACTATATATATTACAGAATTATTAAAAATATAAGTTGTAGTTTTGAATTCTTACTGGAACCCTAACCAGGTTATATATTTCGATATATAAAGAGAACATTCGTTCTTGAAAACGATACAACTATATAACGTTTCAAGAACGTTGTGTTTGATTGGACCACTAAAAATGGCGCGTCTTATGTTGAAATGCCCTTAACGAATCAAATGCGGGATAAGGAATTCATAAATATTTACCTTCGTTTTACTGTGGAAGACAATCGACTCCAAGAAACAATATTTATAGTTATTTCATCATTTTCTTCAATTAGAAAGATGCATATTTATTACGATTTTTAGATATCATTTTTATCAATTCTCATTGCTTGCTAATTAATTATTCAAAAAGTTTTATTTTCCCCATTTCACACGGTGTAAGAAAGCAAACAAAATGAAGGCAGTGCAACGTCGTTTCAAGAGATGGCGACTCTCTCCTTAGGTACATACAAGGGTTTTTTCTCAACTTGCAGCAGAGTATAAAAGCTTTAAAACTGATTCAAGATCACTATTATTTTTAATGCGAAATTTAATTACTAATCAGATAAATACATTTCTTCAGAGAAACATTTTATAAAGAATCAACTCTGATCTTGATATAAGGTAATAATCATACGATATATTTTCTTAATATAATAAAGTTTTAGATCAGTAAAATTTAAATCATTTTTAAATTTAAAAATATTTTGTTGTAAGTAACTAATTTCTACAAAACAGTTTTTTTTTTAAAATTTACAAAAAATGAATTTAAAATATCGATTTACTTTATGCAGAAAGGATTCTGCACGTAAAACAGGGGAAGTTTATCAAAGTAATTTTAAAGAAAAGCTTTCTGTATACATATTATTTCTACAATTATTAAGTTTTGCATTTTTAATATCCATTGCGAAAGATTCTTGTAAGTAATTATTTTTTGATGTATGGTAAAATATCAACGAGAACGGCAAAGGTGTACCATAGCCTACTGCAAAATATTTCTTCATAAGATGTAGCACATCCTAGTTTTATGGCAAAAATTTGTCATATAAAAAAATGTCATAGGATATTCCTATGGGGTTTTGCCTATGGCAAAATTTTACCATACACTTTTGCCATACATGTGTGGTAAAATTTTGCCATACGTATATGGCAAAATTTTACCATAGGCAAAACCCCATAGGAATATCCTATGGCATTTTTTTATGGCAAACCTATGGCAAATTTTCCTAAGGGAAGATAAAGGTATCATTATAAAACTAAGAAATTATACCACACATTACAAAACCATATTTTATTGTTAATTTTATCAAAATCACTACCAAAGCGCTTCAGTAAAAATTACCGAGCCCCCCCCCAATAGAGTCAGAAAAGCAGTATATTTTACTATATTCTAGTAATTTTGACTATACTTTTTTTCTCAGTGTAGAGTTTGTTCCTAAACCAGTGGAACAATTTTGGAGAAAATTGAAACCAGATATGCAAGAGAATATAATATAATCTGAAAAAGATTTGAGTACAGTTACCAGAGGTCTTGCCACTCAATAAAAATATCTCGTTAAGTTTTAATTAATGCTAATTTTATGCCAACGAGATATAAGTTGGAATTTAACAGTAGTCTTATTGTCTTAATCTTTATAATCGTATAATTATACATTAAATTATGTTCTACATTCAATATTTTTAATGTCAGACTTTTTAAATTTGCTTTTTTTCAAAGATTTTATGGTGCTTTCTCTATGGATGTTATTGCCAGTTCAGCTTTCTCAACCAAAGTTGATTCCCACAACGATCCAGAGAATCAGTTTGTAAAATATGCTAAGAAAGCTTTTTTGCAGGAACTTAATTTGAAGTTTTTATTATTCTGTAAGTACTCATTTATTTATTTTGCAAATTCGTAGCATTGTAATGTTTCATTTACAAAATTTGTAATGTAAAATAAGAAGTCATTAAAATCAAACCTTTCTCACCAAAAATAATATCACTAAAAGTATGACCAAAAAAATCATGCTGTTTGCACTCAGTTATAGAATACATAACTTCAGTGATGTTTTGTAAGGTTAAGTGCCATTGCCCGGTATTGCACTAGCCCGGTATTCTCACACTGATGTTTTTCTAAATTTATCTTTAACGAGTATTGCAACAATTTTAACCATCGATTATTAATAGTAGTTAAATAAGCCAGCTAAAATTAAATTTGTGTTTCTTAAAAAATTAATTTATTGAATAAAGAAAATGCTTTTTTCTAACGGTCAACTTAATAACATTTTTTCAAAGAAAATAATATGCTCTTACAAGTTAATTATAGTTATCACAAGACCAACCATCTAAAATGGAATATAACAACAAGCTTTTTAATCCTCGCCATCTAAACTGACAATTTTTCACTATCATCTCAATATAGAAACTCCTTCGCAGTACTAAACCCAAAAAAATTTGAAAGAAGTGTTTTACTTAATGAAGACATGTAATAACATTCCAACACAGGAAAAAAAGTTTTTTTATATCCCAAATATTATATTATTTTGTTTCTTAGTCTTACTATGTTAATCTACACTAAACATGATTTCCATGCATTTACCCTCTAACGTTTTCTGAAATAACGTTTACTAAATACATGCTCTAAATAAAGTAAATGAAATTCTGAAAAATAAATGTTCTAAAATGACGGAGGAAGATTAATAACGTACGAAACGGACAACATAAAACCAGGGTTACACTGTATTATAAATTACTGTTAAAGAAATTTGCTGAATGCTTTAGAACTTAAAGATCAGCTTTATGCTCTATTTGTTTCATGTACAAATTATCTATAATATATCAGCCTGTTTGATAAACCAAAATATTTAATTACAATTGTAAACTCAACATATTAACAATAAACATTTATTTAAAATGTTATTTTCAAAAAGGGTTACTGAGCAAAATCATTTACGTTCAAGGGAGAAATTTACCAATCAAATTATTTACGTTACGCACTATAACGTTACATTTCACACGCTGCTGTACGTAAGTACGTAAGTAAGTAAGTACGTAAGTATTTGAGCGTGCACTCTTAAACTGCGCATGGTCCAATTCAGATGAGATCCTCATTCACCCATAAAAAAAAATATCAAATTTACGTGAGTAAAAATGATACATTTTGCAAAATCTCGTGAGTCAACACCCCCCCCCATTAGCGTATTGAAATATCATCTTAGGCCACAAAACCAATGGTACAATATGGTTATAATAAATATATTGCTTAATTGTATGATTAAAACAAATATATTCTATAATTTTAGATAACAAAAAAATATTTGTTATAGAACTAATAAATTAAACAAAATTAATTTTAAACTTAACCAATGAAATTTATTTACTTTTTATTAAATTTACCCATTGTTGTAAAATCGCACAATTCATCTTAACATCTTGTAATAACCAATTCTCCATCATCATTTTGTGTTGGAACGAAATCTCTAAAATATAATTCTAAAACAAATATTTGCTTTTACGTAGAGGTATATAATGTACATTTACATTTTTTCACGCCTTTAAATAAACCATAATAATTCCCATAAGTATTTGTAAATACAAATAAGTACGAATCATGGAATAAAAACTACAAAATTATTTCAGTGGTTTTTCCAAAGTTGCTTCAAAAGCTTGGATTCAGAGCTTTTGCTCCAGATACCATGGATTTTTTCAAAAGTGCAACCTTAAATATCATCCAAGAAAGGAAGAGAACTGGTCAGGTAAATTTAAATTACTTCATACAATTTACTACATGTAATGAAAAAGAAGTAATGCAATATTAATTTTCACACTAGGAGGTTTTATGTTCTTTTTTAAAAATATTTTGACTCTCGAACTATAAACATGGGGAAAGTTTTCAAAAGATAAAATTCGAGAAATTACATATTATTGTGGAGTTTTAAGAGACAAAAGCTCTTAATTTTTCACAAATACTTTCGCAAAATGTTTTGTTAACGGTAAAATATTTTCAATAATTAAAAAAGAATTCTTTTTATAACCGTCGTTGAACAGCCGACCCAATTTTTGGGTTTACTACTCATGTTCAACTCCGTAGCCTTGTAATTTTGAACCCATTCCAGAAGACAAGGGAACTCCTGGATCAAGTATTGGGAGAAATTTTGCCTTCGTGGAATACTTTTTGATGGAACTAACCCGCATTTGCGTTGCATGGAGAGGGAGGCTACGAGAACCTCCCACGGTTAGCCTGATGGCAAGGGGACTCTAACCCATGATCCATCTACCCCTGAGGATATTTCACGTCGGCGTTGTGGTCGGTACAAGCCGGATGCGGAATTCGTATCGAACAGCTATCGCCGGGATCGAACCCCGATTCACCTCATTGGAAGGCGAACGCTCTATCCCTTGAGCCATCACAGCTCTTCTTTAATTATTTGAAAATTTTTTGATAATTTTAAAAATTGAGGCACCATAATTAACTTTCAAACATTAAATTGACTTTTACATAACATAACATAACATTATTAACTTTTAAACATTTAAATTGCTAAATTCAAACATTAGACCATCTGACACTCAGTATTTATGTTAAAAAAAGAAACAATTTTATTTTTATTAATTTGTAATGTGTTTTACTCAACGGGATTCTGCGTATTATTGTTTTTGTGAATTAATAACTGAATTTTTTATCTTAGACGAGGAATGATTTTCTGCAGTTGCTTGTAGATGCAGCAACAGAAGTTGCAAAAGAAGAAAAGTGGGATGATACGGATGATCTTTCTTCCAACTACGTTGATGATTCAAAAGGCCATGCAGTTTTCAAGGGAATAACTTCAAAACGTATGCATCTAACTTAATTAATAACAAAGAAAAAACTTCTACGTAATTAGTTTAACATTTGAAATGAAAAAAAAAAATCCAAAAAATTGAAAAGGAGAAAAAAATATTTATATAATTCTATTGAATTCATACAGTTGGCGTGTGATAGTAATAGTTAAGAAAATTAGATTGTCTGTTTTGTAAAGACCGCACTTAATATAGAATTTTAGAATTCTTGTCGAGATGAAACAAAAATGAAGTATACATATGAGGGGTTTCTAATTAATATACACTTGCAGACTAAATACACTATGCTAGTGGAGTCTGTTGCATAACTACCACTACAAATATTAAATACCAAATCACTAGTATTTAAAAATGTCAACCTTCATTTATCAAAAGGTACCTCGAAATAGAGGGGAGTAATGTGGCGTAACTGCCACTCGAAATATTAAATACCAAATGAGTAGTATATAAGACATGTTAACGCGATTCTATCTCGAGGTACATTTTTATAGATGAAGGTTGACATAGTCTAAGATTAAATCCCTCATTGGTGACCCGGACATGATCAATATTGATAGATGAAGGTTTGGCATAGTCTAAATTAATTCCCTCATTGGTGACCCGAAAGTGATCAATATTGATGGATGAAGGTTGGCATAGTCTTAGATTAATTCCCCTCAAGTTTATCAAAATGCTACTGAAAAAAAGGGTGATTGAAAGTATAAAAACTTGTTTAATTGTCGGAAGAAACAGATAAAAAGTTGTGTTATAGAAACACAGCTAAGTTTCGGTGGTTTCTGTGTTTCCATCACGTCTTCCTCACCAATTATACAATAGTTTTCGATAGCGTTCTTGTTTCTTCCTCACTTTAATATTAATTTGTGTATGAAAATAAACTTTTTAACACTAGGTTGCCTAAGGAAATCATTTTGACTACTTTTAATTTCAATTAGAAAAACAATGGCGGATATAGTGAGACAATTTTTTAGAATTTTGTACAACATATAATTTTTTTATTGTTATTATTTACTAATAACTTGTTATATAACTGTAAATAACATAAAAAATATTAAAAATTAATAAAAAAAATATTAACAAATTTCTTTGCACATTATTTATTCTTTTGCAATCCAGTCATTTTGACTGCTTTTGAGCAATATAGGTATTACACTAAGTTTCAGTCTTTCTAGTTGTTAATTTAGATAAGAATTTAACAACTTATATTAAGAGCTGTTATTACGAAATTCTCGGCATGTTACTGCGATCTGTGTTACATTCTTTTAAATAAATTAGAAATTTTTATGACGTTTTAGATACCATCGTGGAAATTCCTCATAGAAAATGGAAATCAAGTATTTAATGAAATACAATTTTATTTACTTTTATTGTAAATACAGATATTTATGTCTCAATAAAATAATTCACAAAAATAACTTATTATGCATTAGTGTTCAAAGTATGTTAAAGTTAATTCATTACAACGAATGAGTTATTCAAATTTTGTTTTAATAAATAGAATTGCTAACTAATTGAAACGTTATAATTTCTAGTGCGTATATATGCAGCTTCACGTATACTTATTACTAATATCATTATTACTTCATTAAGTCGACTCCAAAGTCATAATATGCGAATTTTAACCCAAGCAGCCGAAAAGAAATATGTAAGTGAATTTTTTTAGTTAGTACAAAATATGCTACTTTAATGTATATTGCGAGAATTGAAAAACAAGGGAAAGAATTCCTTATTTTTTTTTACAAAAGTAGTGATTGGATTATCATTTGAGACATTCTGAGGATTGCTAAGTTTTGACAAATCAATTCTTTTTGAAAATTATTACATAGTAAAAAGGATTTATTTCCAATTTTCTCAAAAATGGTTATTGCTTCACCATTTGTCACATTGTCACACTATGATTTGACTAATCAGGTACTTAAATTTTTGAAAAAGGTGAAAAGCATAATAGTAATTTTATATGAATTACAATCTATATTATATAAAACGCTAATACGTACGTATGTATGTATGTATGTATGTATCAATAAAACCGATATATTTCTTTTCTCGCGCTGGCAACAGTTTTCATTTTTAATTGATTGGATTCGGCGCGCAAGAGCACGTAGTGAGCAACCAGATAACAATAACCAGAGTGAGCATTATCAGGTTGTTCAATTCAGATTCATGCACTAAAATCAGGACAATATTTAATTTAAACTCAATTAGGAATTAATTAATTAATTGAAGTGAGAATGCTTTAAAAGGCCGCTGTTGAATTGATATTTTTCTACTGGGAGCTACCTAAACGTCTAAAAAACGTTTGAGTGTTTGTATTGAATCCATTGAATTTTTTTTATATTTCGCGTTTATTTATGCATTGAATTTTCACGCTTTAAAATGCAGAATATTAGTGAAGCAATATTTGATAATTTATTTTGCTAATATGTTTCTTATTTAGCTAATGTTTTGATTTTTTCACCATGTACAATCTAAATAGCTAATATACTTTTTTAAAAGCCAATAAGAACATTGATAGAAATCTTCTACATAAGTACAATACTATGTGTTTGATGATAAAATACTATGTTTTTGATGATAATATATTATGCCTTTGTGCTAGAACATTGTGTTCATTGGCGAGCGAGCGCAGCGAGCCATGGTTCACGGAGTGAACCACATAGGATTGCGTAGCAATTCTCGAGGAATGGCGAGCGCTAGCGAGCAGGGGACGGAGCCTCCTAGTATAATGAAAAAATATTATATTTTAGGATTATCTATGGATGAGCTAGTGGCTCAATGTGTTATATTTTTCATCGCTGGTTATCATACTACAGCAACAACACTTGGGCTTACAACCTATCTACTGGCATTGCACCCGGACATACAAGAAAAAGTATTTAAAGAAATATCAGAAGTTATCAAAGAAACTAATGTAAGTGGGGAATTTTATCCATAAAATTCAAGCAAACTATTATGATGGAGCAGCCTATAGCTAAATTATTGAGGTTTTTATTCAACTAATGCCTACCTACTGAATGTCATGTTGCGTGTATAACTGGTATTTTAAATGAAGAAGTAAGCTTAAGCAACTCTCAAGAAATCCTTACTAGATAGACTTGATAATGTAAAAAATTCATTAGTTTCAAATATTACATGAAATGAAAATATGTTATATATATATATATAT